AGAGAGAGATGGGGAGATGGGGGGAAGAGGGGTGAAATCATACTTAGAAGCACGAAGAAGAACAGACCAAATATAAAAACAATAGATTCTCTTTTAACGTGTGTCGCTTGGTCCGGTGGCAGCACAGACAAAAATGAAGTAAACAGGAAAAAAGAAGGTGCTTAGAAAAACTTATAAGAGCGTATACATCGGATGGTAGCTTGGGTTTTGTTTCGCTTGTGACACAAAACGATATACGACCCATGTCAATTGGCTGGCACGAAACGATCCCTGCTCGAGTAAATATAGAAAGATCTCTACTGTGTGCTACAGGCGTCACCCAGTAGTTGACGAAAGCGCCTCCCTCATGAGGTTGAGGTGAAGTTTAAAGCCAACGGGAAAAGGAGAGCGGATTGTCTTCCGAACGCAGGCCTCTTGTAGTGACTGCTACGGTGTATGGTTTAGAGGTGGGCGCCGTTCGTGGAAAAGGAAGTGAGCCAAAAAAAGAGAAAAGGGAAAAAAGGTAGGTAGATAGCGACCGGATATCTTGAAAATTCAAGAGAGAGAGAGAGAGAGAGAGAGAGAAAATAATGCACGGGATAGTAGTAATTCAGCCGCGGTGACGGTAAGAGCCCAGTTGGGATGTGCCATGAATTGAAATGGTCGCTTCTCTGCCATTACGAGATAGCGTAGGCGCCTACCGTATCGTAGTAAATGCACGTTGCTACCAGTACTGCATCGAGGTACCGCAATGAGTTGTACGTTGGCGTCGCTGCTGCCGCTGTCTTTTTTTGTTTCGTTCCCACTTCTCCATTTGGCCCCTAACGTCGCAAGCACCCCAACACAGTGGAAACTGACGCAGACAAGCAACAGGGAACCTGAATGTAGGCGCTGTTATATACACAATGAACGAACGATAACTCCTTGTCACGTCTATATAACTTTGTTTTTTTTAGTTCGACCTAGTTACCTGAGAAGTCAGTAGTTCGGGCTTTATGTTTGTGATACCGCGATGTAAACAGCTGGCAACGTCTTAGCTTAAAGAGAACTTTTCCCTCTTTCCGGTCAATCCTTACCTCCAACTAGTCCTCTTCGATAAATGTTCCCATCTATCATTATCATCGTTCACCCATAGCTATCGATTTTACGGAGTTACAGACCAAACGACAAGCAGCAGCAGCAATGGGCAGCCACACATCTGGGCGGGTCATGTGACGCCCCTGTTACACCACGCACATGCTCTTATCGTTATATACGCCCAATCCAATGAGTGTTTTGGCATAGGTCGTAGGACCTTACGATGAGGACAGGGCATGCCGCCATCATATACTGGCGACAGTCGCGATGGCGACGGTTTGGCTATAGCAGTTTCAATGGTATGTGCAAAATGAAAAAAAAATGGGTAGGTCGACTGGTGATCCGTAGGCCGAACGGGTCGACAAACGGGTTTGCATGCGTTTAGGGCAAAGATATTAACTTTGTGGCTATGCGATGGCGGTCGCGAAAGCGGCGTCTTGACGGCGGCGCCATCAGCAGTAGCTACGGGCTGAACCGAGGCAAACAATTCGAGTCGCATATTCCATGCTGAGCAAGCTGTTCGACCGCTGTTGTTGGAGATGCGTCGATTGGAGGCTAGGAACAGAACAATGGGCAAATCGAGAAAAGGATACAGATGTATAAAAGCGACACTGAAGTCTGCGTCGTAGGCGCTTGTTCTTTCCCTACTAGTTTATTCGTAGGGTGCTGACAAAACGAAACTCGACCCTCAGTAATTGGAAGGACTGAACGGGCCGCAAGAATGTAGATTATGGGAAAACAATACGCGACGACCTCGTGTGGCCTATTTGTCCTCCTTCAGTTTTGCTCTGTCACGCTATATTCAATTTAAATCTGAGCAGCATCTTACTCCACGATCAAATTACTGCTCGTAGTACAACTACTACTCTTATTATTGCTTGGAAACAACTCATGTCCTAGTGGGGCCTTAGCTTGCCTGAGTCCAAACCACTTAACGCAGTGACCTGACCGATGAGCGCGGCTGATCCTGGCGATGTCTAGCAAGCTGAGAGCTGCACCTAACTGAGTCGCCAATACATGCGCTTCTGTTCGCCAATATTAGTTTTTATTGGCTAGGTATGTTTAGAAAGTGACGATGGCGGTGAAGAGGCTCTACGTGCCATACGCGAACTACCAGTCCGAGAAAGCAAGAGGGCCGTCAGCGGGTGGGCTCGTCTGGATCACCCCGAAAAGCTCTTGGAGACCCACCTGTCCGCTGCGGCAGCCTCGATTTGCTCTGATAAAGTGCAGATCCCGTCTTGCAGACAGACGCAGCTAATGAACATGAAGACTCTCTTCGCAGTTCAAAGAGAGCAAAAGAGTGGGTCGAAAGTGGGGGCGACAACTACGACATTGTCGACGCAAATATACCAGATAGAAAGTGAAGTAGCATGTACTCAAGTGTTCGTATCTGTGTATAGGTGTTCGAGCTGTGCACAGATTTTATGAAATATAAACTTGAATGAGTAAGTGAGAAGAGATTCAAGGCGGATATAGATGCTGAGGAAACAAGAGGTTCAACACGGCTATCTTTGTCCTGTGTGCGTCTGCCGAGTTCCGGTACAACTGGCGGGAAGTGTCCCTCACATTGTGCCGTGCTTTATGCCAGAATGTTGCGGTCTCTACCATCTCACCAATCCCAGGACAGGATGAGGTCCGACAGAACGGCTTAAGGCCTTTTGAAGAATGCAGACGGAACAGCATCACAGGAGAAATAGCAGCTGTCTTGCGTTCATGTTCATGTTCATGCACGTTGCGTCTCCTGTTTCCTTACCTACCTTGGCATCTCTACCGTCCTTTGACAGGCTGAACGCGGTACTGTTAATACCTGCTGCAGCAGCAGCAGCAGCAGCAGCAGCAGCAGATTATGAAATTCCTTCGTCTACCGCCCGGCCAGCCGGTTTTGCAGTCCTTCAGGCCAACCATTCACATCTCAGGAATTTGGGCTGGAGACTGGTCAGATCAAATGGAAGGAATTTTGCTAGGATACGCTTATGGGTTGCGCTTTTAGGAGACGGAAGTGAGGGAACTAGGGGGTGAGAACGAAGGCAGTCGCACATACTACCGCTAAGTCTTTGACTAAAGACGACTGGAGCTGACTTACAAAGATGTTAGCTGCTGCTGACGCTATATATATACTCCCGGACACTGCACCGATGTCTTAGTATAGGTCGGTGTTGTATTTATTGAGCCGCAATGTACGTATGAAAATAAACTCGGAACAGCGAAGATTGGACCATATATTTTTCATATTGGTAAAGAGCATGAATCGTCTGTATCTATAAGGACGTCGCGGTTTAGTGCTGGTAGACATGGGAAGGATTATAATCAAAGTTACATAAATTATGGCGATGGTAAAAACGCATCGTCCTTTGTCGTTGTTACTGCTGCTGTATTGAATTATAAGATACATCACGACGAGCTGGTCAAGAACAGAAGAGATTTGAGAAAGCAAAAAACTTACGAGCTGATCACTTCTGATCGTTGTTGTCGTCGTTTGTGTTATTATTGTTCCAGAAGTCTACAGACGGGTCCACACAGAACTGGCGATCCAGTGGTTGTTTAGACGGGTTCTTCTCCGTTCTCGCCGTTGATGTTGTTGTTGTCGTCGCCCTGGTTGTCGAGAAATGAATGCCGTAAGAAGACAGGGGCGAAGAGAAGGCAGTGACGGGGCGGAAGGGCTCGGAGCCCCTGGGCCGCGGCACCCCACCAATTGCACCAGAGCAGGCGTCACTATGCTACACGATTACCGGTAGTAGCAGCCATAGTAGTGGCGATGCTCGCGCCTCACGACTAATACAACTATCACGAACACTAACAATATGAAGGCCACAGAGACGGAGCTACGACACTGACGTCAAGTAACACAGACATCAAGCAACAGGGCGCAACACTACCTTTTACCGCTTGCCTTCCCTTTATGTATGTTTATATATATATATATATATATAGGCTTTGGCGGCGTCAATCTTCGTTTCGTTTTTAACAACAATGAATGAAAGTTCGACCTACGCGGATTACAGTTTACGCCGAACCAAGTGACCACGCACTTACTGCAGCAGAGCAGAACAGATTAGGGTAAAAAGACAATTCAGTTTTACTTCTCGACGTTAGCAGTAGTTAGCATCGTAGAAAAACTTAGCGCGCCTTCGACCACCTCTGACCTTGTCGTTATTTGACAATTTCTGGTACCACCACATCAGTAACACAAATCTCATGCACACGCACGCCCACTAACAAAGGCCCGAACAAAAGTGAGAATGGACCGCCTTCGACTATATATAGAACCCAGTTCAACCGCGAATTGAATTCTATTCCTTATTCGTTCAGATCGAAATGTTGAACAAATATGAGTTCAAATGTATGCTTGTTATACCCACATATACATATATATGTAATCCTTTGTCAGGCAGAGGGAACGGAAGCTTGCAGGGTTATTCCTACGATGCAACACTGAATCCTTCTGGGCTTTTTCATCCGTCTCGTTCTTTTTCGATTCATACGTCTTCCTCTATCAATTTTTTTTAGCCGGCTCCTCGGAGCACTCACTCAATGTTAAGCCAATCAGCCCACACAATGGGAACCCAAGCACTCAGCTCCTTCCTCCGAATACTACGTTCGAGCTGGTCGGGGCCCTGCGGGGCGCGGCCTCCCGCAGCAGTGCCTTGAGACTCTCGCGATCCGTGCAGCAGGACGCAGCAACAAATCAGAGAGATCTCGATGCGCTGTACGCATCGATGACGGCTTCACCAGAGATGATAGCTGAAATTGACGTTCTAGCGACCTTCTACCATCTTCAACGTCGGGCGTCCAAAGTACGAAAGCAGTTCTCTATTAACTGTTTTTCGTGCCGGAGATTGACGCGTTGACGAGTGACTGCCGCCGGTTCCACGCACAGAATTTAACCTAGTTATTACTGTTGCCATTGTCTTTTCCGCTGCTCGTGCGACCATTGCAGCGATACGTACTACCCACCTTTTTGTCTCAGTGTATTTCCGCTGCACCGAGCTTTTCGTCGTGGTCTTATTGGCAAGAGTTTGCAAGACAGATACGATACTACGCGAGCCTTTTGTCCCGTCTGATTTTCTTGCCGCTTCTTATATCTAATCCTATCCACGCACATACACAACACTGTGGGAGATTACTAGCTGCGTGCTGCTCTACGACTGCTACCGCGGCTGCAACTTCTACTTCATCCTGCCGCTAGTACGAGTCAGGTCGCGCACGCTCGGGCCATCAGCGGCAGCAGCGCACAGCGGAGAATTTGTTTTCAACATGGCGGCGTTGGCGGTCGCAGTAGCGGCGAGGGCTGGATCAGGAGAGCGAGGGCATGGGAGGTAGCCAGCCGCCACTTGCAGCAGTACGCAGACAGACTGGGCCAGGGCTTGCACGCAATGGGCCTTCATAATGACCACGGCCGTGACGGCGGTGGCAGAGGCAGCGTTGACGCGGTCTTTTGCTGCTAGAAAAAGATCGACGCCGTTGTCAAACAGCACCGAAGAATGAAAAAAAAAAGCATTCCAATGAGGGTGGCAAAAGTGGTAATGGTTTACGCTGTCGAAACACAAATGGAACAGAATTCGGCGTGGTATCGCGGCAAGGTAGGTTGCTTGACTATTCACTAGAACTGGTCATCGCCACTGGCATATCTGGCACCTCATACTGCGGATTCAACTTCTGTATTATTTAGAAAGCGACGCGCGAGTCGATGACTTGCGATCCCCTTCTTCAAGCGCGCTCTCTGCTCCTACTCGCACGGATGAGCGGTCCTTTGATTGGTCGCCTGGTCTTTATGTCGATGAAACGAGCTGACGAAACGTTGGTCAAGCAGAATCTCGGCATTGGTTAGGAGTTTTCTGAAATCCGTTTCATCATCGCCTGTCTCGACGCGATGCCGTTCCCTGTTGCGACTCTGTCAGGATGTCAAACAATAGTACAAAATAATGTAACAAGGAGGCAGCAGCCAAAACCATATAGGACCTGGCACGACAAGACGACATTGGTATCCCTGTTTTCTCCTGGCATTATAGTATAATGTCGTTTCGTATAGCAGTTATATGACTTCGCAGACCAAGCAAAAAGGCAGGTCCAGCGCTAGTTTAAAAGTGCATCGTCCTGTTGAGGTTCTGGGAGTCTGGGAGGAGGAGGGCAACGACAGCACGCATGGTGGTGGTGAAAGCTGCCTCAGTGGGCAACGGCACTGGTGACGACGATAGCTCGATCTGGACTGAAGCTCGACTTTATAGCACTGCGATTTCAATAGTGATAGTGGGTTGAAGGAAACCACCGAACGTATGCTACGTATGAGCTACTGAAATGAGTCTGGAAGGCCAACTATCTAATTAACTAGCTAATTTTGATACTGTCGCGTTGTTAGTTCTTCCAGTCGCTGTAAGCTGCTATTGGCCGATTTCACACACAAAGCGATTCCTAAAACATCAATAAAAGTAGCAGTAGATTCCGATTGGCTTGGCAAACCTAGCGCTGGCCCAACCCAGCCAAGCTTGTATTGTCAAAGACTCACGTGGGTTTGTAAACGATACAGACAATGTAAGATAGTGCCATCATCATAGAAAAAACAGTTAGAAAATGCCTTAAGCTTTAACGGCCGCCTAGTGGTCCGGTCCTTTAACAGAGGGATTTAAGAACAACATACATAAGTCGTACCCTTTCTCTACCTGCCAGCGTACGATTTTACCCCCGCGAACGAAAGATCCAACAGTGATGTTTTATCTTCTTATTAACGCAACAGATGCATTATATATAGCAGATATCTATCTAGCTCCTATCATCCAATCAATAATATCCAATCAATTTATCTCGGCGTATGTTATGATGCCTGTCGTTGGGGCCATGATTGTTAGTAATAAAAATTTCTACCCTAATAACTCGAATAGACCAATAACGATAAGAGGTGGTAGCTTAGGAATTCATGAAACTAATTGTCTGAATTTTATTATCACTGATAGCCACAGTTACACAGTTACTAGTTTATAGTTATTAAAGTTAGGCCGATATACGTTGGCAGGCTGCTGGAAAGACTACTGCAAGAATCGATCTAAGGCGCGAAGAGCTAAACATATGCGAACAGAGAACGAGCAAAATAACGATTCGAGCTACGATCATTCGTGGACATCAGCAAGCCTTATCATCATTTACCGAAAATGATGTCTTTCGTTGAAATTGGTTGTTAGAAGCTACACGAACGCGATGATCAAGATTGTCGGGCAGGTGGGAAATGCAACTGTTGCATAGCAGGTGTCTGGCATATATAAACCATCCCAATACGAAGCGGAGCGTCCAGCAGTAGACCGCCTATGTAGAACAGAGTTCGTTGCAGTATTGGCAATTCTTGGGGTCGGTGTCGCCGGAACCTTGGACGGACTGGTGTGCAAATGCCATCAACACATTTATTACAATGAGGATATACAAAGAGCTGCTGGTTAAAACTGGCAACGAGACGTATTCCATTGTAGCTTAGAACTGACGCTAAGAAATATATATATATAGATAGGGCCTTTTCTTTCATTTTTTTAATGTACTATGTTTAGTCGTTTAGTTCCCTTTAAAATTAACTATTATTAGTTAAAAAATATTAGTTGTTGTAACATGTTGCGTTATCACTTCAAAATGATATTCATAACATCAGTACCAACCTTCAACCTCACTGATTCCAAATATTCGTGGCAGTGACCCTACGGAAAATCATTTAGAAAATATGTATACGGCAGGATCCTTTGGACGGCTGAACCTCTGGCTGAACAAAGCATTGATCGCTGGTTGGGCGGCAGTGACAAAGGGCAAACATTGGCCAATTAAATAGCAAGAACTGCTGCACTTGACAGAAATTATTTTTCTACCCAAATTAAATATCTGTTATATGGAAGCTTTGCCCCCTCAACTTTTTAATGACAGTACATGTGACGATACGGCCGTTAGACGATCTTCTAAAAGTGGCGTGGAAGCGGAAGCACATACTGGGATGTGTGATCAGTCACGACACGACGCGTGAATATTTAAGCCATTAAGCACAATTTAGATATCCGATTTTGTCTTGTAGACGTAGATGATTGAAGATTACACTGATCTGGTCGATGACAACAACGTTATTATTATTGCGAAGTCAATTTCGATCATTTTCGTATTTTTTAACTATAGACAAAATCTACGAGAGATCAGAGGGCCCTTATAGCTATACTTATACAAGAAAAATGATAATAAGGAGAATTTTCTGAGTAAGTCGGAATCTCGGAATACGTAGTTGCCCACCCAGCTCAGAGGGTAAAGAATAAAGAGCCTTTGTCATCAGTAAAAATAGGAAACAGAAATCAACAATAGTTCACAACGCTACGATGAAACAGGTCCACTGTAGGCGAACTACGAAAAGACGGATCTGCAATGGTTTTTCAACTGTGTCAGAGGGTGACAGAGCGCCGAGTCACTGGACCCATACTAGGTTGGTATCGAAATTAAAGGTTCTAGTCGCCGTAAATCAGTCAAAAGCTTCGAGTAAATGGCGCGTATAGCTATCCGCGTCTCGAATGGAGTCAGCAACTCCAAGGCTGTAAAGTTGAAATCTATGAAAGGGTCTGTTTTTTTAGGTAAATCACATTCTAACATTTCAAGTAGTAACACGTCTACAATCCTTTCTAAAATATTTCATTACATTTGTATGATTCAGTAGGTTAAACATTCTGGCAAAATTCTAGCGTGGGCCGTGATTTGTATTCGCCATGCGGATGCCACACATTTCGCCAGCGAGACTATAGTGAGGTAATTTAGAAGAAAAATGCTTTCGAAGCTGCGAGAACGGTACCCGGATGGGAATAGTGCGTTCATGTACGACGAGTCACTGTACCATATGGCTAAATGTGTATTCGAGATGTGTGTTGCTTACGGTGTTAAGGTTCCGCCCTGGCTTCGAGGTTCAGCCGGCTTGAAATTCGGTCGAAAACGTGTGGTGTTAAAAGCTCGAGAGTGTAGAAGAACGTTAGGTACTGCGCCTCGTTGGTCCGGACCCTCTAATGCGAAAATCTACACGATACGAAGGTCCATGAAACAAAGTACCCCGATAATGAATCTAGCAGCATTCTCTTTATACTAATCCCAGCCAAGTCCGGTCAAAATGACTGAACCTTAAAGAAGTCAATGTTTTTATAATTAAACGTTGATTTTCGGAGATTTTTTTGTTCTCGCATTATTACAGAACACTAACGTACCCAATGATTTGATTCTTTTCGCGCACAGTTTTCACCATTGACGTACGTACAGCCTCTAAAACAACAGTGCAAACATACACATAAAACAGGACATAAATAGGTTTAGTAAGGTGCAACTACCCGCTCACGCATGTGTTGCTTATATATTCAGTTATTAATTATACAGCGGTACGTGTGGCTAGCTCTAAACTATGAGTATCTGTACGAAAATAAAATACGTACGAAATAATTCAGACGAACACCTAGAAGCAGTTCCAGTACTCTAATGTATAAAGCATAGTATTATGTGTATGTATTGTAACCTTTAATATTTCTGGTAGGCTCATTGTCCTCAACACCGTTGGTCTATTGGATTTGGGAAACAATGCGAAATCAATACAAATCAGTAATTGTACAGCTGTGATATGTCCGCCCTCTAATCCTAAAAGCAAAACTAAAAAAAAAAGGACATTTCATTGTGAAGGTGCCCGTTTTACATTCTCTTCCATTCATCAAAATTATTCTGTAAGTCGGCTTGAGCAGTGTACCTCTGTAGCACTGCAATTAAGGTAGAGGTAAGATGAAGTACTTGTAATATTATGAGTCAGAATGTTTCCACGGCATTCTGTAGAGACTTTATGAACGTTAAATCGCTCAACGTATTACCGAAATTCAAGCGGCCGCACAAACAGTGGAACGTAATCAAGATAGCTGATATGCTGTGTATCTGCAATGAACAGACAGATAATAGTACTGCTTTAGGCCCATCCCCGACGTTCCACGTCTTTGAAAGCGTACCCATAGTGACGCTGGCCGATTTCAGACCTCGACACCCTTGTGCACTGTCTCACTTTTATTGGGCCTAAAGTAGAAGATATTTTACAGAAAATACTGCGAAGTAACTCCTTGAGTTTTAACTAAAGAAACGTTTTTTAGAAAACTGAGTGATGAAAAGGACGTGGCTGCGAGTCGGCTGCCTAGACTGACTTTAAGATACATAAAATACCCAAAATGAATACAGGAATTAAGGGTATATACATATTTAAAGTAAACGCACATATATAGTCATAATAAAGACATAAAGCATATATGTATGTCAATACATACACAGAACCTTTGAATAGCAAGTCGAGTCCATACGAAGTTGCACGCTCGAGTTCAAGAAGCTTCAACAACGACTCAGTCAGGCTAAAAATCAAAGCTCATTGTTATTATTAGCTAAATGAAGTAACTCCACGGGTAATATGTAAAATGGACTGCAGAAGATCATATAATACTGAAAGCAGCTCACCGCTGATTTGCAATGAAATGCATAATGACTTAGGGAGAAAAGCCAAATAACTCTTATTACTAATTACTAGGGCTTTTCTATCTCACCAAATCGATCTCGTTAGTTGCCCCTCTTATCGGAACATACCGCTAGTAATTACCATTCAGTTTCAAACTGTAAATATGTTCATCCATTTCCGTTGGCTTAAAAACTAGAACCGCTTTTTATGTTGATGTTTTCGTGACAAATGTGTGTACACCGAGAACACGTTCAACCACACGAAGCACAAAATTTTCCCTACGGTAACACAATTATGATAAGTTTAGTTCCCGCATATAATTTAGAACGTCTGGATCCAAGCCGGATTTATGGGGTATGTATAGACATGAACATCATAGGGGGAGCGACAGTCAGGAACTTGGATCTTACCCTAAGGTAGGATAGGATAAGACATGATGAACATAACCGAAGTTTCATCACTAAAATTCAGTATTCAGTTATAACACTCGATATCATGTCTGGGCGTATAACTACCCCCATCTGATAACATCAACCTGTGTTGAATCAGGACGCAGGATAAAGATGATTGCCTTAATGGTGACCATATCTGGATCTACTGAGCTGGAAGCTGAGATTAAGCCTAGTATTTCTTTTGTTAAAATGCACATTCACAACATCGGTTCACAAAAGGGGCCGAGGTTAAATTGTAGAAAGATATGGAAAAATGCATGTGTTCCATCTTTTGTTATAGGCATAATATCCTGCATTTTTTTTGTCCCGTTTTGTATAGACATCGACGTACACCCTTGGGCTGTTTATTAAGCATTTAACGTTCAGTACTGTTTCATTCCTACGTTGCTTCAGACTGCTGACTACCCGCACAATAGCGAAACATGTCTGTAAGCCGGATTACTATCATTCAGTTTGACAACACGCGCTGGGCATATAGTTCAGCTCTAAATCATTCCATAGATGATACATGATAAGTTCTACTACTTAGAAGAGGCGCAAATCGAGTGAATCAATATTTTCAATAGGACAATATAAACCGCTAAATTGATTGGTTTTCTTCGTGCTAGAGCTACTGGTAGACTTCGTCTACATTTTAGGCTGGCGATTACAGCAGCATGTATTGAAGTTACCTGAGGTCCATTTGCACAAACCGTTATCATACCCATTTCTACTGTACTTTAGATTGCTTGTTTGCCAATTTTTCCGGACATGCTGTTCGATCATTGAGGGCATCAAAATCATAGGTAGACTCAGGCATTCTGCGCGAAAAGCCCAGTCTTTGTTTGAATTTGATTCCCTTTTAATCAACCATAAAAGGTAGAATAACACAAGCCGGAGCAGTAGAAAAAAGCATCACAGTTCGTACACGAGGCCATTTTTCCCCGACATGGCTTGTGGAGGAGATAAAAGCAAAAGTTGAGTTAATGCAGCTGCAACAGTCGGACAGTTTCAACATGGCAGACCGTTTCGGGCGCATCTAGGGGTCGTTCGATTACATACGTACGAACAGGCCAATTTAGCTTGGAATCATAAGATGAGGAAATTGCACCTGTTTTTCGGTCTGCGCATTTGGAAATCTATTGGGCCCAATGTGTCCTGCGGCCATTCACTATTCAAGATATGACATTAAATACGAAGTGAGTAAGGCCTTTATATGTGTTTATAGACGATCTATGAATGGACAGCTTAGCTTATTTTCGGTAAACGGACATGGCCTAATGAAAAAATCTGTTTAAAAGATTCTACGCTAAGACAGAATAATTTCGGTGTCCGAAAATACAGGCCATACTCCTTAAGACCTATCGTAGTTTCTACTGTTAACAATGGTCTGGTTGGCGGAAGTCGATTCAGCGTTAGGTACAAAATTTGAAAGCGCCTTCACTCTGCCAAAAACGGCGAAAAAGCGGTAATGAGTGCGTCACAAATTGTGTATTTTGAGAGGCACCGTAAAGCTAAGTCGCTTCAAACCCCCCTATTTATTTGGAAACCAATACAGATATACTTCGATAGCAGTACGCCGTCCTGTGGCAATGCTTTGAGCATTCTGATTATTCATAAAAACTGCTTTTATTAAAAATGTTATTTTTCTCCATTTAGATACTTGGACCCGGACGAGTGACAAAAACAAGTGGCATCAGGGCAATAATCACGTCAATGATTTAACGAAACAAACATTTTAGTCGCTGTTAATTCTTGGACTGTTCATTCCCACAGGCTAAATTCGCAGCGGACTACCGCCGATTCTACTGAGCAACAATGCAAAAACAAAGCAGAAAATTTTAGACGTGGAAGTCGGTCAACATTTCTATCTAGATACTTGTTACACACGCTATATTGAGCCAACAAATGAACTTCGGTTCATTTAGGTGCACAGATGCGATAAAGGCCAAGCTACGGGTAGAAGACTGCCACGCTTGTAAAGGTCAGTCGATAGGTTCTCGGTGGCGATGTTAGGCTGTGATAGGTGGCAAAAATCGACCAAACGCATAAGTAGTAGACATAAATGCATGTATATACTCAAAATATTTTTACATCGTGAGAAATTTTGATGAATAATAATCTCATGTTGCAGTTGTTTTCAAAGACTTCGCGAGAAAGTTAGATTTCATCGTTTCGAAAGTACCTCACGATCCAAAGGTACTAAGTATTTGAGTGTTTTAGGTATTCTCAGTATGAAATTGCACAAAGCTTGCACGCTAATGAAAAATATGTGAGTAACGTATATAGAGTTAAGCTGGAACAGGACGACCTATCGATTCCGTTATCTACATATATTTGTACAGACTCAGCGAAAGCTAACAAGGCACGAGGAGGAATTAGTCTATAAGCAACTTGGGCGCGTCCTGGAAGATCGTATCGTGCCGTGAAGTTCTCAAGATGTGGACATAATCGTACCAGATCGCTCATAATCGAACTAGTGGAAACATCCGACATTAGATCGGATAGAGTAGGATTCATATATTTGTCTCAATTAATTTTACGGCTCGACGGCGGAGCGCTAAAGGGACACGGGGGTAGCAGCAGACAGCGTTAAACATCCTACCGTATCCTCTAACAGGTGGATAGAATTGCACGTCATCGAACTTATAATAGATAACATCTACGATACGTACATGAATATTTCCTTTCTAGCAAGTACGAAACAAGTGTACGCAATTCTTATCGAGTTTATTATGTGTGTGTTATTTACGGCTTGCATAGTGGTCCAATGTTGCACACGTGCACGCAGTGCCCACACAACTTATATTCCCAATCATATATTCGGCTTAGTTCAATAAATATTCGAGTATTTCGTCTGCTCACTACGGTAATGACGAACGTTTCCCACGAGCGAGGTGCTTTGTCGTGTTGCTGAGGCCGCCGTCATTTTCGTTATTGTCGATATCGTTGTCGCCATAATAAGGGCGGTCATAGTCACAAGTCGACCGGCATATGGCCTTTTTCGTCACTTGGTCACTCGGCTTGGAATCCACTTGTGAGTTGACTGGTCAGTCTGTATGGCCCGATGCTTATGAGCGCGTGTGCGCTTCCTTTCTGTGCAGTGCACATTAAGTATACTCGCTCATGTATACAACATGGGTGCGGTTAGCAACGTTTTTATTATCGTTAGTGGTTCTGTTGGTGGGGTGGTGTTGCCTCGACAGCCGGCGCCGGTTGTTTAAACAGCACAAGCTGACTCACGACCCTGCCTTCCGTTGGCAAGTGGCAATGGAAAGTGAGCGGCTTTGGCGGTGAGGGCATCACCTCGCTCGTACGCACCGACAATGCAGCGGTTATTATCTCTTCCTTACCACTGGTTCAAGAAAGCAAGTGCGAGTGAACAAAAGAGGAAGGGAGGACAAACATGACAGAACGCAAAATAGAGAAGGAGATAAGAGAGAGGGTTGGTATGCCTTCTATTCAACAGATGCATAGGAAAATGACGGACACATAACGTTAAACGGTGCATCGTTGTTGAGGCACAGCGCGACATGGAACCAATGATGCAAGCAGGCTAGCTAGCTAGGCAGACAAGCAGGTAGGTAGCTAGACAGAAGCAGAGGCAACAGGAAATGCAACGTAGCTCAGAGCAAGACGAAACGCGAAACTAGTTCGCATGTTCGCCGACCACCGGCGAGTAATTATTGTTTCGTTCGTTCGACCCCATCTTCTACCCTGTCTTATCCCAGAAGGTGGGTCTCTGCATGCCTCCCTAAAAGATATGGTCCTGTCTACTGATGCTGTAGCGACATTCACCGCTCAGCCTTAGCTCCCTTCTTATCAGCCTAGTTTTGCCCCAGTCGGGCTGATCCTGACGATACGACTGACGCGAAGCGACCGCATCTGTGCTTTGTCGCGGCAATGCACCGATGCTGCTGCTGCTGCTGCTATTTTTTTATCCAATCTATGCAGTCTCCGTCACTCCTAGTTCACTAATACGCTATCGTTGGCAGAGGCATGACAGATATACCGGTGGTCGGCTTTAATAGACCGCCGCACAGAGTTTGATTGATCGATTGATCAATTGACGCCATGCAACGGCTGAGACTTTGCTACGCCCCTGTCTTGCTACTCCGCCCGCACAAAGATATTTTGACCCATGCGTAGTAACGAGGCTTCGGCGAAAAAAATATATCAATTAGTTGCAACGTATGGAAAATAGATGACATTCGAGACCATTTGAGTAGCTATCAGAAGCCGACCAGTTTGATGATGGTACTCCACCTGTCTGCAACAAGGATTAGCTGGATCCGCTTCTCAGAACTAGTTCTGGAAAGAGCGGTGCTTGTCTATTTCAGATGCGAGCAACCATAATTATATGGCCTGGGCGGACTTGTATACTTCAGCCGTGTGAGAGTGATTGGATAAAGTGGTCTATTAATGATATACAATTGCCGATAATAAGTTACTGTTACTGCATTAGGACCTATGGGCCGGGAAGGCGATGCGCTTAGCTAGCAAACAAATATGTTTAGCCTTGAGCGGCCAGCAGCTGTTGGCAGTGAATAACACTAAACATCAATGGCCATTATGTTTATCTGAGCGATAACACGCTGGTACAGTATCATCAGTGTCGAATAACTGATGTCCATGGAGCTGATTAGTGCTAATGGAAAAATGACCCGTCCATCGATCTGTTCATCGATACAAATCATGCTTTTATAAGCCTAAGAGGTCTCGCTTACAAACGTCGGCCTCTAGTTTTATATAGTTGCTCCGGTAGTGCGAGGCTTTTCGTACTATCGTAGCAAATATAGATGTGCACATCGAGCAAAGGCAGCACGAGCTTCATCCACTTTCTAACTATCTGTTGCTGGGTAGTCCCGATATTTTAGTTCGGGGAAACTCTATGCTAAGCCCCATATAGCATTTACGTTTATAATTTTCAATGCTGCTGGTCATCTTCCGTTCCCATGGGATCGGCAAATGGAACCTGTTGTTGTTGCTTCATTTACCTATCGCGAGTATAAGATAATAGTTACTATAGTGACAAAGTATCAAGTCAAAATGTCCGCTCTGCAAGAGCCAGCCTACTCTTTCATAAAATAAATGTTTTTTCTTTATGGAGAAACAGATTGCCAATTGGATGTGTACATAACTAATCTGCGGCCTCAGAATTCGTAACGTATATTCTCCAGTCTCGTTTAGTGATCGTCTGCAGGAAGAAGCCGTACCGGGTGGCGATGTAGAAAATGTAAGGTTCTATTCGATGTGTACACGATATTTCAAGGTTGCGCCGAATTGAGGTCGTCTAATGGCATATGCGGTTAGCCTGCCAATTCAATAATATCCAGAAACGATAAGCATTGAAAATTTATTATCTAATTATATATATGAAGTATAGTGAGCCTGCACGGTCTGGATCGCAGTAATAATGGTTATAAATGTTACGGCCTGTCTCGCCAACCTAATTTGTTTTACAAACAAACTCTTGTAGATAACTTGGCCGAAATTGTATGGTAACCCAACGCTCATCCAATACCTATTTATAAACCATTGTGTATAGCTTACGTATAGAAATTAGAAGACGTTCATAATTTATGGAACACGATATGGCGCAAATTACGTTGGGCAGCCTATCAAAACAAATCTAAGAATTGTTTGACTTCGTAAAAATAAAATATTTAAAAGTCACTTTCTTGCTACGAAAATTGCGCTTGAAGCGAACCAGATGGGATAAAATGTATCTCTTATTCATTCTCAGTTATAAGACAGTATTAATTATAGTCATAGTATTTTAATAAATCTCTTCACTCACAGGAACACGTAAATTACGGTACGGTAATAGAAAACTTTGTGTGAACTGGAAGTACTCTTTGTTAGCAACTTTCCAGATTACGCAAAAAGCACCTTCGTTAACCGATTTATTTGTCGATTAGAACTCCTCGTTCACCCATTAGGAAAGCAGATTTCCCGAAGATTAGCTGCCTATTTATTTAGCGATCCAGATATCGTGAATGACGAAGTAGCTTTTAAATCTTAAATCAAACGTGAACGTGTCCTTACGATTCCAGAAGATGTCAGCAGGTTGCAAGCTATAAGATACAAAAAAAATGCACAAATGGTGCTATCTATAACACCAAATGCGCGCCATCTTCACCGATTACCTGGTCTCAAAGATAGAATTTATAAAAACGTTGGCAAAATTGGATTTACTTAAACGTGCGTTACGGAACACGTTTAAGAACACATAAACGGTCAATTTTTTCTCACCGAATTTGCATATAATATATTTCCATGAAGTAATTAGACTCGCAGTTAGCACAGCATGAGAAGTTTTCTATAGAGAAACTTTCCGACAGAACTCTATGTTCCGTTCTAGTTATAAACTAAAAGCGTAATTTTTGTTACCATCGTGGTTGAATATCGTCGACCCTCTTGAGACTAGTCACGCAGTCTACGTCCTTAGCAGCCAAGGTTCGCTGCCTTGACCCTGATCCTTCGCATTCGAACGACCAGGTTCGGTAAAGGTCGTCTAAAAGCTCAATGAATGTCCCACTGGATGCAAACGTAACTCGTAATCGGCTCCTTCTATTTTCAACCAGATATAATTATTGAAGTGATTTAGGCAATGACCGAATACAATTCTATTTGACGAAGCTCACACTTCCGCTAGCCGTCACTGGGTTTTGATTGAACTGTGGACGTGGCAGAGCCCCCATTCTTTTCCCGTTTAGAAGATGGTAAACGCTCATTATATGACGCTGAAGTTGAAGAAAAATGCATCTTAACAGAAAGCAACCACCCAGATATCAATCTATTCGTTTTGAAAATGATTGTACGGAATCGCAGAAGCACTCACTCAAACTTTAAATGAAGTCGTCTTAGAGAAAATGTAACACAAAGCGTTGAAAATACGTCAGTCTATTTTAGCGTATCATATACGCACGTATATACATACACGCATACATCGAAATTGAATAAAACGCATTATTTTTTTCCCCTTTTCTCCGCAGCGTTTTATCACTGTCCTCTGTGGCAACCATCTTGATACATGTCTACTCATCACGCAAGATATCTTGCACTCACAGTCAGGCATAATCGCATTGTTGGCGAAAAGAGCAAGTCTACTCCTGAGCGCTAGGTTAGCTTAATCAATCCATTTTGCGTATTCATCTTGTTGCTCGTCTGTGTGTTTTTTTCAGATGTCCGAAAAGCCGCCGTTCAGAGCTTTGCTGTTACAGCTAATAATGCTGCTGCTGTTTACTCCGGCCAAACGTGACCGTCAACGGACTCGGACGGTCGTAACGGATGGAAGTCTCCATAATATGAAGATGTCGATTAATGGAGAAAAGTTCTTGTGTGATAGCTCCCGGCCAAGGAGAACGTAGACATACGAAAATGTTTTGAACTTCCTCCACTACAGAGTACGTACGGCATTGCAGGCTTAGTTCTTTGTCTGTTGCAACTGCTTCGGTAGCTGTTCCCATCAGTTCTCAGTACTTCAAACCTGTAACTTTCAGCCGCCGCCTGTCTAACTGACACTTTACTGGCCGACGTAGCGATATATATATATAGAAAAAGATCTAGCTAAATAGCATACTTGTACTAACGTTCAAAGGTCATTGAGCAATCCGAATAACCATCATAATATTCCTACTATTGCCATTGTTTTATTAATCTATACGGTTGAATTCCAATAAACTTCTAAGTAACTGAACATTGTTTGGTTTACGATTAAAACGAACCGTGAATCACCAAACAAAATAGCTCGAATCACCTACTTGTTAAATTTTTGTTTTTAACCTATTTGTCCTTATCACGTTCTATGTAATAGAGGGAAAGTGAATAGAAAAAGAAAAATGTATTATAGATGCTTTCCTGAGAAGTATAATCCTTACAAAAAAACACCACTAAATTAATTAATTTTCACCCTAATAGTATGTAGGATATTAGGTGGTCGCAATAGTTCGACAGCTCTTGTCGTTAGATAGCTTCAAAGTTACATATCTTAATATGATTCGGTGTTGGTACTATTTGAAAGCTGTCGTAGATGTCTTAAATACTAGATTGCCTTTATTCAGATTTAAGACAGCGTCTCGAAAATGAGTGAAATTTTTACAAAAGAAAAATCGCTATATTTTACAGTCTTACTGCCACAAAAATACTAATTCTGTCTAGGCCCTCAAAAAATGCGTGCAATTTATGACTGGGAGAAAACAATCCAAACAATGGTCCTGTCGGTTTGATCCTAAAAATTTCAATGTGAAGAATGCTTTTCGTAGTAGTGGACCTGTTCTCTACAAAATTATTACGGCAGCAGAGCAAGAGTGACCCGTGAATAGCCGGGATATCGCCGAGGATGTCTGAACATCCACCATGAAACAGTTTCAAACCATTTGGTGAAAGCTGACTATAAACCGGTGCACGATATTTGAATGCTACATAAATCACGATAAAAAAAAAAAGAACACAGTAGATTCTATCCATCCACGAAACTCTATAGAAGCATCGAGCCATCTCTGAAGAGGGGGCTATTTTGCTATAGTGATGAAAAATTAGTCTAATGTGGCAGTGACGGACAAAGTTATCGGCCAAAACCTAGACACACGCCAAATAAGGTGATTGTGTGCTTAATGCAACTGAAAAGGAATCACGGAAAGGCGTCGTCGTTCACCGCGAGATTTTTGCAAACCTTTGACTACTCGGTAAAAGTAGACATCATGATTGGCAAGTTTTAATGTATCCACCGTATACCCTGAATCTCACATCATCTGTTTCAGATTCTGCAGAAATTTCTTGATAGTGGTACTTGAGTTTCTGTAAAAAGATGCAAAGCTCACTTGTAGTAGTTTTTCTCCCAGGAACCGCAGACGTCCCACAGGGACAGTATTATGGTATTACCAGAAAAATTGCGAAAGACCATCGATCAAAGTGGCGCATATTTTAATAATACTGTTTTAAAATACAAAAAAATATTTGTTTCAATTTTGGCTTTAAAACCGTTCATATTTTTTCCAACATATAGTGTGTTCACGGGCACGCTATTATATGCATAATTTACAAAAAAGGAGAGTAAGTTTGATGGGCTTGTGACAAGACGGATCGTGATTTCGAAAAGGATAGCCAGGTACAAAGAGCCTGAGGTCTAATTTCTGATCACTATGTTACAGACACACTTTACGTGAGATAAAACCAGTAAATTTTAATTTGATACTTTATCCAGTTAAAAAGTCTAGAAATTTCGTCACATTTACCTGTTAAGGGGGTCATTGATTTTCACAAACCAGTTTTCTTAGCAAGTCTCTATGGGGACCGGTTGAATAATTATTACATATCGTACACACTCGGCGTGCTTATTTTCTGTGAACGCAACTCATTGAACAACACGTTTCACAATAAAAGAAATTCTAACTAAGTTTCCAAAAGAGTATTTACAAACTAGACTTCCGAACCGTCATATTGAATCTCGCTAAAAGAATAAAGACGAATATTAGAACGCGCGTCTTATTAGTGCTACTAGTAAATGTTTAAAGGTATTACTATGTTCGAAAAAACCAATCTAAGTTACTCAATGGAGAGTAATAACAATCGTAGTCTCAGTAAGTAAATGTAATTTATACTTCTATACAGTTAATTTTGGCCAATATTATTCAAAAGAGCAATTGCATTATAGATCTATGTATGTTGCGTCGAACGCATTCGCTGACCTTCAAACGTCCGACCCAGAGGGTGCAAGATGTATCTAAACAAGCACAGAATGCAGCGAGAGCTCCATGAAGAGAAACGATTCCACTTTGGCGAGTCAACGAACCTCGGTTGAAGCTCATGTCGGGTCATCGTTATACTTCACACGAAGTTATAATTGTATAAATAACCGTTCTCATAATGCACTGAAAATAATTACCAACAGATATATGTAGTAAGATCTCATAAAGAGGGGACCATATCTCCAGCTCCTCACGCAATGACTCGTTTGTTCTACTGGCTGTATGCGTCACTTTTACTCAGCCAAAACACATAGATACAAATGTGATATTAATCATAGATTGTTTTATTATGAAATTTTGGAGAACGCAAGGCCTGACTTGAATTACGCCCCTTTGTTACTATCTCCATGAACTAAGCTATGTTTCTGCTTGAGATGAACATTTGTTATTGTCGTCTCATCTGTAGTTTTTGTGAAGACACCTTTACGATACGTTAATATCGAAGGTTCAAGAGATCGATTAATACGAGCTTCGCGATTAAGGACGGAAACGAGCAGGCTATGTAAAAGTTTTTGTGCTTGCGCTGGCTTTTATAAAAGTTCCACTATTGAGTTTACTGTGAAAAAAATAGATATAAAACAATTTTTTGAATTCTCAGATAAGCTTCCAGAAAGGGGTCGATAGTGACCGGTTGAGAGCCCCGAATGAAGGTGTCGATCAAAGTTCCCCAGGTTAGCGCTGACCGAAGTATTAATTTTCGCAGTCCTGAAAAATTTGACAAAAGGGGAAAAACTTAAATGACCAAGGAATATCGTAAATTGTAACAAAAAAATCTGGTTTTTCGAAAATTGTAACTTGAAAAACTAGCGAGTTTGATTTAAAAGTCTACTTTCACCCTGCATGCTCGATAGATTTTAATCGACTACTACGTAACTCTGGGTTTAGATATCGTATCGAAAGGATTGGTATTCAAGAACCACTGGAATTTTATTTTCTAATTGTCACTAACCTCTAACATCATCGTCGACTAATAGTAAGCTTCCCACAACTTCACAAAAGCAATTAACCCATAACCAAAATTAAAAAAAAAAATTAGGCGTTCCATAATCTGAGAATTACTAACACACTTCCGCTAATATCGTTACTAAAATTGCTATCTATTGGTGAAAACCAGCAAATAATAGACAGACCGCACAACAAGCAATGCTATACCAAGTGAATGCTGCTTCAAGGCCAGGCGCGCTCTTGATTCAATTTTCGATTGAAGTTTGCGTGTACTCAGTCGTGCACATTGTTGGTAGCTCAGGTTGAACACAAACGCTGCCTCTCGTCCCATACACCTGTATGTAGCTATAAATATTATGCAGGCGCCTATAGCGTGACGATACTGACATTCCGTTCCCACAATCTGATTTGAGTTAGCACAGGATTGGTACATGGGCGATTCCTATATGAACCTGCAAAACAGGTAATATTTCAGAAGGTGTACAGATCTTTGGCTATCCCGGCATGCAATGGGAGTTGGGAAGCAGTATAAGAGTATCATCACCGCTCGTCTGTTAATCGGACACACGAGCCGTTTCAGTCCTTTTTCAATGTCTTTCTTCTGGACTGCCTAAAGACGACTGGCTCTAATTATTACGCATGTTTATGCACATGCGTGCGTGTAGGCATCTATAATCATATTATTACATATTGCAACTGTTCCAGTGACATCGTTTAGTGGTTGGGAAGTTTTAACATCAACGTTTCAGGAAACGTCCATAAGCCCTTCTCAGTCTGACGTAGTTTACTCGAAAGAAATTTTAGGAGACAAATTCGATTTGAAGTATACGACGCGTTTAGACTGATTCAATGATCCAGCTTCTTCCTATGAGGTATGTCCATGATAAGGTTAAGAGGGCTCATTAAGAAGAACGAATCCTAACTTGAATTGTTCTGACAAGGCATAATTTTTGGGTGCGGTCAGTGTAGTTGACCTACTTAAGGCACAATCTTAGTGAATGCCAAAAGGCATTAACAGCAAAACCTGCATTCGCATCCTTTGGTACCATCCTTAACGGTGATGACAGTAACAATAATTACGTCATTCTGTAATCGGCGTTATTTTCTATTCTGTAGAGAAACAATTCGATTCAAGGCCCACGTCCGTATCTGTATGTTACAAAACGTCTCGGACGATTTTCTTTTCGAAATATTTAGACGCTTGCATGACAGTAACCGATTGGCAAATTATATACTACATCTCATGGGTAACACAACTGCATTTGAAGTAGGTATGAGGTTCACGATTGCCACTGTTATAGCTGGACAACGAACGACCAATACAGCAGGTCGTGTCAATCGGTAATTGTGCTCTTCGATATTATAGCCGTGACTACTACCTGAAATTCAAGAACATATAAGTCATCTACCGAGCGACGTTTTTCTTTAGTTATTGCTTTACAGAGCGTTTCGTATAAATTGGGACTAATCTTCTGTCGGTTGCATCGATGTGACTACTTTTTCTTTTGCATATGCCAGAGGAACATCTTTCCCAAACGAGCGTTTATTTAATGCAACTGCTATTTGCCTATACCTAGACTTTAATTCGGGTCCTACATCGATCACAGATAACTTCCGAAAATTCCGCTTGTAAGCTCGTGAATAGTAAGTGGCGTGTAAGTTCATCAAAGCCTCGTTTAGGCACGCCAGATGCAGCATAAACCTTAACTGCTTTTTAAAAATTTTACATTGACTAGGCGTTAGGGTTTATTTTCTCGGCGAAATTTGCAATAGATACACCTGAAAACAACCGCTCTTTTTTGCACCAGTATCAACGCAAACGGTTTGTTGTCATTCACTTAGATTGTCAAGCCCTTTCAAACCAATCATTCTGGATGTTCGAGTTTTCTCCGCGGAAATTCTTCCTAACGTTCTTTTAAACCGCATGGAAGCAGGTAATATGAGGTCGTTGGTTCACGAAAACGAAACAAAAAGTATCTTGGAGAGGGCTCATCCGGGGTAAAGACATTGAAAATTGGCTAACCTTTGCTCACGTTCTAAAACGGGCATCCTGTATTCATCATAGCAGGTTATACTAGTTGATTTGAAAAGAATTGGCTTCCTTCCGTAATCCCTGTCCACCATAACAAGCGACCCGCCAAAATGTATACATTTTATCTCGATGATTACATCCTAAAACTATATATATAAAAATATGAAGTTACTGATATAAAAAAGGCTACCAAACTTTGCAATGTACTAAATTGTTGCTTTATCTCAATCTCCAATGTTTTAACAAAAAATTGACCTCCCTGCTTGGACCCTTTATATAGCACTCATAATTATTTAATTAACTTAAAATGGAAATTTAATCAGTTTTTTCGAACTTTGGACACGCGTAGAGAGGGGTGGGGCTACGAACCAGACAACGATATGGGCCCTGTACTCGACGGATACTCATAGAGAAACTTTTTACCTTTTGCAATTATAAATAGTACCTGCCCCGACTGTGGATTTCTTAATACTGCCTGTTCTGTTAGTACTACTGTATTGACTATTCCATCGAAATTCTCTAGTCTACACCTTTAATCTCCTTCCCAACCGACTGATAATTGCTAACGCAAAAAGTAAACTTTGGATAGAAAAAAATCCGAGTGGATTTTGGCTACAAATCGCAATGGCATCTTCTATATATATGCGAGACATCTAATATTTTTAGGCGTTATATTTGTTTGCTCTTCATAAAAAAAAAAACAACATTTCTGCGAATGCAAACGCTTCAGAGATATAATTGTTCCGTTCTGGAGTCTCTCGCAGAATTTCCTATTACGCTGTATTATTCATAAACCTTCCTTGCTATTTAAAGCGGTTAAAAAGGACCACCAAACGTTTTGATACAAATCCATCCCCTATTTTTATTTATACTTGTAACAGGCTCAGATAAAACAGGTTATGTAAAAATGAACCACTCCGATTGATCCTGCGGAAAGCTTCTAAGCCTCATAAGGTACATGGTAGATTACGCCTCTTCCACCTTTGTGTAAAATACTACAATTATGAGGTCACTGAATATTCACCAAAAACTGAAAAATCCTGAGTCCTCAAATCGTAAAGCTTTAAGCAGACGAAACAGTAGAACGTGCAAAGCAAGATACATAAAAGGCCAGCAATACGAAGTGCGTTTTAAGGTCTGAAGAAATAAGTCATTAGCGATTGTAGGCCGCATAAATGTAACCTTTGAGGTTCGTAGAATCATCCTAGGATTACATGCGATCAAACACCTTATAGGCTGGTTACATTATTATTAATTAGTGGCTTTTTGAACAGGTAAGCACAAAGCTAACTACAGATGAAGCAAATAGTGTACAAGTAATGCGCCAATTCAACAGATCCAGTTGGTGCTAGAACGGACTCTGACAATGCGAAGATACATCTCCATATGCAAGCTTTAGACGAACATAAAAGACAATCACGTTTTTCGCCATCACGATCAATTAGTTCCTTTATTAATAAGTTTTTTGACGACTGGTTTAGACCTCGAGCGTGTACAAAACGGTCACACCACCTACGTCAATGTGTGGTAGCCTACGTTCCATATATATATGCATGTATAATGCATAATTATACACTATTATACATTATACATTTGTTCGTAGGCTTGCGTATGTACATATGGTTACAACAATACGAGTTAACAAAGCAATAATAACTATTTTTTTCAATTATATCTATATATATATATATATATAATTACTTAATTATTTAAATGTTTGTCTTAGGTTACGCAAAGTTTGGTCAACTTTCTTTCAATTTAAATAGCCATCAAGTTCGCAGCCAAGGGAAGGAATCGGCAGAGAAAATATTCTCTCTGTTGCTAAACAATACTGAGCACGAAGGTTCGTTAACTGTATATAACAGATTCAATGGAACTAGTAGGTGAGTCGGACATATTTGAGTGCAAATGCCAACTTATTTATAATGGTTGTGTGTGATATAATAATGTTGTTTCAAATCATTGCCAGAAATATAGCTTTTCCTCTAAGCCATGAAATGGCCAGTGGTCGAAAGGGATGTCGCAGACAACTAAGCTAAATTAACTGCGCAACTTTGTTTGTTAGAAAATGCGAAGTGGACGGAACGTCTACAATTGGGTATCACCGGTTTTATAGCTGGTGTTTCTCTCACTGCTAGGTACATCCTTTGTGGCCGCACCAATCGTCGTCTCTACCCGACGCAAGTACTTCCTCACGTACTTTGAGAGGAGGTTAGGGTTTACGGATCGAGGATCGTTTGTCCCGAACACGAGAATCGAAAGAAGCGCAACGATAAACGTCACCGAAAAACCAGATATTGGCACTAGCAGATGTGAGATCTTTGTGGCGGCTCGCTGAGATGGTGGCCAAGGGCCTGATGTTTCCGTACTGACTGTCGTGGCATTCATCAAGACCGTGCTAGCAGAGTTGAGCGTAGGCGTCGTACAACCGTCGATTGACGTAGTAAGTTTCTGTCCATCATCAGATGAAACGGCTGAGCTCACAATGTATAGGCAAACTGCCTGTCCTACTAGCAAACCGAGGAGGGCGGATTTACCATTCACATGTGGTAGAAACATGCCCAGGGCAAACACTGCAAGCAGCGGGCCGGACAGGGCACCGGACATCGCGAATGCGGCTTTAATCAGATTACCTATTGATCCTGCAAGAAAGGCTAACCCGACCGTTAGGAAGCCATATGTAGCCGCTGAAAATCATAATACCAGATAAAACGCATATCACTCTTATCAGCTTTCACAATATATATGTATATATATATATATATATGTATATATATATATATATATACATAAGTTGAGTTCTGCTACATATATATATATATATATATATGTAGCACATTGCTACGACTGAACAAGAACCTTTTACAAATAATTAAATGATCGTTTTGGAAATTATAGCCAATGTTTAGTTGTACCTGTTCTACTACTGGACACATTTATAAATTAGCAGTCATTTTTCCTTTACGCAGTCTTGACCCTTACTTATACGCTATGTTTCAATAAATACAAAAAAAACCACACTCAAAACTGGGCAATGGGAAAACAAAAGTTATAATTAGCAAAATTGCCATTAAATGAATGATCTCAACAAACCCGCAGTTTTCGTTACGACGATTGGAGGCAGAGGCAACTTTGCAAATTGAAGAAAATCTTCATAGGCAACAGCGGCCAGCGAGTTGAAGCCGGATGAAAGCGTAGATAAGGCTGCCGAGAAAATCACTGCAACAAATAGGCCCGGCAGGCCAGGGATACCGCCTAATACCTATAGGTGGAATAACGCGAAAATGAGCCACTGTAGCACTATGACCAAAGCACAAAGCGAATGTTGTGCCTTATAAAACTTGTAACACGGCGATTAGGTGAATTCTAGTGAATTTTACAAGAGCCCCACGTGATCCGGATAAAAATTATGCATTATCCTTTAATGCGCCCAGCTTTCGCATAAGAAATAATGTAAACATAGCCAACAGAACAGATGAAAATACGTGTCTCTGTGTTGTGCTTGCGTCCAAATCGAGGGCTTTACGTAAGTTATTACACAAAATAATAACTAATTGGGAGGACCACCTGAAATCTTGTAGATTACTTATATGTGGAACATACTTTATTTGGCGCAATTTTTCAATTATTCGCTCTACTACCTCCATCACAAAGTAAGGCATCAGCTGATCAGGGCTATCGATTCGTCTGGCCTGAAGCGGATCGCAGTCGTAATAGTTGGCATATATGACCAAACCTGAAACAAATTACGACTACAACTGTCATTAAGATGTACTCAATTTCGAAACAGAGTGAACGTTTACGAAAAACACACGCAAGAGTAAATGTTTTTACGACCACGATCGCTATCGATGTGCCCCACCTGGGTACACGTATCGATGGTATTACATACCGTGTGTCAATTGATATACCATTTCTGGGCCCACGCTCTCTGAAATGTAGAGGTTAACGACGACTCGCATCGACGTTAAATAGCCGCAAAACATAGTTACCAACCAGCAAGACATCCCAGCGAAATGTTGAACATCACCCCAGGAATGTTACAGTAGAGAGCCAATCTCGCTTTTTTTAGCGTAGATACCGAACAAAAACGTTGCACCTCTGTCTGCGAAGTCCCATACGAGCCCAACCAGACCATCGTGGTACCTGCAATCACCAAATATAAATACAAACTATATTACTAATATTGCGGCAGACATAAATAACGAGGCCAAAGCGTACTGAAAAGATAATCGGGCTGTACAGACAGATAATGTCGAATAACTTCATCATCTAAATTAATGTCATCTCTACGTTGCTGATTGGTAGACATTGCGATTTAAGCAATGACACACCTTAGGGGTTCGAACTTTAGAATGTGTACTTTATTTTCAAACAACTGCAGACGATTCGACTTAAGCTTACAGGGTGCTACGCAACACATTACAGACCAATGAGAACGTTCCAAAGCACTGTTCCCGAACTGGGATCCCATTGAGTGTTGAAGAACTGCAAACGACCACCCTCATTGGCGATACGGAATACCTGAAATAACGCCGATCGCTTACTACTAAATCACAGCTCATTCATTCAGCGCATCGTTTACGCCAGAAAGAACTTACCCAATAAAGCATCAATAGGCTGGATATAAAACCATAGTACTGGTAAGATCGTATTCTTTGTTTATTTTAATTCGCATTGCTACGAATTCGTGCGATCACAGCGCCAGCCGACTTTCTTGAGAAGACCACTTTTGATCTCTTGGACATATTAGATGTCATTTCAGTGCTGTGTCCCAGCTGATATTAGAGTCTAGACGTTCTAGATATTCACGATCAAGAGCAGCTAAGTTGCGAACGGTCGATCTCGTATCTTGAACTTCTTCTGTTCGAGAAGGCTCCCGCACTAGACGCTAAACCACGTGTTTCTATGGCTTTATCAGTTATCCAGCTGATGGGATCATAAAAAGGATTAATTATCCTCCCAAGTATGCTATATATAGAACGAGACGGACCGGCGATCACTGTCCGAGTTCTTGTCCACTTGGACGCACGCTTTGGTAGCATCGAGAGAAACACGCATTAGTTGTTTGATCTGCTACCTAAAATTTTTCTGTTATCGCTTTATAACGATATTGACGTATAAAGACGCAGCATTCAATCCTTTTAGAATATGCATTACGTTTTTGCTAAAATTTCCTGTTTCTTCATCCGTACCTCTCTTCCTGTACACATCTGTATTTTTTCTGTATAGGATGACAAATATTGTGATGGATGGGTTTCCATTTTAGATGAAATGTTCACCAGTAAATATACTAAGTCACATCCTATTGAATACGTTCCAGCTGAAATATTACTGCATCGCCTTGCTAAATATGAGCACTTATGTTCATTAAATTCCTTGAAAGTAATGCCGGTATCGCGCTTGGTCTATCTGACACTATCTGCATGGTTTCTTTCGCTTCTTGTGCGGTGCTTTTCTTGTATCCCAGTATTCTCCGACGTTCGTCGTATTGATAAGTTTTCTTCATGCTTACAGCGTTGTACACCATTCATATCTGCCATTTCAGGCCGGTAGAATTTTACGTCACCTCTCGCTGTCGTCTCCTACAGACGTTGTCTTCGGCTCGTAATGATCCCCAGAAGCACGAAGTACGTTTCTGTTAAATGCAATCACGTTGCCCTTTGTTGGTATTCCGAATTTTATGTTTCTTCCTATAGGGACTTCTGAGTCATGTTAGGTTAAAGCTGCCGACAGCAGCCCGGTCTGGCGATAATTATATTGGGTTAGGGTCTTTTGTTGTTGTTTCTCAAATTCCCTGCGCGCTATATTCGAGTATATATCGAAACTTATCCTTATCTCGTAGGATAGTTCCGAGTAGAATTCCGAAATTCGCATTATCGTCCATCAAACTAACTATTGTTCATCTCATTCTTGCCGAATACTAGTCACACTTGTCTTGGCTCCCTTTTTTGGCTTCTTGTAGTTACCTTGAACCATAGTCTGACAGTATTGTGATCGGTTCCTTTATATGTGACCTTGATGTCATCCATTAGCATTTTCTCTACTGAGCTGAAATACTCGCTGCAGCATCGTATGCGGCATAAAACAACGTCTCTCGTTGGGTAGATTTTTTTTTAAAATGTTTTCATTGTATCTGTTACTATTAGTCCAAGTTAGAACGCAAAACATTGAAGAAACCTCCCCCTATGATCTTTCTTTCTGAAAAGGCTGAGTATGAGAATTCCAATAATCATTTCCTAGAACATTTAGGTCTCTCGTATTCTGGCGTTGCATAGGTCCTAAGCTGCTTCATTGCTTTTGCGTTGATTCGACTTACATGTGTATATCAATAAAAGGACCAAGGTCTGTATGCCTGCCTTGGCAATAGGAGCGACTTAGTCTTCACTTTTATCAAAATATCCAGTGGGGTCTTTATCCGATGTCAGGATACAGATTCTCATGATAGACCCGGTTCAGATTCCAAATTGTAGATTCGATCCCCTCGACCGACATCCAGCTAACATGCAGAATGTTGCCTCCCTGGTAGACTTTTCCGCCTCCGGGTTTTTATTATCTCACCACTTGATCCGACCTCTATCCACTATCGTTGTACCCGTGACTGTTATTATGTTCACACCCACACACGCGCACGCATACGTTCTAAGGTTAGACTAGCTTTCAGCCTAGGCATGCCATGGTTGCACTATATGCCGTTTGATTCAAGTGGCTGTCTAGCGAGGTTATTCGCCTTCTCCGAAGCTGGGCATGTTCCTGTTGAATAAATGTACACTGATTGCACGTTACTCTCGAACACGGCAAAGCCTTCTCTGTCGTGCGTCTCGCATTACGATAAACGACTAATATTTGTACCGTCATTTGATAGAATATTTTTTTTGTTGTTTTTTTATTTATTGTTACGCTCTATAATCAGGTCGAGCCGTTGTTAATATAGCGCCTTGAAGGTCCATTTAAGAACACTTCTTTTACAATAGAGTAATCTGGAGATTCCCATTTGTTACTTATATGAGAGCGCTGCAAGCGCATTGGTACATGAGACCGATAGTAATAGAGTCGCGAAGAAAATGTTTTTATTGAGGACAACAGAGGTAACTGCGTAACGCACTCTTCTCACTTATTTTCAAACATCGAAGAACCATTTTCTCAGTAGTATTGAAAAAGCTCTTTTGTGTATTCTAGCGCGATCACCGTATCTCGTGCAAAATCACTTACCTCACTAAGTCCTCCAGCCTTAATGATCCCAACGATGCTCAAAGCGACCATTCCAAGCACCGCAATAGACATTTGCATGACGTCTGTCCACACCACAGCTTTGACGCCACCCTGGTTCAGGGTCATAAAGTAATTAATAATGCATACGTTATCCTTATCGATGTTTTCCACTACTAAAAGCTATTTTTTGCTGGTGTTGCATGATCATAAAGTCGTCTTTATAATCATGTAACATCTATGAAAAATAGCTTTCTGTCAAAACAGCAAGAGTGTATGTGTAATGAGTTTACATCGTAGTACTAGCATCGTTCGAAACAGCTCTGAAAACCTTTCTGGTTACACTCACAAGGGTTGTGTAGAAGGTACATAGCAAGCCAAGTCCTACAATTGACGTCCATAGCGGTAGGCCAACTACAGGCTTAAGGGCTAAAGATGGACCATACAACACGACGCCCATATACAAGAGATTATTACATGTGAACGATACTGCACCAAGAACGCGAACCCAACGATTGAATCGGTATTCCAGGTACTGAAAAAGAAAATTCACAGCAATTGACAATAAAGAGCACGCCCGCGAAATCCCCTCGAAATTTTCATAAACCAATTAGGGTTACTACCTAACGGTATAGAAGGCCGTCTATACTAGGAAAATGTAGATTTACTGGGAAAACGAGCGGTGTGGTGAAAATAGTAATCGCAATAGGTGTGCAAAGTATGTCACGCACCTAATTTCTTTACGCAAAAAATATACAGTAGCTTTGCAGATAATGTATAGATCATTTAAGCACCGTGTGCTGTAGATGCTTTGTTCCTGCTGAAGTATACTAAAAGAACGATAATACCAAAGCAAACCCTGGGTGTACAATCCGAGTATAAAATTGTTGAGGAATCTGTATTTTCCGATAATAACTTTATACATTTAGTCTGTAGTGTTTCGAAAGCTAATAAATTAAAGTGTACATTACTGTGCATTTATCCCAGCGAAGTATTTTAATGTATCCACATCAGCGGCGTTGGCAGCCAGATAAGTGATAATTGGCGGCACATTTTCTTTTATTTGATTTTTATAATGTCATTACCTTAGCGGAATTTTATGTGTTTTCAACTCGCCTGTCCACGCAGCATGTTTTTGAAATAGTCCGCCACAAGCTCGTTGTATTAATTTGGATTACGTTTTCTTCATTCGAACTCTATATAAAAGGTAACACTGTGAAAATATCAAGGTCTAAACAGACGTTGCGTACGTAAAAATTATACACGGCTATGGCATCTGGTAAATAACAAGCTGCACCATGGTAACCGTTTGTATCTTTTTAGTCTATCCCTAATGTAATCTTCCCCATACACTTAAATCAACCGCGATTATTAAAACGGAATCCTGACATATGCGAGCCTTAATTACGTCATTACGATCATTTCAATTAATTTTATGCTTCACTATCACGTCTTATCGGGTTATTTTCAACAGATAATACAATCCGTTTTTTAAGGCTTTGTAAATCGACCTTTGCTGTATGGGTACTAAAGATAGGAAAAATATTGTTCAAAGATAAGCCATCGTAAAAGATCTTTCTTTTGTTCTTCCTTTTTAACTGTAAATTGCGTCGGCACGCGTACTTAATATACATCGTTACCATCTATATAGAGATTGCGACTAACGGCCTGGCATTGTTAAATCTTATGACTAGATTTGTGGCCAGAAAATCGCGTGGGCTTAAGAGGAATAGGTTCCTCCACTGCCGCTAAAGAGCACAGGCTTTTTTTGTTTAATAGAATCTAGGCCTCTAAGTAGAATAAGCAGCCACACAGATGTCACGATACTGCGAGTAATAGTTTGTGAGACGTTTGTGCGTGATAGGGGTTCACGTATAGAACATTTACTACAACTGCAATTGGGCTAATTCCTTCGGGTTAATTGAACTGTTCCCAATTTTAATCCGCAAACTCATCGTTAACGGCAGAGGTCCTCTAGGCCACATTTAGATAGAGTGATACAATTCACTATGTAGATATTTTCAAAATGACACATACACGCTTTGAACGTTCCTCACGGTCCCGACAAAATGCAAGATTATGAAACCGCTGATCTAAGTGACAGAGCATCAAAGCTGTTAGACTGTGTTGTGGATATCAAAGCACGCGGCTTAAGACGCTGAAACATTTTTTCGTTCATAAGATACGGTAGCGTTATTTACAAGAGTTGTCCGGTTAAGAAGCTTGTGACGACAACCCCTAGATCCTGACATACATAATATAAATTGGTGAAGCCGCCTTCGAGGCAAAGATCTTTATTACCATATGTACAACCGCAATGTTAAGTCGTTAGAGCAAATTAGTAATAGTAATATATCGTTTTTTTTTTTTATGTAATAGTTCTTCAATATATAATCATTTCATTATGATCTTTGAAAAAGGTTTGGATATTTAATGGCGCCATTATACTAACCGAATTGACAGACGTGAGTTTGAGATCGTACAGGACGGGCAGAAAGAACTCGCCAGCGATAAGATTTGAGATGGCCAGGCCAAAGATGGCCGCCCAGTATTGTGTTCCTCGGTAGAACATTTCCGATGGGTAACCCAGGTAGGTCGTAGCACTTTGAAAGGAGGCCATCAAGGACATGGATACCGGAAAGGCACCCAGCTGACGATTTGCCATAAGAAATTGTTTGTTGTTCATTTTTTTGCGATCCTGAAAATGTTCGACGTTAGAACTCTATACGGCCCGCTAAACCAATGTGTTGAATGAAATACGTCATTGACAAAGTAGATTTCCCAAAGCTTTGGCTGTTTGTCATTGTGTCTTGATATCCAACCATCCTTAAGATTCGAAAAAACTCTACATGGAAGCTATAAAGGCTCATCACCCAAGCAAATTGATTTCGCTTCCTAATTTAACTGTCACGTTAGACAATTAAGGTGACGTCGTTACCGTCCAGAGCTCTCCTTACCTTCCAGGCAAAATAGATACCAATCAAGGAAGAGGATGCCAGAACAGCAATCATCATGACATAGTCGAACCACGTAAAGCGGTTCGTCATGTCATGTATTGACATTGGTCCATCCATGACGAAGTAGTGGGGACTGAGAAGTTGTCTATTTGCTGAGGAATGCAATACAAAGGCTTAGCTTTACCTAAGTTTGCCTTTTGAAGACTATGCCCGGTATTCGCGACGCATGATACCTGCAAACGTAAGGTTTAGAATAACGCCATTAGAACAACAACAACAAGTTCTCGCTTATCTCCTGATCCCAACACCATAGGAATCATAACGTTGGGGAGCATAAACACATATAGTGAGCTGTGCATCTGGACGCGGACTTGTCCTTGTGACTTCTTTCTTAGACATTTTTTCATGCATTTGTTAAAGCTACCACTTTCAGTTTAATAATAATAATTTTATTTATTTGATATAATCACCGGTCAATGCAATCAGCCACAATGTGAGGCCTAAACCGCTCACAAGCTCGTTTTAAATGCTTCCTTTGCAATAGTAGTCATTTCATAGTATATACGTTCAATAGTATCATAATTGTCATGTCAAAAATCGCTCAGTAACACTTCATACACAGCTGAGCTGTAAACGGCGTTGTGTACTTATATTTTTCAGCTACGTATTTTGCACGGATAGATTAGTGTAAGCTGTTAAATGATATAACGTTTTAAGCCTTGCGTCCGCTATTGCCGCCAGACATTCCATAGGACCGCTGGCTGGCTCCCAGCGCAAAACAATGCCTGTCGATGCCCAGAATCGAACCCAGACCACAACGTGTCTCTAAAATGAATAGTTAAATTCGTTACCCACTAACCTACCACTGGTACGAAGCTTTTTATCTCAAAGACGTTAGATTTCCCCTTTTCACTTCAACTATTTATGGTCACACAACAATTCATAGAACATGCAGATAAACCTTTTAAATAGCACGTTCACCATTCCAGACTAGCACTCCGAACAAAAGCATTCATCGAAAGTTCGATTTTACTCATTATAAACACGCCTTCTAAATCCGTTAATTTCGAAAATAATTATTTATTTTTATCAAAGAAGGGTCGAAGACGACCGGCCGTTTCATTTCGTTCGAGCAAACGGCATTGATCAGATCTCGTGATTGTACTTGCCAAAGAGAGCATTTGTCTTACTCTAATTATATGCGACGCGTATCTGAAGCCTTCGATTTACCATAGAACGACCTCCGTACTTTCGCGCATGTTTCGATACAAGTTTTTTTTTCTTAAGAAATAGTTCTGGCGCAAGGGGAACGTTTTGGCCTCCAATATTTGGAGACAAGTAAGGTGGTCTAAGCTCAAAATTGGGCACGGATACGCTCCTTTTTGTGCTCATAGCCAGTTATCTGAAGGCTAGAAACGTATAGGAAAATCATTTGTAGCATGGACGTTTTTGCTTGCCCGCGCACCCTGCCGTTCGTCGCTCTGTAGCAGTCTACGACCTCGTGTACAATGGTACGAGGTGATCAATGCATTTATTTCTCGTGTGTTACAAAAAAAAAGTTCTTTATGATTTTGTTTTCACTTCTCATACCTCAGACGGCGATGAGTCCGATATAATCTGTACAGTATCACCAGCGGTGAGCATGGGAAGACACGGAGGTGTTTCTCGAAATTGTTTAACTTAAGCCGGCTATTCAGATGATTGCTAGTTCTAAATCTAGCACAGTTTCATTGATATCGCCACTCATCATCTGCTACAGCGCGAAATGTGTGCCACACGACGAACAGCTGTGGCCATTTGTAGCTGACACAACCGTACAATGGCGGCTGTCTGCGGTCGCTGGACAAATATCGCGGTTGAAACAACTTTTAACTAAAAGCGTTAAGTCTCGTAGTGATAAATGCGCGACGCGCGTGCATAGATGAAAAAAAGGACTCTTTGCACATTTTACACGAGAGACAGATATCATAACTGGGCTATACAGATCAATGTTTAGGTTTGTAGAAAGATACGCTGGTGTAGAAAGCTACGAGTACTCCACTAGAAAAGCATTAATGTAGGTTTTTTATTGAAAGAGTACTTGTTTGCGTGTAGTATTTGGCTGAAAAATTGCTTTTTGGATGTTGGATAGCATCACGAGTAATTCATTGGCTATGAAATAAGTTTAGTTCTTTAGCTGATGATTTGCTGTACCTGCGAATAGATGCTAACCTAATGATATTTACGTTTCTTATAACTGCAGGATTCGTCAAAATTGGTCGAGAAGTTAAGAAAAAAAGAAACTATCATCTGCATTTTCGTCTACCTTATGCTTTCAAGTAGTGCAACGTCTGGAAATCATCGTCTGCAAACGAGCTGAGAAGATGATACGGATTTTACTGAAAGAACAACTTTTCATTTCGCAGTCCTGTAACACTATGCATTCTATAGACACTTCGAATAATTTTGGCTTTAATGCTACTCGTATTGGCAGAAAACCAAATTTTATAGAGAGTGCTAACGTCAACTTGGTTTTTCTTTCGAGTCGTCTCTATTTGCTTTGTGATAAAGGTCAGTCGGATTCAAACAATAGAACTTCATGATTCTGGTAACATACAGAAAATCCTGATAATTTAAATTAGAGAAAACACAATCTCGATGAGATTGATTTAGCACAGTTATTACAACGTTTCTAGTATTGGTAGAGTAAGTAGAACGGTTTTATCTTAATATTTTCGTCTTCTACTCGAAATGAAACAGTTGGATCAATAATAGTTTAGAGGCCGACAAACGACAAACAAGATAATTTAATCTCAGTTTTATTGCTTTTACTTTTTCTGATTACAAATAGTAGTTTAGAACTAGAATAATAACTTCTAGTAGCAACGCCATCGCCGTGCTAGAAGAATGATCTGTCGCTTTCGGCGCCACCGATAAACAGGCCTCTGGCAGGTGTCACTATTTCAGGCCATTCGTGAAACTCGTCAACATGTACGACATCGTATAATCATAACAGTTGTTGATATCCACGCATGATTTTTTGCTCTAATTTTTTTCATTATTTTTAGCACAAAATCCCCCCCCCCCCCCCCCCCCCGAATAGTTAGTCATGAATATGAAAACAACAAACTGCCCATTTACCTGCCCCATGTATTATATTATTCGGCAACTACGCGGGCCACAATACAACCTGCGAGAGAATTCAATAGGTGGGCGTGACTGACCTAAAAAATCAGGCACATTGTTGATCGTTTCAGGAGACCCCTTCGGCTGTAAAGTTTAGGTAAGGCTTCCTTTTGAAAGCTGTACAAATTGTAGTGGCGCAACGACCACATCTACACACAACAAACTGTCTCTACTTTTAGGAAGCATTACTTCGAACGTTTCAATCTCGATATTTCATCTGATAGAATAGTTCTGGAACAGACGTCACTGTTAAACGTCTTCCAAGCTTATCGCCTATTCCAATATGGAGAAGTGTGGACTTTCGAAATAGAAATGGTTGGCCATAATATTTATATAGACTCAATGCGGCACTGTAATTTACTATTTTTTTCCTTTGAAGGTAAGACTAGTTTTTTTTTTTTTTCTCGATTATTTATCGTTTTATCTATGGATGTGTTAACGTATAACTAGACACTATAAATAATTCGATCACAGATATTTTGCACTATGTGCCGCTGGCTTGGCTTGAACCAGCGTCTGCTAACTTTTTCAAGCAGCCGCGCAGACATTGCCGGAAATAGAAATTGGATCGTTGTTCTATAATTAATGTCGTATTATTATTATTATTATTATATAGTACACGGTGACAGAACTGCCGTTTGGTTTCTGGATCTGAGGTGAGCGTTTAATTATTAACAAAAAATAGCCCAAAAAGGAAAACTTTTTGCTACGAAATAACGCTGAGCGAATGGTTTTGAATCGAATTGTTTTTCCACTCAAGCGCTATTGCCGGCAAGGTATGTATGAAGTTATTGGTGGTTATCAAAAAGGGACATAAAGTAGGCTTCTACAAGTAAGAACCAGCGTAGCCAATGGAGACGATTAAGATAGGAAGCTAGTAAGCATTTTGTAACAGACTTTGGCCGGTGAAAAAGAGACACGTGATTTTCACACGGCAAACGGTCAATTTTGCTAGCAGTGCACGTTCCAGAGGACGTTTGTAGTTGTCTGTTTAGCAATGGCTGAAATACTATATTCAACTATGATTGGCTGGATCGAGGCTACAAACTATTATCCTATACGGCTCCATCCCCTGTTTACCTCGTCCCATGTTCCAGCAATAGGGCTTCCACTATAAAGGCATGTTATGCCAGTTCCCAGTGATTTGAAAGGCAGCCCCGGCTGTTGCCACTTTACCGAACCATTCGCATATTACCAGCCACAGCCTGAAATATTATTGAGGTTTACAGTGAACTACTGCGCGCCGGTTTCAGCCAGCAGGATTATCACTGCCCCGATGCTGGAGCATATCTGTGTGAATAGGTTTGCAAAGGTCGTCTGGAAGAGTGGCGCGTACCAGTATACATGGCCATGTGTCATGAATCGTCTCCCACACATACTGCACACGCATGCACCGTTCATTACAGACACACGTCTATAGCTAACATGACAAGGTGGGCCAACATAATGTCCATGGTGACAATTTAAAATGTATGTAGGCCACTAGGGAGTTTGGTCCGGTTTTGTATTTTTCAATGGGAGAAAGTCATCAGAAGACTCTCTGGCATATTCTCTGCGACGTTAAATCACTTCCTTTCTGCTTGATCAATTTGAGTAAGTGCTGTGTCAGTAATTTACTTACTTGTAATAATTACTGATTAGGAGTGGTGCTTACCAATATATCATGTAATCAAAATTTCATTTCACCTGTTTCAGGGTCGTTTGACATTCGTATTTGTTTAGGATTCAGCTTGGACAGAATGGCTGTTTAACGGAGATTTACAAACCATTGCTAGGTTCGTTTCTAAGAAACTTGCAGAATATCACGTATCGAAGTTGTCGATAACTTTGCTGTGAATTCCCGTTTTACTTGATTGAAAAGTAACTTCGTATCTTACAATTCAAATTTCTTCACGATTTAGACCTTCTAGGTGTTTAACGTTATTCTTTTGTGCTACGACCCGTGTTAGACTATGGTTCTAAACATTAACTATAGTTTTGTAGACCTATAGGAGAGATACGATGTAGCCTTTAGATTGCTGTTGAGCGTTCCATCAAAAGGCCCGTCCCAGTACGAAACGAAATGTCTATGCCTACCACCTAGGCCTACGATATAGCCTGTCATGTATTACGTACTGCGAAGTTCAATAGCGTATCTCGTTCATCAGTTGAGGTCTTTTACTGCTGCTACTTGTTTTGCTTTGAGCAGAATTTTATCAAAAAGCTTGCAGGTTGACTGTCCTGACTAGTTGGGTTACTGTCGATAGGCATGAAGTTGCAATTTATGCCCTCTCTACTGCAATCGAGACCTATCCTTACCTCAGAACTTAAAACATCTTTTTCCGAAGCAGTGAATTGTAGGCACTTGAAATAGAATTTCTCCAGTTGAATGGCCCGACACTGATTGGATAATTAGCGAACCATATGTATGCATGGTGCTGCCAACTGGCCAGTATCACTCAAGTGTTCGGTCCACTTCAGGCGTTGCCGTGCTATTGCACTCAATTGTTCCTCGTAGTTTGGGATCAAAAACCCACACATAGATGTTAAAGATCGTGTTTGGTCTTTCTCCGGCAAAGGGGCACGCCTTTATATCAACAGCAGTGTTTTACCTATTACTGATATTAGGAAGACACTTATGCTCAGTGATATGACATAAACAAACGATGATAGTAGAACAGCGTTCTAACTCACTATATATATATATATATATATATACTATACATATACTATATATTTTCCACTTGATACCATCGAACGTTATGGTTGAAAGAAACATACATTCGCGGAGCGAATCTGCGTATAAGTATTTTATGAGTCCGGCAGTCTGACATGCGTTTTGATTGCAAACATCACAAAATAAATTAATTGGTCTGATAGCATAGATAAATTAGCGACCCTTTTTTGAATGTTATCTAATACAGTTCTCTACTCTAAAGCTTCATTGCAGAGGCATGTAGTTCGGCAATGTGAATAGAAGTTTGTCTAATTAACAACAATAATCAGTGTCCCTAGCACAAGTTAACTCCGTGGCGGAGCAAAAGTCAACAACAATGAGACTTATCACTATAACGCACCAAAATCTGCTAAAAAAAAGTTTCGCTTCAATTTCCACTTTGCACCTCTTCAGCCACTGATGGCCAGACACGCTCAGACATATTCGGATGCATATGCACACTAATTATCAGCAGGCAGTTTGGTACAAGCCGCAATCCCATCACTGTCTCCTGGACTCTTTTGCTGCATGGACAAACGCACACAGTTGCGAAAACCAGGCGATCATAACGATCTTTCCAGCTTTTGGCTGTTTGGTACTACTAGTCATGCTACTGACGCCGCCATGCAGCCCGAGTGTCAGTGTTACTATACGACGTGAAATCGAGCCGACAACCAGTGATTTTCTGGCCACGCGAAGAAAAACGGTAGACTAATTCCGTAAACACTCAACGTACAACACCTTCTGATAAAGTTATAATAGAACCGCGCCACAGAGGAACTAAAGGCTGAGGACGATAACCACAACAAACGATGCCGATTGCTACGAAATGGGCTGCCGGCAAATAAGCGGCCCTTGTTCGGGTGGAGAGTTAAACGCTCTCCGTCTGGCAAAGGAGAAGAGACAGGTAGTTGGAAGTGCTCCGTCAGAATGACAGACATAAGGACACATGAGATGAACATCGTAATGAGCGGTACATAATTAGTGCTTGGATGAGGGACATACGTTACCTATGCTGTTGACGGCGATGGTGGAAAGGGTCAAAGCGGGGAGAAAAGACGAAAGCGGCCAAACAGGCACAATTTCCCTCGCCAAATTAAAGAAGCCGGAGTTCAATCCTATCCAACGTCGCATTTAGGCAGTCACTTGACACTGTAGGGGGCGACAACAGGAAGGACCCGTAAGCAGGGTATGAGTACGGGGGAACGGCGCATACTAGCGGGCCGAAAAAATTTTAAATGACATTAATGCAACTGACAATTAAATCGTTATCTGGCAATAAACAACACAATGTGCAAGTATTCTTATCAGTGGGCGGCATACGAAAAGCGCCAGAAGAGTCATTGTCAACCCGGCTAACGCACGCGGAGCATTAAAGTTAAGAATGACTAACCCCGGTAAACGAATACACATTTGACGTCAGACGTAACGCTTAGCCGACGCATACTTAGACGGGAGAAGAAGTCAATGAAGCAGCTTTTTAAGTGCTGAAAAAGTTCAAATAAATAATGTGTAAAGATGGTAAAAAAATGCATGACAACATCTCCAGATCGAGCACAACAAATCGTATACAGAATCAATGTATTACGTGACACTTTTGACTCGGATCTCAGTTAAATGGTTTCTCTTTTGAATCGCGCCACTCAAATCAGACCGGAAATTTAACTCCTGCTGGTAGATACTATCCGGTTAACAGTTCTAGGGTCCGTAAACTAAGCTAGCTAAATATCGCTCTGCCCTTGAATGATCAGCGATGTATTATCGGATATAGGCTAAATACGCCAGCAGTTAAATATGCTCGAGCAGTGTTACTAGCGGCCAAGTTGGAGCACTAATTTTGCCAAATGATCCAGCGTCCCACATCATGTTCACTAAAAACAAACATTAAAAGGCACTCGATTTAATAGCTGATAAATAGCCGTCTATAGAAGTGTTCATATATTCAGCTCTGGTGGGCACTTCTTCGTAAGTTTTGTTTATTATTCGTGTAGGGTGTGTTTGTAGGAGTCAGTATAAACATATCAGATTTCCCTATATTTTAGGTTGATTTCTGAACGTAATCGCCTATGACACATTGAAATCAATACAATACTTTCATGTTTGTCAAATTAAAACGAACAAAACTCGATTGTGCCGGTATACTCATTTTTTTTTTATTTCGACACTAAAATAAAAGCTAACCTATATAGGAGTATTTGTTGTTGTTTAGCGTAAACAAAAAGTAGGTATCAGTTTCACATTGAAGCGCATTAATTTTGTGTATGGAAGCTTTTATGGAAACACTAAGAATCTTCATCCTGTTATCATCTATATTGACTATTGACTCTGAAAGTATACCATGAGTTTGAATTAAAAGTTTATCTTGAAGGATTTTATCTGTGGCTGTGTCTCGACTAAGTAGGTAGAATCGGTTCTTTAGAGATGATGTTTTTTTATTACGGGGTTGACGATTTACCTTTACTCTCTGTATATCGGAAAGTTCCACATTTGAACCGAAAACTATTATCATGGGAGCGTCCACTGATCAGGTCCACTAAAGTAAACCGCCAGAATCCGCGAGAGCCAGGCTTTAATGCAAAATATTTGCTCGATGACCCGCTATATGCCATGTTTCTTTAAGTCAATGTTAGCTATCCATTTCCCTGGTTTTGCTGGACTTATGTAGGTTGCCATAGTAACTATTTGCCAACAGTAAAAGTTAAACCAGCGTTGGCAGCATGCACGCGCTTACAACAGCGCCACACTTAAAAAAAAAAATCGTATTGATTGACCCAAACTACTCAGATATAACAAAAAAGATGCGGTAATTATGGCATTTTACAGGCAACTTAAAGCCCTAGCTAAAATACAAACTCTTAACTTTCTTGTATGCTCGATGGAACATGGAATATGTGGCAAAACGAACCTCCTCGCAAAGGTAAGTTAGTTTCGAGGGAATTGTTACGAACGTCGGACACGGAATACTGCAAGTAAGACCACTTTCAAATAATGCATCTTCTCATCAATTAATAAAATCTTAAAAACAAATTCAAATACAACTATTTGGCGGTTTCAGAAATCAGTTTAGAGAGTTAATACTCGCTCATGATTTGCCACTACTTAATAGTATGAAAGTATAAACTAGATGTAACATGATTAGATCGCGTAGGTAGGATCTGCAAGTTTTTAGACTGGATCGTGGCGGGACTTTGAGACACCATAAGCTGTACTAATAAGAGAAGCCCCATTTAGATTGCGCCATAGCACAACGGACACTTAGGTATAGACCATTCGAAATTGAGACAATTTTTGCGCTAAGCGCTTGTAGCGTTATTAAATAACATGAACCGACTGTCCATGTGACATTTTGATCTGAAAAGTCCTATCGGAATGTCTGTCTGAGCCAAAAAGTCATAAAATATACTTGTGAAACTAACTACACAAACAAACTAAAAAAAGCTATTAACCAGTAGAAACGCTTGCGTAACAAACGACCCAAGAACGTTTTTCTCATACAAAAGGCTGAATAAATGCAGTAATAACGCCGATCAGAAGTCTGAGGTCGCAAATGAGCATAGGACCTTAGAAACTGAAGCCTAAAAACCTTGCGAGGCCCGACAATTGCCCATGATAGTAAAGAAAATGCGCACGAGAATTCTACCTCGGGTAAACGACGATTAGGGAGTAAATGAATACATACGCGAGCTTGAGTTCATAAACGCACAGGATAATCATATAATGATCCCCAATTTAGCCCGGAAAAGCGGCGAGCCTTAAAAAAGCCAATGAGTATTGGTATTAAGCCTGTTAATTTTCTAGCGGCTTTCATGACACAGGGCTTTTCTACAACAGTTCCGAACGAAATATTTTTTTCGTATTATCAGTGTCACATAAATCGTCATTCGCTGTAAGAAATAACCGCGTACACCTGCATTTATCTTTAACAAGTAATAATGGTCAAATATTTATGGTACCGCATCAGTGACAGAACAACACGGAGCAAATCGTTACTTCATGACATACGCCATTGCCATAACTAATTTTATCTCTGATCCAGTACGACACAATCAGTAACCAATTACAACCAATGCATATCTGTTAATGCCTTCTGAAGAAACCACTTCGTTCAGCGCAATGCGGATCAGGTGAAAGCAGCCGCGCGTGGGTGTGGCATTTAACGCCGCATTCAATGACAACCCTGTAAAAACCATTAACAATACCATAAACAACTCTCAATAACTCTCAATAATCATTTAGCGAACTGGTACGCGCAAAAGCCATTTTGGCGTATTAGCAAACGATAGCTAATTTTAAATAATTCAGAAATGATCGAGGAAATCTGTGGCGAAGGAAAAACCAAAAAGCATACTGCTTCTGAATCAGTTTGAAATAATCAATTGGTTATCACGTTAAGAGATCGCATGTTATCACCATATGAGGAAGCGGAAATTTTTATTCGGCTCGATTGCCAATCTGACTGGTCCGTCGTTCAGTGGATCTAAAAATCTGTCGTTGTAAATGTTAGTTGTTTAAAAAAAAACAAACAACAACAAGCGCCACTTGTAAAGCAGGATTCGGTGCAGACTAATTTGTGCTTGTCGATCCGAAGATGACCTTATGATTGTCGGGTTTTTCGCACTACAGCCGTACATGAGTGAGATACAGATTTGCTAACATTTGACTAACCATTGTGCAGCGTTCAAAATGAACATTGTCGTCGTAAACGCTTACTAACTGACGATAGAATGTTTAGTGACCGCAAAAACACTAGAATGTATTTAGCTCTAATCAGTTATGCTGGGATACCAGAATCTCACATCTGCATACCAAATCATTGATTAACAGCGGCGGCAGTGAAGTCAGAGTGACTAAAGACCTGAATACAAAGGAAGCTGATCAGAAACTGATCGGAGACATCCCAAACGATATCGATGTTGAGCTACGTTCAAACACGCCATTGGCCCTCCACTGGGAAAAAAGGATAGGGTTTTTTTGGTCTAAGTGTGGACGCTTTTGCCAGTTCAACGTAAAGAGAGCGAAGGCAAATAGTGTATCGTAACAGTTGACTGCTACAGATGCCGCTTAATTATTGAGCTTTATTGAGTTGTTGTTGTTGTTGTTCAGTTTTGATAAGGTTGTCTTGTCCGTCTTCACAGAATAAATTTAGGAATCGAAATTAGATTACTTTCATTAGTATGAGAAAAAAAATCATCGAAAATATGCTCAAGTCAGCAAATTTCATCGGTCCTCTCTGCAATTTTCTGTGCGAAAATGCTCTGTCGGCTATAAGCTTCCACATTCCAATGATTTCAACTATTGTGGTCTTATATGAGAACAAACAAATACGAATGAAATGTTGCCTATTATAAACTATAACAATAAAATTCGGTAAATTCCCTCTAATGAATAAGTTCATAGCCTATTGCTTCCTCGATCATAAGTAATACTGGATAAGAGAAACAAGTTTCTGCGACACAGTAGAGCCCAACCCATAGATTTTCGTTAGTGTCAATACTTTACTACGACTCATTCAAACGATTTTCGTTAAGTGTGAAACGAGTAGCCTACGATCGAACTGCCCTACAGATGCTGATGTATACGTCCCATGTCAGCCCCTAACGTCTTCTGTAATTAAAGTTCATCGATGAATTTGCGGTTCAAGGAGCAGTTTAATATATGCCATGGTCGGTTGATCACTGGCGTCCAGTTCCATTTCAGCGTCAATTACATGGTCTGGTATACCTTAATTTAGCAGAATAGGTGCGACTTTAACCTTTCTTTTGTGTAAATTATACCAAGAAAGATATCAGCGTTATGCTTTCGCAGTAATTTGCACTAAAGGTTATCACCCTTCTTTATTAGCCATTCAAGTTCCTGTCGAGTTAGGACCAGGCCAGCGGGCCAGTACGTAGTTTACTCCAAGTCATCCCTATCACCATGGGATCAAATATCGAAGCAATCGTGACAAGCACATAGTTCCAGGAAGACACAAATCACAAAAACAACTGTGATATTATTATACAGCACAAGTCCGCCATCGCACCATCTTAAATTTACATAGGGTCTAATCGGAAGAAGAATCTATGCTGTCGCTAAATATAGGATAGAATTCGCCTGTGTCATTCTTCGATTGGCATTTATTTATGTAATAGAAGCGGGCAATTTTAGTAGTAATTTGGGCATATATTGACGTGATTTTGCTTAATGAATATTACTTGCAAAACTGCTCGCCACTCTGTAACTCCCAGTATTGAGGTGCGTTCATCACGGTATATGACGAAGACAGCCATTAAGGGCGATCTCAGTAAATACTTGTCAACATGAGGGATGGTCCGCTTAAATTACAAAGGTGTAGGACGCGATACGCGAGCATGACCACTTTCACGACTAACGCACTGCAATACAGCGCTCGTCTAGATGACAATTTCTTAAAACAAGGTCAACAGACGCTCAAAAAAACCTCATCCAGTGTTATCGCTAGTCACCTAAGTAAACACTTCTTTAAAGCCGCGTTGTCATATTAACAATCCCTGAGACCCGCTAAGCGTTCCTGTGAAGGTAAAAAATCCTTTAGCCTAAAGATGGCCTCTTTCTTCTGAAGTCTACCGAAGCAGATTCTGCCTCTAAGCATAGCTTAGTTCACTGAATATGAAAAATAGGTTGTCCCGAAACAATCAATGGGTTTTTGTGCCGCTTTTAAAATGGGTATTTCTTAATATCTTCGGGCTAATTTATTGAAAATGTGTTTTTATATTATTTTACAGGTTGCATTATATACGTGTCGTATCGGATATGGCAAACGATATCTGAAACATATCATTCTATAATACCGACGCCAATTTACAGAATAATACGCTTAGGTAAAATTAAAAATACGCTACAATCACGCGGGCGAAAAAACACTCGCAGAAAATTACATAATACATTGATTATGACATATTTTTATACGATCGTTCCCTAATTATGTACGCCAGTGAAAAAATTTCGACATACCGCTTAGTGTAGAATAATTAATTTATTGACCTTTCGTCAAGTGTCCGGTTAACCAAGCTTTTATGCGAAGGTTATCGTTTTAGCAATTCAAACCGCTCTTGAACAAAGTTCGCCCGCCACGACGACATAAGAAGAAATGGTGAGCGCGTATGATGCGTCGTTCGATGCACGCAGGACTTAACAACAGTGGATACCCGTGCCGTTGGTTCAGTCAGGTGATAATATAGATGCTAGCAATTCTGTAAGTAAAATCCGTCCTATACGCAACTAAAAACCTAGTGCGCGCACTGTGTTTTCTTTGTAACTAGCTAGCACACCGTAAAAAAAACTATATGATCACGAAAGTCAGGATTTATCGTGACTGGGTTTTTCCATAGAATTAGATGGAATCTAAATGACAGAATGGTCACCCATTTTACGGTGAACGCCATTTAATATCTTCAGGTTAAAACATAGTAAATGTATTTTTACATGAAATGATAAAAACATACTTACGGTAAATTTACTCAAGAAAATTCAACACATGTGACCATTTTGCTTCTGTGCCAACGAGCAGCAATAAAATTGCCCTACACATTTTTTCTGAAATCTTGCGTCCTTGCCAGTCTTAACCATAATAAAAAGTCAGAAAAAAATCCTCCTGCTAAATTTAACGCGGAGTCTGAAAACAATTGTCCGGAGATCGGTAACGATGGCGAGATGTTTTTTGGAGTTGAAACAATTTACAAATTTAACTCTTAGTCGACTGAAGGCCTCAGTGTGAAATCAAAATGGACTTGGCTTTAGAAGCGAATTCTCTCACACGCCAATAAATGTTTAAGCATTTATTGATGCGCGACATAGTAAGTACATAGGAAAGTAACATTAAAAAAAGTTCACATATCGGTACATAGGAAACGAGATTGGCATTCTAATTAACTACAAGCTAGAGTTGATTGGTTGACTTCAGATGGTATATTCTTATTTGACTTGTACATTCTGTGTACATTCACATAAAGCTTCTGTATGTATTTGATCTGCACAGTGGCGATACAACGCCTACAACAATGGTTACTGGCCATACTGAGCACGTTGCTAAACCGTTGGATTTTGACTGGGTCGTATCAGTTCCACTAAACACAATAAGGCGCGTACGACAATGTTCATCATAATGCTGTTAGTCAAAAGTGTCGCGAAGATGGCTTCATGCTTCCAAAACGCCATTAGCGTTAACGAGTACAATGTGCTGCCGTTGATGGAAACATACGTAAGCTATAGAAAAATGTAAACGATTAAAATAAGTTTCCTCGCGAGCTTACACTTAGTATAGAGGTGGACCCCTTATATGGCCGCCATGTAAACAAACACCCTTCTCTCCAAAGAAAAAATTGGGCAATAAGAATTTTATCCAAATGCAGCCCACCATATCCTATACAACATTTGTCCATACCTTTAGGGACTTTTTTAAATGCCAAAAGTCAAAAATGAACCCCGTAATCAAATAGACGCATAGAAATTACAAGCGCCAATCGGCAGCTAAGTCAATCGTCCTTGCTATAAATAATCTATTAGGGATAACTGAGGGACGAACAGTGCAGCTCAACTCTTGCTACTGCTTGTCTCAAATCCGGCTGTAATATACCGGACAAAAGCACTAACTTCCCTTTACGAAGGTAGCTTTAAATATATCTAGGTAACAATAGCAACATGTTATATTGCCAGGACAAATGTAGCTTCCTTCACCGGCCAGTTGGCATATAAAAATACGGCATTGACTGGTAAGGCTAGTCGTATGTAGCCAATGACATGTAACAGCTCATTATGTGTTTAATTTGGCTACACTCTTAGATCCGTTTATTACTCGTTTTATTGACACACATTGTGTTTTTAAAAGCGATTATTTAGCCTTTGGTTAGATCTGTGCACGATGTGGAATCGAAGGAAGATGCTTATTAATGGGCGTATGATCTCCTGGGGACGGAAGCTGGCTTAGAAGAACGTATTGAATAACCCCTTCAATGTAAAATGTATCGGCCACTTCAGTGTGACAAAGGTATTAACTTATGCTTATAACTTTATCTGAATAAGGAAGGTCTACCTACCGACCAAGGCAAACTGCTAAATGAACAAAGCACATTTTGTTTTCATAGGAGATCGGTCACTTTCACCGGTAAAAATTTCGACCTTAAGGAATTGTTAAAGCTGGCTTAAAGTGCTAAAAACATTCAATTCACTATATTTTGCTAACGTTATTTTAGTTGTGACGTAAATTATGACGTGAAATGTGTAATGACAAACAAAAAAAAAAGCAAAATCACTACAAATAACAACTCGTTTTTATTCGTCAGTGTTATAATTACTACTTCAAAAACAAATATGGTATATAACAAATAAGTGCAATTCACTTCTAGGTCACCAATGGCTAATGGCTGACTGGCACACTTTTCATACTGGACGTGAACGCACAGTTCGGTGATTTCAAAGAACTGGCTGACACAAGTTCATAATACCTATTTAGTTAACACACAGGAACGGGCAGCTACAAACAATGATACCGAAGAGCACCTTGATAGTATATTTATAGCTTGCAATTCGCAAAATAAACGATAAAAACTTAGTTTAAAATGAATGGAACAAAATGTAGAGTAAGATGTGATCAACCACTTTCATATTTGCAAGAATAAGGCTCCTCGGTTACGAAAATTATATCAGCGATTCGTGCTTTTTACCGTGATGAAGAAGCAACAACAAAAGAACATTAACAATAATACCGTTCTGAAGAAAAAATATGACGGCGTCAAGGAGTCCAGACGCCGTATTGATTCACAATACCTTTCTTAGTTTAAATTTATACCTTGAATATAAATAAGGTTTGCTTAGTACTATAAAGTACTGATCTGCTATTAATAACTCTGTTGCTAAATTACATACAAGATGGGACATTTCAATGCTTTAGTCAAAATATTCTTCGAAATCGATATTAGGATCTAGTAATTTGTCCTTGACATTGGTGAGATCCAGTTGACTATAGAGTAAGCTCTCGGTGACTTCCTCCATTTCTGTTTCTCCTATAAGGATTGCTCCCTTTATACGACCATCCTTTAGTACCATTTTGACGTACTCTTTATTCGGAGTTATTCTTACCAATACCTCGTACCCGCCCTCAGCGAGTTTTTGTCCATTAAACAAACCAACAAGGATCACTTTATATCCAAAGAAATGTGTGGAATGGGCAAATACTTCAAAGTATGATGGTATTAATTGGTCGGCACCAGTCATGGCACGAGCTGCAGCGTCCCCCATCTGACGCGCCTGGGTCCAGAGGCGCATCTGAAACCACAGCTCCTCATTCGTTCGCAAGACGCAAACATCACCCGCGGCGTAGACATCTTTGCAGGATGTTTCGAAGTTGCTGTCTACAATAATGCCTTTATCATCCGCTAAATCCAGATGCTTTCCGAAACAACCGGGATTCGGAACGACCCCAGTAGCGTTTACAACAAGATCTACGACTAATACTTTACCACTTGACAATCGGACTTCATATCGCCCCTGACTGTCCAGACAATTCACAGACTCGACCTCTACGTTGTACTGTATCGATATATTTTTATCTGCAGCACTGCCGATAAGTTTATAATTCTCCGCCCAGTCGGGACCAAGAGCTGTGCCGAACTTGACTTTTTTTTCGCCACTCTCTGATACAACGTAACGCATCCTCTTATACACGGGGCACTCGTGTATGTCGGATGATGAGTCCTTGGGAGAATTGCTCTCCAAAAGAAATCTCCCAGCTGCAGCATCCAAAAAGGGCGAGCTAATCGACTCGGTTCGAATTAGCCAGTGAACGCGACAATTGTTGATTTTATGCACGAGTTCAGTAGCAATACCGCCATTTCCGATAACGGCAATGTCTTGCGCGCACAACAATCTCTCACGTAAGCTGTTCACCGTCTCCGTGTCCCTGATAACGAGCACCCCAGGGGAATCGAAACTGCGGTTCGGGGTAGCCCCACAGCATATGCACAGCTTGTAATAACAAAGTGGCTCACCAGTCGACAGCTTTAGCTGTTTCGTGGATGGATCCCAGTCATCTACGCGCGCGATGATCACTTTCAAATTGGGGTACTGGCTCTCGAGATCCGAACCGGCTGCCTCGGTTACACTTAACTCTTCGATGTTTTTTGTTATTTTAGCGATATCGGCAACCACTTTGAGGACAGGTGAGGCTGATACAAGCGTGACACACTTACCAGGGTTGAATAGACAGAGCTGCTGAGCGCAGGTCACACCAGCGATCCCGCCACCCACTACGGCGAAGTCTACCGTCACCTGGTCGTTATCACTGGAACTCATTTTTTATTTTAGATGATGAAATCACTACGAAACACCGACTAATGGTGGCGACACCGGCAGTGCCAAATCCCAACGATGACTAGCGCACCTCGTCGTGAACTACAATTTTTTTCGGACTCTGTGATAAAACCTGATGTGTTGCTGTTAATCGCGCGTACATATCAGCCACGACGACATGCCGACTGAGAGAGGGGTGTGTAACTTCTTCCCATGCACGTTCTCAGATCACCTACAGGACACATACAGTGCACGCGAATAGTGCCGATCAGTCCCTGACAACAGCGATGAGCTAAGGGACCGAGAGAGCAGCTCTGTGTTTCGCCCAACAACCAATCTAATAACCGGCCGATTCGAACGCCTTGGAGGCGGCCATCTTGAATCAGCCAGTGACGCATGCGCCCTAGCCACGTTCTCGAATTTGCCCCGGCAGCCTGCACTGGCAACAAATAGTCTGTTGGGAGAATTTTCGGAAGATAGAAATGTATGTAGAAGCGCTGACACGTGCATCTTTGTCTGCTTCGAACGATTGCTAAAAAGCGATATGAACGAATAACTTCATATTTGGTTTTGTGCATTTCCCTTGGACTTTTAGTGCTGTGCCGTATAATCGTTGGCAGTAAAAGAAGAATGCTTCAACTGGTGCTATGGCAGCTATCATTGGTTTGTGTGTTGATTATTATTGAAGAATGGCGACTTGTGATATGACTTGCGAATACAAATAATTAAGATTACATTGACCGAACTAATCGATAAAATCAATACGGATAGATCAACTTACTGAACTAGCGTATAATGGAATGCAATAGGGACTTCGTAGATCTAAATAAAATTAATACATTGTTGATTCAATGAAAAATAAACACGACTGTAATAATTAAAGTTATTACACGTTTTAAAATGGTATCAATGGTAAAAATCGTTGGACAACTACGTACTCTCAACCTGTACAAATACAAATGCAGATAGCAAATAGGAAAATAGCTACTAAATGTTTATTCAACAGATTTTTTTCTTTGTGTAATTGTAGCTTTGGAACTTTGAGCATGTCTCAACCAATATCGATAAAGAATTGCTCTAACGTATTATTCTCAGCTAAGGACAGTCACATAGACAAAGGTATAATAGCAGATGACGCGGAATAAATAACAGTTAGATAATTTCAGCAATAAATATTGATAGTATTTATTTTTCTTCCTACGCCATTCCTCACTATGGCAATACGTCTATTTCAAAAAAAAAACACCGGTACCTCAAAACATTCTGCCTTTCTCTCGTTCATCTTTTATTTGTAATAAAAACCGAAGAGATACTTTTCCCTTTTGTTTCATTTTTATTATGTTATTCTCGCTTCTTTATTTTATGATCTATAATCTATTACCTACATATACATTCATTATTTGTGTTCAGTTTAGATATCTGCGTGTCGTCGTCGACTGCATCCCCATTACATTTAACGTCATGATCTTTGATTTTAGGGCACTTTACTTTGCTCGTTTTCAGATACACTTTCACGTGGTGCCCACGTCTATCTTCTCTGTCATTTTCGAATGTTTGTTTGCAACTATAAATCCTGTGTAATCGGTCGTGTTAGGTCAGTGGCACGATGTCAATATCTGCTCACCTGCTATATAGTGTGATACTGTGACAGCTTTGCGATTATCACTCTGGTAGTGTAAACGGACGACAAATTTGCTACTTCGTTCAATTGTGAATGAAAAAAGTCGCCGACGCGATCTTTTCAATAATAAATAGCTGTTACTTCTTGTCAGTACGAAAGTAAAACAGGTCATTGTGATCGACCGTTCTAACACGGACCAGTTGCGTTCAATTGCTACTTAAGTAGTAGTAAAATTATGATCACATTTGACTAATCCGCTTCCTCTTTCAATAGGTGACTTTTATTAGGGTTTGTTATTCCTACAGCTTCACTTTTTAGAGTATTCAGACTTTGTCTTAGACGTCTGGCATTTGTTTTAGTCCATTTAGATGTACCACAACTCTGTCCATGCTAATGCAAATGTCAATTCTAAATTAAGTTAAAATTGAGTGTTCTGTTACTTCAGCGTTCGATTATAATATGCGCGTTGTTCCTCGTTTGAGCTGAGGACATCTATTAAGAAAAGGTTCGATTGCGTCTTAGTGCTCCACGTCTCCTGACTTTTACGGCTCTTTTCTTCGCTGTTGTATTTATTTGCGAAGTTAAAAGTTAAAGCTATCCCGCATCGCTGATCGCCGAACATTGCATCACTTTTTGATCTGTAGCTGACAATCTTATCGGTAACGGGCCTGGGTTTCTCGCAGCTGGGCAACGATGTTCTCGTAAAAGTCGATCTGACCCTGCAGGAACGTGTGCATCATTTCGCGGTAGTCGCGAACCTGAAACAAAGTGGCTTCTTCGATCAGTCTTCGATGTTAACTGAATTCTGTGTGTAATCCTTTTAAAGTTTCCCTCAACCGTGAGACGAAATAGCATAAATAGGTTGTCAAAGTACAACATAACTAGAAATTGATAAATACTACCCCGTTGATAAGTGAAGTGCATATAGATTCGGAGAAATCCTCTTTATAACGCGAAATGATCTCTGCATGCTAGCTTATCAATTACGCTATCATGTCAAGGGAAGATGTTGCAATAGGATTCGCACTATTTGTTAAACGCATTTGCAACGGTATCAGTTAAAACACCTACCCGTTCCTGCTGGAAGTGGGTGATTTCGGCGAGCGTGGCGTAGGTAACAACATCGGTCCTTCGGTTGATGTCCACGTAATCCTCGGCCGATACCTTGCCTTCGTCCCGCTGCCTTTGATATTCTTTGCGTTTGCCGAGGAACGTCCGGTGGATGTTAATTATATCGGGCCACGAGCTGAGAATACCTGTAAGGACAAACGCCAAAGGTGGTCAGAGTGCATTTTGAAATGGATCGATGACCGCACATCAGGCACGCAGGTGACACATGCGTTCGAACGTAGTAAATTCATCTACTGCGAAAATTGCATACAAACGGAACCGCACAGTCATGGGATTTACCTCGGTATTCGTATAACGTGTCAGCCATGTTTTCCCAATTGTGCCGTAACGTTTCATCATACAATCGGCCGATACTTTCGTACGTTTCTCCCGTGTGCCTGATTGACGAGTTTAATTGGCTATCAAGATTAGTCGTATCCAGTTCGAAAGCAATCGCCAAATCCTTAAATGCATCGGAAATCTTTATGCACTCTCGCTTGTACGGCCCTTGGCATTTTTTTATCTGGTCCTGCGCCGTTCGATAAAGGCTTTGCACCGAATCGTCCATTTTCGACGTGAACTTGATAAACGCCTCAGTTTGCCGCTCGACAGACGAGAGTTCCAATGGCGTCTCTGGAGCCTGTAGGATTTACGCACATTTATTCTAAGCGTTTCTTTTTATCCTAGTCTATTTTCTAACAGATCCATACCTGTCAGGTATTGTATGAAATGTGCCTTAAGAGAAATTACAACTAATATATTTTCATAAAAAACAATCGCCAGAATGATCCGACCGGGGAAAAAATCGGATGCTTAAAACATTAAATTTGCGTGCCGGTTATCATTAATGTTAACATAAGACGACATCACACCTGAATAGCATTAAAAAAGTTGGCTCCTTGTAGTTCATCCTTTTCGGCTTTCCGCTTGCCGACTTTCCATTGTTTTTCGTCACCACAAGTAAGAAAGTGGTGCCAAACAGCGGATTGTGAGAGGACGGGATGACGACACATCCTGTTCACCCACAATCGAAGCTGTTGCATACGATGCTCTAGATCACGTAGTTGACGTAGAGTTGGCGGAACATAGCACACAGAATCCAAGTAACGTAGAGCAAAGCAGTAGTTAATTCAATATATTAATTTGACTGTTTATAGTATAGTCTGTTTACAACTATATACGCAGGGTATGGCATTTAGATTGAGACTGACTTTGGCTAACTCTTCGTTATAATGATCGTACGCGATCACCCGCTACTCCTGCTACCATACGAAAACCTTTTTTTTTCCATAACAAACTTGTCGTGACGAGGAACCATGTATATTCTTGGGACTTAGGTGAAAATCAGTTATTATTCAATTTTTCCGCACTGGACAAACCCCTACCGAAGTTAAAGAAAAAGAAACTTTTTTAGCCGGAAACGAACGGCCTATCTTATTGGCAATCTTCAAGCGATTTCTTCATAAGCAAGCCGGGAAATCCTCAAAGTTCCGATTAAAAGAGCTTGAAAATGTATTAAATTGGTTCGGAAAGCTATTTTTTAATACTTTAGATTTTTACTAGAGAAATTACCAGCCGTTGTCATGAGGAGCATATGAATTGCCAACCGCGTCGTCCAAATAAACTTTGACTTCTAAACCATTTTTTTTTGGTCTTCTTGTACCTTCTTAACTTTTTGGCTGTTTAGAGCTATCGCAGTTTTGGGACTTTCGACTTACTATTATTTCAATCTATTCTTTCAAATTTAATTCTATATAATTAATATGCGGTTAGTGTTAAAGCTATAAGAAGCACTATTTTTAAAATGACTAGTTAGTGGTTAAGGTCTCGAATTTGAGCTGTAATCGCAGCGGAGATGGTCATATTGAATAAACATGAGCGTCAGCAATAGCACATGCAAAAAAATCCATTGAGGCACTTGCTCTTGTTCAAATACAGTAAAACACTTCCAATAGCAAAAAGCATGCGAAAAGGTTCGAAATTAGGTATATATATGCAAAAAGAATCGAGGAAGACCTGATTAAAAGTGATAATTGCATACGAAGCACGGGTCGCCAGGATCTATCTATCTATCTATAATAGGCACAAATCGGCCTGTATTAAATTTTTCGTTCAGCAGAACGAAAAAGCTCTGAACGACTTCGCAAATCGGCTGGCGTAATGAATCCCTACGAGTATGCTGTACTGACCGATAAATTCGTTCTCGTATCTTCCAGTGACCTGTTTGTCGGGTAGAGGAGGAATAGGGATGAGCGAGTATTTCTCTACAAGTCTTTCGTGTAGCCAATCGAAATGCTTATAACGTCGATAAACGGGCTGATTGTTGAATGACGGAATTACTGAGTACGCAATAAAGCTCTTCAAGCCTGACCATGACGCAAAAAAAGAAGAGGCAAATTTCAAGTTAGTTCTTCGTTTGAGATCTAGACTTTTCTAAAACAGAATTACGGTAATGTACTGGCTAGCATTTCATCTATTTCGTTGTAAGCCGCAGGTACTAGTTAAAAATCTACTGAGTGATATTGAGCATAGCTATTTTCCTTCGGTCCCTGATGCAGCTATTCTGATTCAATACTTCCTCAAACACTTTCAGATATTTCGACGACATATAAGCTTGGCAAAACGAACGTGCAGTAATCTTTATTCGTGCCTTTGATACAGATAGTTCTACTTGGAGCCGTGTGTACCTTTAAGCTTGGTTTCTTTTTTCGGCGATTTGATGCCGGCAGAGTACATTGCTTCGGGATAAGGTTGACTCCACGATATGACCCCGGCCGTGTCAACGATGGTAACATAGTCGGCGCTGTTGATTGCTACCTTGGCCGTACCAAGTAGAAAAGCTTCTCCACCGCTTTTAACGAAGTTCGAGAACCTGCGCGATAGCATGACACGCGTATATGCCAGTTAATTAAGTCGCCATTTGCAATTATCTGCCAGTCAAGAAGCAGTTAAACAGCAGCATTGGCCAGAATTGCCGGTGATACACACAGACAGAAATAGACAAAAAAAACACATTAACTTCGTGGTACGAGAACAGTATACCGAAAACCCATCTCTATAGGTCTCTCTTTTACTGACAAATGACATTAACAATTGGGGTTCTAGGCTGTACGGTTCAATGACGGCATCACCATTATCGCCGGTTGGGATAATCACGGCGGTGAACTAACCATCTTCACGTAGGCATAGAGAGGCCTCTATTTGTCTCTAACAGTTGACATTAGTACACATACCATTGTAGAGGTCGATATACGCATAGCCTTACCTAGGCGTAATACCAACAATAAGTTGAGACAAGTAAATCAGCGGTAAATAAAAAAAATAATTGAAAGTTAACAGATCTTTAAAGAATTCGAATGTGGAAACCATTGAAGAGAGGAATGTGATCGAGGTACCGCACCGTTTGGTCTCGATCAGCTGATCATTAGTTCAGCTGGGTCTGCGAGTCTGTCAACATAGTTGTTCACGATTGCTGTCGAAAAAAACTTGTTGGTTGTGTTTCCATATCGAAATGCAGTAATGCGAGAATTCAACCCCTAAATGATTTCCTGTTTGCTTCCCTGCCATTTAATTTGATCCATGAGTGTGCGTACAAAATCGAGACGGTGAAGACGAGACTACAACAAGACCCGTCCCTATAAAATCACCGATCTCTATATCTCTATACTCCTATCGATGAAAACGAGTGCGGTGTTATTGATAAAAACGAGAAACATTGACGAGATTTCGATTGACATGTTACAGGAATCAGCACATACAACTTTGATCGGACAGCAGGCGCCGAACGAGCAACAAACATCAGGCACAAAAACATACGCTAAGTCGTTGGCGTTTCTGTGAGATTGCGCTAGATTCCAGAGCTGTTCGCTCGCCATGGAAAGAACGTCGTATTATTTGCGGCATAAATATACCGTACAAGCCACAGCAACAGCCCTGACTCCGTCAGCAACAACGACACATAGACGAGTCATTACAACACGTCGTCATCGTTAATACCCCTGCGAGCACGCTATCCGGTCGACCCATCATCCTTAATGCGTAGATCGTCTTTCGGTCTCGATCAACGGCCAATTATCTTCACACTGCAATAGATCTAAGCGCGCGACAGCTCAGAACAAAAACGACCCCATACGAACAGGCGAATGCAAAAATACAAATTCGTGGGAAAAATCGGACTACGCAAGATATGATACGTCGGATTATTGTTGTCGCTAGGTCGCGATCCGAGATGCGTCGCTGTAATAATAGTAACTATTACTATTAGCTATACCGCTATCCGGCGTGCCGTTGTAAACCTCATTGAGCTTTGACAGTGATGCGTTTAAAACAATAATAGTTACTAGTTGCTCTGAATGACAAAGCCTGCCGTTGGCAGCTTATGTCTGAAGTATGCATGTAATACTGACGGCACAAGTAAGATGTGTTACTCATTGCGTTTCCCAAAAAAAGAAATCGTCTACCGTATTTATCCACGCATAGCACTGTAATGTGACAACTTCAGCGATCCTTTTCGCGCGATACTTACTGATTAAGAAGCATGTTTCCTCACAAAATATTTTCCCTTGACAACAAATTGACACATAATACCATTACGTATGGCAAACTTATTTATTTAATAAAAAATAGTAAGTTATGTCTTGTCTTATATGTATATGACATATATATATATGTCATATATGCATATGATATTATATCGTTCACGTATCATCACATTTGCGTCCACCGCAAAGCAACGCGCAAGCCATTGGTGATATGTAATGGCTTAGTGGGTAACTTATTTACTTGTGTTACACACCTAGAAACACGTTGTGGTGTAAGTTCGAACCCGTATATGGGCATCTTTTGTTTGGTGTTGAGCCAGCCGTTTCATGAAATGTCTACTGACGAAACCGAACGTAAAACTCGAAACGTGGAAATAATTTGGGGTAAATTGTTCTCCTATACGCAGAAAGCCGAACCAGCCTCCTACAGTCGCACTTATACGTGGGCTAAATTTTTTGGCGATGGCAACGATACGCTCGTTAAGCTAAAAACGATGGAATTGACGCCAGACTCAACTTGAACTCAGAGTAATAATAGAATAGCAAATACAGGTATGTGACAATCACATAGTCTCTGTATAATAGAAGGCTGTATGGCACAGATTTGACGCTGCTTCTGTGCACAGCTGTGGCAAATGGTATGTTACACTAACTATAACAACGCCTAAGACAACGCATGTTGTATTGTAACACGAAGTAACGTCAGTGTAATCAGGCTACCGATTTGACTCGTCGGTGTCTGCCAGCGACTTTTCGCTGAACCCAGAATAACGAACATACGAAAATATACGCATTCAAACTGATATCGTAATGGGATTTGATTTGCTCAACAGATCCCAATGATTACTCGTTGGCCTACTTTAATGCTTGCAGGACATTGTAGCCTTCTGTCGCTGTATCTGTGGTCTGAAGCAGAAGATTTTGTATTAACTGCAGACAAACATTGGATGGCTGTTTTTTTGTTGGAGCTTTCAAATCTTCCAACCGGCACCTGCTTTGTATTGGCCTAGTCCCGAAATCATTATATTTAATTACGATCATTATGAACGACCATTTACGTCAAAAAGTTACGTCTATGATACATCTATAATCAAAGTGATTTACTCAACAAAACAATACGGTATCTTTTTCTTGTGAACAATTAATAAATATTAGATTTCTAAAGTAATGACAGTCTACGCGAAGGCATATTTGCGATAAATTATCAAAAGTCAAACAGAAGTGAACTCACCTATTGAAACGCCTAACAGTGCCTGTCCGAATCGCATTTACTTCAGGTCTTCCCGTAATATCTCCCGAGTCACGTGGAATACTGTAATCGGTAACAAATACACAGTTCGGTGGACATTCCTTTTTTTATGGTTTAAAATATAAATGGCTTAAAGATATATATGATGTAATCGAACTATTATGCCGGTTGAACGCAACGAAACGACAACACATGAATATCTCCAAGCCACGGTACTATACAGTAACTTCGTATTTCATTGATCACATTACCTGAGTCCGAAGTTACCCTGCCCCGTGAGTCCTCTCTGCGAGGCACCGTAGCCCGGCGCATGGTGTGAAGTCGGAGTTTCGTCGTCCTCGTCCCAATCATCCCAGTCTGAAGTTGCATCTGACCCATTGCCAACGGACGGCGCCACGTAGGGAGGCTGTGACGTTACGTAGCTCTCCGGAAACAGACCCGCTTCGCCTACGGTATAAGCAACCTAAGGTTTAGTTTGCAATCTGAAAAATCTGAATGGTCTATTAAGCTACAGAAAGTGAGTATTAACGAAAGCATTATAACAATCAACAAGACGGATCCGGTTGATATTTATTTTGCGTCTCAGCAACAGGCCTCTATTAAATCAGTTCAATAGAGACCTAATTATTTGACTATCCAGGGTTTTCACAGGTAGATTTTTAGATTAGGTAGACAAATTGTCACGGATCAACTGACGGCTCTTTGCCATGTGAAATTTGTATTGAGGACTAATTTTGTTCCCGTTCTGTTATGATAATGATTATGGAATAAACTAAAAAGAAAGTTAGTCTATCATGGATGCAGTCGTAAGGTCATGCATGTACATGCACAGGGGACTCTAAGGCAAAGATTATAGGGAAAAATATAGGCAGCAATCATTTGAAATAAAAGTATCGCTATCTCCCTAAAACACGTTTGTAACAAAATTAAACGATTCTTGATGATGTAACAAATAACACTTCGTGAAGATTTCGACAAAATACATAATGTAAGGCTGTTAGTTCATGTACTGGCTAACCGATACGCACAAGTTAGACATATTTTTTCCGATGCATGACATTAACATGACAGATATACTGAAAAAGCGTACTTGGTTTATTTGTCTTGCATTAATGAACGAAGATGTCACGCCGGATGTACAAAACTTTCTAAGCAGCTGTTGCTAGTTCGTGTTCCCGGGTCTTACCAAGAACGTTTTATGCGATAGATGATACAAGCATACTCGAACCGGTTCGCCTTTTTTGACGGTAGGTAAATAGACTTTGTCAAGAGTTAGTTCCGACTTGTTTTTTGCGACCGTTGAACGGCCTTTTTCCTTCTTGCTGAGTTCTTGTGATTCAGGTGCCACGACTGGTCTCACTTCACCATTCAGTGGGCCAGCGGCCCTACTATATACCAATCAGTGTGAATGAGCCTTGTTAGCCACGTGTTTCGGCCAAACTTAGTTGACTTGCCATGTTTGGCTAGCGAGTGTTACCCGAGGTCATGGCAGCGGACTACTGAACGTATACACATTGAAAACATAGTACATCGAAAACGTGAATATACAAGCCGTAAAAAACCATTGCATTCGCCCCCATGCATGCCCACACTATAATATACATGCTGTGTAGCAGACATAGCGTCAATGCGTCGATAGGCAGACAATATTATTACCGCTTTTTTGGACACCCAGTATTCATTGGAGTTGGCATAAGATCCTTTGATTTTGTTTTGATCCACCAACTGCTTTCCCTGCATGAACGGCAAATCGAGAAGCAAAAATAGTAATAAAGGTAGTCGCGCAGCGGAGGATTCTTTATTCTTGCGGTAAAAAGAATGCGCTAAATGTTGATGGGAGTGATCATGGGATTCGAAAAGATGTAGCTCACGTAAGATTAGAACACATATTTCTATCTTTACTTGTGTATTTATGTCTGTATGAATGCTAAATTTTAGAAGGGATTGCAACGATATTCTTTTATTATATGATTTGAAACAAAACAGCAGAAGAACGAAAATTAGCGTAGTAACTTTGCTAAGGCCTTTTTTGAAAATGCTCTTTTGAAGAGCATTTTGTAAAAAAGCCGTTTCGTTTTTACCAGAAGTTAGTCTATACGTATTTAGCACGAAACAAATGTCCAAATTTAACGAACTGACCTATTTTGCCCACGTGTTGCCTAGACGCACAGAGTTCTATATACTGAGAATGATATGCAAAAAACGAATAGATGCCTAGCTTTTTATGTTATGCACAGAAGCTCAACGAGCTAGCGGACTCTGGTCGCTCGCGGATTGCCTTACTGAATTTGATTGGGAATACCGCAGCATACGGTAAACATGACATTGACGTGGCCATGCTTTGACACTGTGCTCATATAGTTTATTTAGTTAAGTCTTATCGAAAACACAACACCGTCTACCGTATTACATCACCGAAGAAATTTCGATTCTGCTAACGCAGTATGCGTCACCCGATCTATTGAGCATGACTTCCGCGCAAGCCCATAAAACGTTCATAAATAACACGGAAATATTAAAGAAAGCTACAGATCAACTTGAACCCTGTGTCCATGTTCAAGTTGTCAAGAGTTTGATTTACTATTTATTACAAATTCATCTGCAGCAAAATATTCAACGCCATCTACCCTGCCACAGATAATAAAGGAACAGATAATAAAGTGCTTCGGATATTATGTCCGACTTTTGCTTCCGAAGGCTGAACGAATAATACGATGTCAACCATTCCCTGTCAGAGATTTTCGGTTTTTTTTCTAACATGTAAGCCTAGATCTTAGTGTTATACAACACTAAGATCTAGGCTCCAATGTTTTTGGCTTGAGGAAATATACGTTATAAAGGTTTGCCATAAACTCAAGATGGACGTATTCGGGGATAACAATACGTGCAATAGAGATCGAACGGATTATCTCGTTTACAAGTAGGATGGCATAAGACTGTGAACATTTTTGGCGGTCACCTTGTTACCAGGATCGCCATTGGTAGTTTAGCATCCATTCATAGAAACACTAAATGTTCGATATGAGCTATTACGCTGCGGTCGCTCTGGGATTGGCTGTGTTCCAACGGAGCTCACTTTCGACTAATTATGTTTATTTGTTCTGTAGTAAATGGATCGCTATTTCAATCTCTGAGATTGACGCACTTTTAATAACGCGTTTACTTCCAGCATGTGTCAACGGTACGAATCACAAAATATGCTCAATATATGATTCAAAAGCGCAATTAATCAATTTTAATTAAGTAGTCTTAATTACGTAAATAAGTAATCCAATGCGATCATACATTGAATTGAAGGGCAATTTGGAACAGCCTTAAATGGCTTTTACATTTGTTCCATAGAACTCAAATTGAAAAAAAGCCCCGTGAAGACCTTTATTAGTAGGATGAGCAAGTTTGGGTAACGTGTAAGGACAACGGAAATGTTCGTCATTCGGAAAATTGCAGTTAAACAGCACTTTGAAGAAGGATATAGGTATAATACCAGACAACAATTGGTTGCTAGCGAATCCTTTAGGCACCAAGGACTCAGCTCAAAAATCACTACAGGCGAGTTGCTTATGGTCATGCAGCTTGCGAAAACCTCGATCAGGTGGCACAGCATTTTCTGGATCTAGTATGGAGCATAACAAGTTTTCCGATATTTTATTCGGTTTTATTTTGCCCAACTTTTGTTCTCGGCCATTAAATGCTTAGTTTTCCATTGATACCCAGCTGACACTCCATACAGGCTCTACGTTGATTGTGCTTAACGAACTCGAATGGCAATAGTTCGAGCTACGGTGAAGCGACAAATCCCTAATTTTAACTTGACTTTAAGTTGATTATGGACACTGTTTAGTTATAGTGATAAACACAGAAATTCATAGGATATTGGATACACGACTGAAATCTGTTAAAACTTTGAAGGCAAGACTTTCAATTTATTATTCAGTAGATATTTAGTGAAAAGCACGATGTCCCTATCATGTATTAACCTATTTTCATTACAGAACAAACCGAAACGGTATGTCGTGTACTAAAAGCCATGTTCCAATACCTTCCATCGACAATCTAAACAGACCAATTGGAGTAGATCGTGTTCCGGTCTTTTCACTTGTAATGGGCGGAAAACATTTACTGACAAAAGGTGCTCACGTCGTTTCAATATTGGCCACTTAAACTGAACAAAAACGACTTTCATTCTTATTAGAAAAATGAGGAATCGCACAGCGACGAGTGTCGAATCGCCTACATCATCTTATATTTCCTTAATCAGCCCTTAAAGCAACAGCAGCAACGAGAAATAGGGAGCCAGCACCCCAAAGGCTCAATCCACTTGATGGCGGTTGGCCTTTTCCACTGGTTTTAATCTATACGTATGCTGTCTGGTGATTATCACCGTTATAGTGGCCTGCTTGCTTTTTGCTCTATTCTTAGGTGGTGTTCCGCTGGTCGCACTGATCCCAATCTGTCCCAAATGTCTCTGTTTAACTAGACACAAACAACTCGCCCCCATTTATTGATGGCGTAACGCCTTTTTGATTATGCTAACGTTGCGTCGTGTGAGTACGCACTGCCCGTATAACGTAAGCAAAACCTGGACCAGAAACATATTATAGATTCAGACAAATTATTGTAAAATGCAAATACCTCTCGTCTCGTCTAATCCTTTCATGCTAAAATTTTGCGCGCTATTAGTCTCAACGACCAATAAGGCTGGTGTGCCTCTTGACTCCTGGACTGATAAATACTGAATGCCTCATCCTAGTAAACCAAACTAATACTCCTACTACATACTACTTGCTGTCATGCTATTTGCTCACCATTGCATCCCTGAATGATAGCAGCGCTGATATAACGGTCGGGCCGCTGGCATCGACACGAATAACGTTAACGCCAAGGACAAAAGCACTGTACTCAAGTGACTACGTCGAGAGCCACTACGCAGCAGGGTTCATTCAAATACATATTCATAAATACTCTATTACATAACCGAAGCATAAAATTCCTAGTAAAAGCGAACTCCGACCAATCTATTACATAGAGCTGCCGCATTACATGCTAGCTCAGCATGTGATATTGCAGTTGCCTGGCATTTTGTGTTCGAAAAATACAATTGACGACTAATAGTGTTATAACTATTAGCCACGGTACCAGAATGAACAACCCTAAGATTTGTTCATGACAGTCAACTATATGCCAAGAAGAGCACGTTTTGGAGAAGTGCCTTCGGAGCGGACGACTAATTCCTACTAGTGCTTATCAGTGCATCATCTTAACACTGTAATCGATAACATGGACATTTCAAGGAAAAACGGCAGTCTACAGTAATGCTGTGCCTCATTTTGAATTCAGTAATCTATAAATCTATCAGTTTCTCAGTTCTCGGAGGCCAACGAAAACAAGAAATCATTGGATTTCGCCATTTGAACGAGCAGCGAAGCTCAAAAAATAGCTACGCTTTAACTGACATATTCAACTATAGAGAGAACGAGTGCTCTAGCTGAATTCTAGCGCACCAATTATGTGAATTAACAATTCATTGAAAACTGGCTAGACGGAATTAATGTGCCTCGTTTATATTTAATGTGCCACGTGACTTTAAAAGCATGAGCTTATTTGAAGAGAACGCTTTTATGGCACACAGTTTGCTACAGTTTGCCCACGGCTATACCTCTATCACCTTATCGCTACTGCCAGCTTTCGTTGGCGCCGACTACTTGTTTTAATCTTTGGGGCTTTTATCGCTTTATGTATAGCAATGAAATTATTTCTTTATTCTTGGTGCATTCCACCATCGAGCACAAAAATACAATAATACGTTTAATTATATTTAACTCCTAAACAGAAAGTCCCAACATATAATCGTCTATGCATGATGCATTATTATGCCGAGCTAGTTCGAGCTGGTACGACAACAGAACAGTAACTGCTGGAAGTGTAAGCTAGTTGGTTCTGCGGGACAGTGTAACAGTATGAGCGTTGCAATTGTTCCCCTGATGAGGCGACTACGACGGTATAGGAAGCTGCGGATTAAGAAGCACAAAGGATGCCAGGGCCACGATATGCACAGACGGAAATGTAAAAGCAGAGCTTTTGCGTAGGGGAAATTGAAGCACTGACCGATATCGGTCGGGTATTCGTTTGGCGAAGACAATGACCCACAGAAAAGAGGCAAACAGAATCGGCCTAAAACACCAGCTGCGGTCGTAGGTGAGCTAATCCAAAGGGTATGCTGTTAGTTTAACGTGTGGTGACTTCTAATGGACGACCTGACAATGGACAAAACGGCCACCGACGCTAGAAACAATGTAACAACAGCAATCGTAAGAGGGTACCCACCAGATCAGACCAATGGGTATCCACATAAAGTCTGAGTTAGGGTGAGCTGAAAACCAAGGAAACACGAGAAACAAAAAGGTCAAGACCGTAAGCTAATAATCCTAGCAAAAAGAACCAAGAAAAGCCCTCTGCTTTGCCTAACCTCTTTCGTTAGTCAATTTTTTTCCATGTGAGGTACTCCGCACGAAAGGAAGCCAGAGGTCGAGTAGGCAAAGAAAAGGCTACTTGTGCCTCAGCTCACGGTTACATCGAACGTAGAGAATAACAGTAACAGAAACGAAGCTATGAAACCCATCACGAAGCATCATCAATCGACGCGTCTTTAAGTCCGTAGTAACCTTTAGCAACTAGCCGCTAAAATAAAACCAACGGGCGAAGAAAGAAAAAGGCTACATAGCACAACGAGGTGCCCTTTTGACAAAGAAACATCAATTATGCCCATATAGCTGCCCATACAGAAAAAAATTATTTGGTTCCTCTTTGTACTGTTCGGTAGTGCCACAATAAATGTGGTTATGATGCTGATAATAACAGTGGACCTCTTATATTTTAATTATCATCATGACAATGATAGTTTACTTACCAAAATATGTTTTTACCCGAATATAGGCATGGCATGAGTCAACCCATGCTCAGTAACCAAACTAGCTGTCGGAAAAAATATCCAGAGGCTAACCTTATTGCGCACTTTCCTTATTTGTACCTTGTACGGTTGATAAAATATGGTTCGAACGCTCCTACAGGTACATCTATCGGATACGTTTGTCCCCAATAGAATTAAATATGAAAAGCTTAAAAATAAAATGATACGTATATCGTTCATGTGGTGCTTCAAATGCATTAGACGACTCACGGCCTCCATGGTGTGCAGATCTGTTATGTAGTATCACATAATCCACTTGCTTCTTTGGGTCCATGTAGCATTATAGCCATACATTACACTTGCACAATATGCAACGGCCTTAAGCAACGGCATCGTAAATGGTTGTTTGACCCCCAGAAATTTGCTACGCCTAACTGTAACGTGTGAACATACAATGTTTTAATAGATATGCAGCAGAGAAATGGGTTACTGCATCGACTAAGCTGAGTGACGATCGCTTACCTCGACAGTCACAAATATCAACATCCATTGATTTTGAATCATAACGAGCCCAGTAATTCAGTACGTCGAATGTAATACTCAACAAAGTACTTGAAAAGTTTTACATTCGCTTGCGCTGGTAAACATTGTCAGACGAATAAAACATAGATTCAGATGCTATGATATTTTATGTTGATAGTGACAGTTTACGAGAATTTGTAAACCGACAGTTTATACCACTATAGAATATAAAGGGTGTACCGCTAGATTGTGAAAGTCTTGAATATGAAACACTCCTGAACAAATGGCATTTATTCGAGGCTTCCAATCCGCACGATAAAATCAAAGACTGTCACAATCTGCAGATTTTTAATAGCGACAGATACTGTTAGTAAGAGCAAACAACTTCAGAAAAAGAAAAGGACATACACATAGACACAAGAAAAGAATAGGAAAAATTTATCACATTGAGTTAAGATTGAACAAGTTCGAAACTTAATAAGATGATTGCTATGTGCACACCAAACTAGACGAAAAGTGACAGACAATTCAATCCAACCCTCAGTGACCTAAGGATATTTCGATAGCCGCACGCTTATAAGACTTTGGCTGCACAGACAACACGCGGATACGGGAATCAAACACAGGGACAGTGTCTGGCACTCACAAAAGCGAATGGCCACTGCTGCAAATGGTCGCATACTATGGGAAGGGTTTCCTCGAAAAATTTAGATAGAAAGAAGTGTTTAGGAACGACGTAGTTGTATATATATATACAGCTACCTTGCGCTGGTGGTTGGTTTTGCTGCTGCTGCTGCTGCTGCTGCTGCTGCTGGTTGTGGGCAACAAGATCAAGCAGACCTGCCGGTGTACCCCAGTCATCATCGGTGGATCCAGCCCTTGACGGCTGCGAAGAGCCCCCGGAAAAACCGGAGGAAGTTCCATGGCTTATCGAGTTCGTCTCTGTTGTCGGAGACATCTCCGAGGAGCTTCCGATGAAATCAATATACGTCTCCGGAAACAGGCCCGATTCGCCTGGTTCATAATGCCAATGAGCCACGTATCGTTCAGAAATCCTTGGTTATACATACAATTTGTTCTCCCTAGTAAAATGAACGTCTCCATTTTATTTTTCACAAAATATCTTTGTTCTATTGACACACTTGCAAATTATACTATTTTTCACCTGCTTAGAAAAAGATTCTCGTATCAGGTACGATTGATTACTGACCAAACCTATAAGCGCATTAATCACCGGCTAGAAATGTATTAGTACAACTGTTGCTTTTAATACTATGCAAAGCTGAATTAACTATAAAGTATTAAAAGTAAGAGTTGTAGTCAAATTTTTTCGTTCGAAAATTATCAGTTTGAAGATAGCATTAAAACAGGCCTAAAAAAGCCTTACATTAAATAATTTTACAATTGAATAAATCTTGCTCAGGAGGTCTCTGGTGCGAACAAAATATTTTGACTTGGAATCGTCCTCTAGCCAAGGTGGCAAGAACGTTTCAGGAACAACCTGATAGTCTAAGCTATTCATCCCTTTTCATTATTATGTCAACACATTCACATACTGTAGAGATCAGCTCAGTAGATCCCAATCTAGGTCAAAGAGAAATTTATTATCTAATAAAAGAGAAAGAATCTAAATCCACCAGTGTTCACATGTCTGCTAGTTCTTTCACCTAATAAACTGTGTTTTTTAAAAGTATAAACAGATAAAAAAAGCAGAGACAGCAAACGAATGTATCCTAATGAAACTCATACCGTAAATGTGGTCAAACTGACTTGATAATGAAATATTCTGAAATATAACATACATATACAGTATTAAACTGACTTCTGTAAAAATATATTTTACTCTTAAACATTCAATATTTAGTTGTAACAAAGTCATCAACACCTCAGCAGCTCCACCAATGAATTCGCCTTTTTTATGACCATTTTACAGCAGTAATGACTAGTTCCCCTAAATTGGCAAAAAACACATGGTAGTAGAAGCAGTAAATTAATAGCAACCTTGATGTAAGCAACTATTATGGTTATAAACGAAAATCACTAGACGCAGACAGAGACCGTCAGTTCGCAGTAACTAAACCTGCTATTTTTTAAGCATCACCGACAGTAAGATTAATAATAATGTATTCTATTATAGCGAGTTATCAAACTATTCCCTTCTGGAAACACAGCTTTTTTTTTTTTTTTTTTTGTTAGACCTTTCTTGTACGAACGCAAGCTTTTTATTTTTATTAACATTTTTATAGAAATTGCACAATACGCGTGAACACAGACGGTAATATCAACATATGCGTAGCATAGAGCGTTCTACTTTTTTGATGAATGGATACACTGCAAAATTTTAAAATCAGCTTCCTTGCATTCACAGCATATTATGCGACAAACAGTAAACGGTCTGTAAAAAAGTTACTAGCATCAAAAGAGTAGGCTCAAATACACAATGTTACTAGTGTATTCTTAAGGGTGGCCTTAATCGTGCAAATTGTATCATGATATAGTTAAAGCGTGGCCACGAATCCACTTTTTACTAAGTTGCTATATTTTCATTCGTAACTTGTTTCTGGAGCATTCACTTGCTAATTTTCTCTAGAAAGTATGGGACACTAAGTAATGTTCACTATATATATACACAGTCTTTTTTTTATCTAAAAGCAATTTCGCATGTTTGAGTATACTAAATACTTGCTTACTGAACATATATTGATGCCGTAGAATCAAACCCTTCAACAGAAATAACAAAAGGAACTGCGTCGTCACACGCATCGCGACCAAAATAAGAGTGACATGCTAGCGAGCTAATAACAACTTAGGTAACAACGACAGGAAAAACATGCCCCGATCCACGCAACAGTATGTGAAACGCAAACGAGAAATACACATTTAAACGATCCAGAATCATTCGGTGTTTACTCAGTGATTTCAATAACTTCCCACTTTAATTCCATGATAGTATATACATGCTAATTCTACGACTTGCAACGTATGCTTATACCAATCAAATTTGACAACTGAGCCGATAATCTGTCAGCAGTTGGGACGAAAACGATTGTCTTTTACCTAAATAAACAAGAAAAGCTAACAATCTTTCGTTTCCTAGTCACAGTGAACTAGCATCGTGAACGATACGTTTTTCCCTCGTGTTGTCACCGACGAAATAGACCACACCATTTCGAGAGACTTGGAAAAGGCGACTCCAACAAACGGCTGAAGACCCGCCCAATAGTACAACTACGATTGTCGGGTGTCCCTTGTGCCATTCCGACCCTCAATCATTTATCAGCCGTTGGCGCTTTCCTTCATGTTCGTTGCATATACATTATACAGCCTCGATCGCCCGTAAATGCCGCTAGTTATTTATCGTTGTCATATCATAGCTATCCTACTGTGCAAAAGAGACATAACACAGGCTCGGGAAATAAAAACAAGCACGGATCAGTGCAACGAAGATGGTCGACGTGTCTGTCAACTCACATCATAACCGAATCGGATAGTATTGTTTTTGCTGATAAGTAAAATAAATAAGACGCAAATTTAAAATCGCTATAAATATAATAATTATTTTTTTAAGTTCATATATAGGTAGACACTGTTAAATTATGTCGTCCAAAATTATCTCCACATATCGCTAATCGAGAAAAACACAATAAGAAAACACTTTTCTTTTCAACTTCACAATCATGCATATTATTACACTTTTGTATGTGTGTTGTTGAAAGATAGCGGCTGGCTTTTTCTTGACTTTAACAGCCCAGGTGAATCTATTAAACTATCATTTGCTTGTTTCTAGGTCGGATTATACGAAAATAATTGGACATTTCCTTAATTTTTATCGACTCATTTTCTTCTAGCTTGGAGCAAAGGTCGGGCCGGTCTTGAACGTACTCCGAAGTGGCAGTTGCCAGCTGACGACGTGTGCTTTTTACACTTGAAAGTCCTAAACGGCCGGTAGAACCAACGGTCAAAAAGGGTTCGAACCGGAAGAGAAAGAAGTGGGGAAATTAGGATGAAAACGGTCTCATTCTCATTTGATGTCTGCGTGAGAGAGTCTAGCCCGTACGTCGACTATGTACTACTCTTACTATCAGATGTTTTCACAATGTTACTTTTTTTCATAATCTGCTTTTTTACCTTTCGCGTTGATGCCTTCGCACCACCCTTCGCCGACATTCCGATTTGTTACTGTCACTGTATCTCCTTCTCGAATGTTAATTTCACCGGGCGCCTGCGCCTCGAAGTCGTACAGAACCTTAGCCTTCACATGGCTCATGGCGTTTGCTTACCTACACCCCCGTGTCCCACAGTAATACTGCGGGTGAGCCACGAGCGGCGGCAACGAACAAGCACCTGACGAAGGCACGCACTCACACACACATCCACACACAGACGAATGCACCGTCGAACAACGAAAAGATCCAGCTATTGGCGACGAAAAACCGAACGACTACAAAAGACCGCTAAAATTTCTTCGCGTTTTCAATTGGATTCCGGATTTTTTGGCTGCGAACAATTCACTCTCTACCAGCCGTTGGTGGCCCCACTTCTTCGACCATTGAAACACCACAAGCACCGCTTTTCAGACATCGCACTATGCGGACACAGGCGCCAGCTGCACTCGTATGACAACAGACACTTGCCTCTCTAACGTTGGAAGAGGGTACGCATGACAGACAACACTGATATTGTCAGGGAAGCAATCCGAGAACAGATGACTCCCACTGGCAGTTCACCGGCTCACATAGAAGCCTTACTCAGTTCCAAAACATGACGTTGTTGAAATTTACACGGAAGGTGAAAGAATATCTTTCGTATATGTTGCACATGATTTTATGTTTGACATCATCTGTATCATTTAGTTAAAGTAATTTATATTGAACACTCATATAGTAGTTGTCGCCCTTAAAAGAATAAAATTTAAAAAATCAGAATTACGTGTGACCTAAGTCACGTAGTTCTGGTTTATAGTCAAAAGGCGAAAATGGCCCCTTTGTTTTTCGACACCATTCGAGTACAACTATTGTCAGCACCACAAAATAAGAGGACGTCGATTCGTTGTTTTTTAAAAGTGGTCTGCTTCGTGGTAAGAGTGTAGCGATACCCTCTTCGTGACAGCGGTGACGTAAGATCTGGCGGGGTCGCCAGCAAACAGGAATCGCGACGTCTAGAATACGCGAATGCGATATAATAGTTTTGACGGGTGCATCAAACAACGAATCTTTGCAATCAGCAGACGTATTTCGTACTTTAACGTCGAAAGAGTACCCCAAGATGACTCAAGCGGTATGAATAGACTGACCGACATGATAGTGAACAACGTAATCCCTCTAGACGGGAGTATTTTGACTACAATCTAATAGGTGTATCTTCTGGCGAATCTCTTGACAGAATCGTATAAAAGGTCAAAAGAGAAAAAGTGGAACGGAATAATGCTTTTGGAAATACGCACAGTGAATGTCCGCAATTACTCTTCAACAGCATAATTGCGACTGATAGGCGCTGCAACCTGTTTCGACTATAATAGCTATCTCTAATGAGCTTAGAGGATGCAGAAAATTCAACGTTAGTTTTTTTAATAAACTGAAATTAAAATTATCAGAATTTTTTTGTTTAAAATGTATGTTTGAGCGATACAGGATATTTGAAAACGACATATATTTAATACTGACATTTTCTTAGACTAGCTGAGAGCGCACACCTTCGATAAAGACGCTTATCCTACGTCCACTGCTAAAGGACAAAAGATATTTCCTCTTTTCCCAATTTTCGTAACAAACGTTCGAGTCTCAAGTAAATTTCAGCATAAAGTCGAAAAGCGTTATTTTAAATTAGAACAGAAATTATTTTAAATTAAAATGAAATTTAGCATGTTTTTGTTTTTTTTTTTTCTTTACAGAAAACTCTTCTAAGCACGAACTCCGTCGGTACCTCTTTAAACGAGTCAATCCACCGTTAACGAGAATGTGGGTAACAACAATATAAACGTACATAGTCGTTGTGGATAATAAGCTGGAGCAGGTAATGCTATGTGAACACAAAATTCGCTCCGAAAAAGAACCGGTTCGGTTTTTTTCACTACCAGTAATGCTATAATATACGTTTTTTTATTTTACTCGATTGCCCATTGTCGATATCAAGAAGTTACAACGTTTGAACATCTCACTTGGACGGATATTTATCTAACTGAAACTCACATTTTGGCAATGGCATTATGTTTCCACGTTAATGGGAAAGTATTAACAAACAATTTTTGTTGGAATACTGCGTTAGAGAAGTGCGTACTAATTCTACACTTTTGGACTAAAATAGCTTCGAAAATACGATAATATTTAGCTTGGACTACCCAATTCTTACATCATCGAAAATACCGCTAAAAATGGATGAACCTGAACTAAGAGCAAAAATTCGTTACGCCACTCACTGTGTGAAGCATTATTAATGATGTAACGAAACACGTATTTGTAGTAACTCTAGTTCAGGAATTTATAGTAATCGTTTCGCTATATATCGAGTTAATTCTAACGGCTTTTCTATTAAATCGAAAGCCTGCTATTCAAATATCCCATTACTTTGCAAACATTTGCCTATGCTTATTGGCTCCTGACGGGGAAAATCACTAACTTAAAACACTAACAACTGTGTAATAGTGTGACGAAATACAGTTGAGGTTTTTCGATGATGTAATAATGTGTAACTCGAAGTTTAGGTTGTTTCCACCAGTAACCACTATTTAAGATTTTGTTAGAGAAAGATCAGTGGAAAGAGCATCGAAGGGAGAGCATATTAGATCGAAGCTAATGCGTTTCTTGATGTTATATAGCGTTACTTTATATTCAAAAGAAAAAAGAATTGTTGCTTATGGATAGTCAAAACAAACGTATACATTACAATATAGTCCAACCATTTGATGGGGATTTTTTGAGAAAATCTAAAGCACTGTATAGTTTATATAGCTTGGGTATTTTTTTTCGTGTATCCTCTCTTTATTATTTTTGTTTTTTATTTGTAATGAAAGTTCACATGCTTTTGCTCAAAATGCCCACTCGGGTTTCACAGACACATATATCTCATTAATGTACATGCACATAAATACAAATATACAGATTTAAGTCAATTTTGCTTATCTTTACGGTGAGATATGGCCTTCTATAATGTACAAAAACAGCATTTACGATAAAAGATCACCAGAGGAGCAATCATAATACAAATTCAGTCCTGAAATGTCTCGCATTCTTTGTAACAGAGACTTTGGCCCATTTTGGTGTTATGTTGACGCGTCTCTGAAATGCGAATTGGTGAAAGATGACTAAGTAACGTAAATAAACGACGTTGACGTTTAAGAAGTACCCCCCATTTAACGTGACTTTAGCTATAAGATATACAGGAAGTATATCACTCGGGAAAGTGCAAAGGTATATAATAAATCGCAAAATAGAGAAGCGCACGCTTCGTCTCCGGGGTATTATAAATAAAGCTTTAAATAGCTATTAATAATAGAGTCACAGTCCGCTCTGTATATAGGGCACGTCGTCCCCGTAGAGGCACCTATGGACAATACGTGCAGCTGCGTCCAATCCACTCTGATAGGCACCAGCCACACTTCTACACATGTTTTGATTGAGATGTTCGCCAGCCAGAAACACAGCGTTTTCCAGAACTGGGCACGAAAAAGGACGTAAATCTTCGGTGTTGACGAAACCCACCTGCAAAAAAAACAATATTTACTGCCACTTTACTCATCGTATTAAACCATACATGCGAGTGATATTGCACTACTGTTTTTAGCTAAGTAAAAAAACGATTAGCACAAACAAGAAAAGTCGACGCCAAAGATCGTTAACGTACAATTTCCGCTGGCTAGTATTATCCGTCTTGTTTTGAGCAAAAGCAGACTAAGTAACTAAATTCAATAACCAATTAATAGATTAACAATATTCTGCTCTCTAAAGAATATATACCTTGGGATATGTGTACGCCATCCCTATATGCTCATTGGAACAAAATCGGGACACGTGGCATTGTAATGGTTCGGGTATCTCACCAAAGATTTTTCTCAACATCTTCACATATTCCTGAGTTACTTCCTGGTCGCTTAAGATGCGCAGTCGGTCCACGCTGTCACCTATTACATGCGAATAAATTGTGAGATGCTCGTTATATTTTCAATTTAGACAGTGCACTTCGTACACGTACAGGGTAAAGATTGTAACCAGTCGGTCAGCAAACAATCAAAAGAGTACCCACCGATTATGTAGCTTTTCAGTAGGAACCGTTCTCTACCAGCCCGGTCATGAGCGGAGACGTCAATAAACATAGGAAACATTCCGCGCCGTTCGCGTTCTTTGTCTTCAAGTGTTCGCAGAATTAAGCCACAACGATAATCCTGATTCGACGGCCGCCAGAAGCTATGCGGGAACTCAGCTATCACCTGTAATTTAATTTAGTTGACTTTAGAATACTCTGTGATTCTTATTGAAAATAGCAGGAAATCGTTTCGCTTATGGTATGAAACTACCATGTGGAAGATAAATTCGAACAGTGATCGGCAATTTCAGGATGGGCTAACCTGCTCCAGTTGACCACAGCCAAATTGGTTCAAGGACTGTATTAACGGTACAGAAAGAGTCGGCGTAAACCGAATAGTTTCCTGAAACAATACGAACAACCGATGCTTAGAATAGTAATTAGAAAATGACAAAAACGTGTACGTTTTATGTCCGCCTATTAATAGTTACGCTTGTTGTGGTCACTATTTGACCACTATGTAAACAGCATACTTTTTTTTATGAACATGCGCAGTTTTTATGAACAAATTTACGAACGTGGACTGGTCTGACATTAAGCATAATAGTATAGATGCATCAAAGTAACGTACAAAATGGTCAATAGTAGTGTCTGCAATGCAGTCATGCTAGGTTTCCAAACTCATGCAACTTCTTGGAAGCTTCAGCTTTTCTGGATATAAACCTTTAAAAAACATATATATATATATATATATATATATATATATATGTATATATAGTCTCTCAATCGTCTTAAAGGTTACCAAAAAAATGTTCACAAGTCAACAACTATGACTTACGTGCTTGCTAAAGGCTTTCTCTTGCAAGCATATTAGAATCACTCACCTTCTGTAACACCTGTAGAGGTACTGCGACTACAACATAATCCGCGTCTAGGGTTCGTTGTTTTCCATCTTCTGCAATAAACGAGACTCGCGCTCGACAAGTATCTTCCGGTACTGCCCCGTTGCCTGGCGTGATTAGCTCGACTGATACCACACGATTCCGTAATCGAACCTCCAGGCCAGAAGACAGATTCTCTAAAAGAGCCCCCAAGCCACCGGGTACTGTAGCAGATCCACCTTTACAAGAAAATAATATGGAAAATGATTTCAGTCAAGTATCTACAATAATTTACTTCGAAGGAATAATCAATCTACTATTATTTTCTTTTTTTTTTCTGTCAGAATTTTCAGAACTATGTGCGAAGATAATTTTTGTAGTGCCTATTTAGAGATAGTTAAACACCGGTTTCTAAGCAGTACGTCGTAAAATGATCTCTCTACGGTCTAATTACAAACCACGGGAAATACATGTGAAAAAATACACGAAATTTAGTGCTGTGTGAAATAAAGTTGCTACTTTTATGGGGATTTGTCTTACTGGGGATATCGAATATGCCTTCTAACAAACCTGCGAACTGGGGACAGAAGGCGTAATGGGCATACATCTTTGCTGAAACTTTTGAGAGAGACGCACCACACGATGCTTCAAGAAGACACTTGTATGACTCAAGAACAACCTTTTCGTCCTTTGTTAATAACTGAAAAAGGGAAACATTTTTGTCATTAATCCACAACAGTTGAAATTAACCCTTATTACTTCTGTCAAGAATCGGAAATGAAATTATTTTTCTAATTTATTTATGGTTGATTTCATCACGTACAGTAGTAATCACTTACAAACAATCACTATCATAATTACGTGACTGAATGTTAAAATCTAATATTTCCGGGTTATATGATTATATATACCTGGTCTCCATTAGCTTGACAAATCAGCTGGCCCATTTTCCTTTCCAGATCGACATCGGGTTCTGTTGGCGGCGGCGGTGGGGGATTGGATCCCTTTTTTGCACTTCCCGTGGGTCGCTGGGCGGCTTGGTCTAATCCATGACGCCATTCAATAAGTGCTTCTGATGCTCGTGCAAATAAATCATCAATAGCCTCATCCACTGCTGCATCAACAAGAGTTCCTATGAAAATAGGTTTTGTAAAGCAAGTTAAGCTGACAAACCGAAAGTGCATGCGCTATTCAACTAATTAATTTTTTTAATAATAAAATTTTTCCTAAGTTAGTTTTAATAGTATTTTTGAATGTCTCAAGGGGTACAACCATCTGTCATATAAACCTTACCTACTATTTGTGAGACATTTTACATGTGAAAGTCCTGCTTATACTTACTACTAGTTATAGAGTCACACTTATTCATCATGCTACCAGCATTCTGTTTCTCTATTGGAAAAATTACCTCCAGGCTGCAGCAACATTTGGCTGTCTTCATCAATTACGGGAGTGACACCGCACTGCAGTGCGAGCATGGCAATAGGATTATTAATAACGCCTACTAAACGGTCTGCTCCCGTAGCAAATGCCAAACCATCTCCACGTTTCCGATAATTTACACGTCCCCCGATTCGATCACCCACTTCAAGGACTGTCACCTGAATATTGCATACGCTTTGTATTAATGTCATACCAATGACAAAATCTCATAGAGGTTTCAAGATGGTTAAATATTTTTAATTACATAATCTGATTATTCAATAATTGGAAAATAAAATGGAAAGTTCTTTTTAATAGTATTTTGGTATATAATTTCGCAGAATTTCCTTTCCATACGTTCATCTTACTCAAGACCTACCCAAACGAGGTTCAGTAATTGGACTCGCATTGTCTAAAAGATATACTCTCCTCAAAATTCGAAATGCACGTGTTGCATATTCATTTGCTTTCTATGAGTCCTACCTTCATCCCGAGGTTACTAAGGTGTCTTCCAGCTGCTAGACCAGCGGCACCTGCGCCGACTACGACGACTCGTGTGGGTGGTAGACGTGGTAAGTCGGGTGGAGGAGACAGATGGCCGTGATTCACTAAGCCGCGCTGGGTCAAATGATGCAAAATACGCTGAGCCTCGTATAAGCAACTACAATAGGCAATGAAAATATTACACACACGATAAATAAATTCTTATTTGACAATATTTTGAATTTCTGATGTTTTAAACTGTACCCAAATTACCTAGGTTAATTAATAATATTAGTTAGTTACCTGCTTACTTAAAATGACAGATACCAACAAACGGCTAATACGATCATTAAGTAGTCTATATTCTTTAATTCAGGGCCAATTGGGACACCCGCTTAAATTAGCGTCTTTCGTTTTAATATATAGATTTAAGCATTCTCTCAATGCACAACTTAAGTAAAGGTGTATTCATTGCATGAAAAAATAGCTAAAAATATGGTTCATATTTTTGGCTATTTTTTTTTATTTTAGCAATGTCGTTATAAATAGCTCTAGAAAGAGAATTTACTCACCGAATCCTGGAAAGCCCTCTGCACTGTAGATTATTTGCCACTTCCTTAATCGTAAGCCAACGAGTAGGATCCCGCATCCAAAGAGAATAAACTAGGTTTCGTAAGCAAAGGAACATAGCCTGTTCCTTCGAGTACTCTGAGAAAATGACTTTCTCATGTTCTTCCATCGCATCAGGGCGCATCGCACCTGCGATAAGTTCCTCCCCTATAATTACAAGTCAAAAACCGGTCAGCATGTTTTTCAGATGAATAGTATTAAACGAAATAAAATATCCAGGACGTGTTAAAGTAATTTGAGCATTGAAAGTAGTAACGCACAATAAAGGCATAAATGTTTAACCATTTTAATGGTTATATATAAAAAAAAAGTTGTTTATACTACTTTACAGTTAAGATCCAATGTTCGTTCCTAGCAACTTCATGAGGCCAATAGAATATTAAATGTATTGACCTGTACAAAACCCGGATGAGTGTTAAATTTTCCAATATAAAAATACCTGTTTCGAGAAATGGATGCGTGAGGCGATCCCTGATTAAATCAATCTGGTCCTCAGTCCTTGGAGTAGACCCTAAGACAAATGGGTCTTTGCAATCATTGGCCAGCTCGAGCTGATTACGAAGTTCTCGTGCCGCCTCTGAAGTAAAGCAAATAACCGCTACTATTGTACGTTTGCGGTCCAATTTTTGTCCTCACAGAAATCGAGGAACTTGTTTTACTTATTAAATTACCCACAAACATTAGTCCAAAGTAGACATGGATGGTCTAACGGTTGTAAAAGTGTCTCTTGCATAACGATATCTGAGAACATATAGATTATATCCGCATCTATCCTTAAATGACACGAACCTGCGAGTCTATCGGAGAGGTAGTCAAGTTTTGATGCTGTTATTCCAAGCGGCAGGGGGTTATAGTTGACTAGCAACGGGGCAGCAGGACTATCCTTTAGCATAGGGGCCAAAGAAAGCGTGTTGATCCAGTGAGGAAGCACGGCGTTGGCCGCTTCCGGAGGCTCCGGTTCATCGCAGGAGGACGAAACGCCGCCACATTCAATGTCCCCTGAAGTTGGTCCGGTATACTCCGCTCCATATACTAAATGGTCGCAGGTGAAATCCCTAATTAACGATTCACGAAGTTCTTGCCTAAAAAATGAAGTAAAGTAGAGTCGGATAAGTAGACAAAGTTTTAATGTCTTTTGTAGGCCAAAGATGTAAAACTGAAGTACGAGCTTAATCCATTTTCAGTTGATACAAGAACATGCAACATCCGCGTAGGTATAGTATTATTAGCTCAAAGCATAAACGCTGACGGACCTTGACGGAAGCTGTCTCCATTTGTCACAGCGAACACATTGCAACCAAAACGGGAGTAACTGGTCGGCCATAAAAAGACGTATGGCGGCCTCACCCTTTAAGTCACGCACCCACAATTCCTTCCATAAGCTGAAAATCTGCGGTCGCAAATGGGAAGATATGAGCATAAAAATGAGTTAGCATACATGGGCCAATAAAAGAGAGTGTCTGATTGTTATACCCTATAACACCATATCACAGCTTTATTAGATATACAAGGTATCGTACAGATATCTTCTGTGCCACCGTCTAAAATATATACAGCAGTACACATTGCAGTAATAATCATAAAAACAACATTCATGTCAAATGAAGTCGAGTCGTCTCGCAAAGGCAATCGCAGAGCCCCCTAAAAGCAGCAGATACCGCATAATAGCGTAACAGTTATAGCGTTATGCATGTTACAATTACCGCATATCCAGCTCTGGTAGGCTTGCAAAAATGTTCGAAGCACTCGTTGCAATAGTGTTCATCTTCGCTAAGGTGGAACCAACGGGGCGTCCAAAGGTTCCCGCTGCACTTATCCGAAGCCTGGGCGAAGCATCTCGGCTCCTGAGAATCAATTGCAGAGAAAACAAGCCCTGATATATTGTTCTTGTATATTTAGCAGCACAGGTAAGATTCAGAAGCTATCAAAGATGTCACTGCTTAGAAGAAAGTCTAAAAATAGAACGTAATAAAATTTACTTAGTAAACTTTAACATATAAACAGAATATTAAAAATGAATAGCATATCAAATAGCTCAGATAGAACTAGTGACATAATTTTCCATTCAGCTACTTACTTTGCAGGGACAATGCGCCTTCTCGCAAGGTTTCTTTTTTCGCAGTAGGCTTAATGAGTCTTTCGCCTTTTTGGCCACTAACGAGTGGTCGGACTGCTTCGATGACGGTCGTCCGCGCTTCACCATTCTAAGGCATTAACATTGCGTTGTCGGCTTTTTCCGCTGAAACCATTCGATCAATATACCATAAGCACGTATACATCTGCTTTTCGTATCGAGGATCGGTACCACATGTGATCAGCTTACTGCTAAAGTAGCCAATAAAATCACGCGTGATTCTAACAAGTTAAAATAAATTACAGTTACAATCTTAATTGTAAATACCTGTGTATATTCAATGGTGTTGCAGAAAAGAACTTTCTGATAAATTTTCCAGTACATATCCTTAGCGTGTTAGCATTAATGTGCAGAAAACTGTTTTTATAGGATTGAAATAATTGGTCTAAAATTTTCTTAACAAAATATGGGAACTAAATTATCTTACAAGTTCTGCCATGAGCAGAACTTGTAAGACAATTTATTATATATTACTAAGGCGAACGACTAGAGGCATCGACACAAAATCGTATACCTTTACTGGGAAAATTGATGTTGCTATTTGTAGAACTATTTTAGCATTATTATCTTACAGAATTTTATCGTAATGATATATTCACATATATCAATTTATAGTGTAGAAATGGTGTAGTGTTTCGAACATCTAAATTTATCAAATATGCTATAGCACAATCGAAGAAAATTCTCAGTGATATATAACTCTGCGTACATCTGAACTCTTTCACCTTTCCTCCTTCCTCATGTAGGCTTATTTTTGTCTGTCTTTCTTCATAAACTGCCAGCTGTTAGATCAGCCTGTTGTTGCAGTTCAGTAATAATTACAACAAGACATACCCGTCTTGCCGTATACTGATTGAACTCGGATGTCTAAGCTATAATAACAGATTGACAATTTCTTGAAGGTCGCCGTGGGTAGTCTACTTATTTTTGGGGGGGGGGAGGGAGGGGGGAGAACTTATACGGGTAATACATACTGGACTTATTTTAAACCATGTCACCAACTATCCTAATAGCACATCGAACCAATAAGCCTTCAGTTTAAGGCAACCCTACACTTTTCGCTATCAGTTAAGTCCAATAACTCATGTTTCTCTTACCATAGAAATCGTACATCAACACTTCACAAAGCACAACTTCTATTAGCACAAAGTACGTGGAACCAGTCTAACAGGGAGGCTTACATGATTGGTCAACTGATTCAATATTTTTTGTATAAACGCTCTACGCCACTGAATTTTAGTGAGCGTTTGTGCACCGGCTCCAGAATGGATGCATGTTTGTTGACATCGAAACACCCTCCCTCCCTCACGAGCCATCGGTCGGCCCTTGTGGGAAAGGGCACGTATCGATCTGAGGCGCTTAGACTATTTGCGTTGTGTGCTCGTGATGGTGCAGTGGTAACGTATGTGCTAAATACACCTATGGACCCGTGCTAGATGTAAGTTCGAAGCTGGACGTGGGCGCGCACGATTCGTTTCGTACGGGACCCCAGTCAGGGGATTCAATGCTCAACAGCGGTACTGGCTATAGAACTCGCAACCTTCATTTATTGATACAATTCGCGTTGTGTTTGGCATGATGTTACCTACTCAAAAATAAAATTGAACTTGTACGTCAATTAAGGGGGATTGTTCTTTATATAGCATTTCAACAGCTCAACCTGTAAGATTATTTAAATCCAATTTGAGCCCACCATTTACTATGTTTATTTAGATAATATAATGGATAACTTAAACACTGATTATAACTACCATTAAAAAATTTTTTGCGATATTTTATGCTTATTCGAATTTTATAACTATGACACGATTGCGATATATTATATATATATATATATATATATATATATATATATATATATATATTATATAGTGTACGGATGTTGAATAGCAACTCGTAAAGTTGCTAAAGAAGTGCATTTATTTATACGTGGCCACTTAACTGCAAGCCTTACTTGGCATAACTAAAGTCATATATTCTTTATATAATCTGGTAAATGGGTTAAGGCACTCATTTGTTACGCCTTATCACATGCAGTACTAGAGAATGGATTACAACAGAATATAATTAACACAGTTATTCTCCTAGAAAAATCTATTGGTCTTATCCATTTGCTAGGTTTATGCACCCGCAAATACGGTGACGCTTATATAAATTTATAAAGACATTAATAGCGTCAGGTGTCGTACTAAATAAATGTTTGAAGCATTATGTCCAGCACTGCCGTGAGGCGTTCCATCAGACGGTGGGCTCCCACCACAAAATACCGTCTGTCTACCTTAGGATTTGAACCCACACAGCACATAGACAAAATTTCCTACCCAACACGCCATCATGCGGCTAACGCCATTGGTCAATACTACACAAAATATAAATTTCTATCTTATTTAACATATATGAACACTCTTTTCTCAATGAATCACATAATCATGTCCGTATGTTACAGAGTACGATTGTGATACTTGTACTCAACTGTTAATCTAGGCAACTTTTGTTCTAGGGAAAAATCGAGAGTCCTATGCATGATTTGCAACTGATGACTAAAGATTGAGCTGGCGCGATTCTAGCTCGATTGCGATTTGATTTGAGTTAGTCGAGCTATCTATCCGATGAAACGCTTTTTCTTTGTCACATTTATATTTCAACACTTCCATAAGCCTTCGTTTCTCTATCGTCTTCAATTGTATTAACTGGCTTGCAATAATTTCTAATTCGGAAGCCGCTCGCCGTAGCACGCATCTTTTATGACGAATGACTTCCGGTCGAAGTGAGTGACTTCAAACTTTCAGAACTCCACGGCGCTCCGTTCCGGATCCTTTCGTTTGCTTTTTACCGTGTAGAAACACCTTTCCTAGCGGCGGCAGTTAAGGCAGCGGTTACAACGGCCATCGTCCTCTTAGTCGCTCTTGGCAACTCAAATCCTGTGCGAGGATGCTCCGTCGTCTCTTCCTCATGTCATTCCTGTTTGCTGAGACTCAGCAAAATGGCGTTAGGAAACACGAGTGCCTACCAGTTTGGCCAAACGGCCTGCACCCGCAGCTGACCTTATGGAAAAGCCGAGAAGCTTTTTTTTGGAGGAGGAGGAGCAAGCGAAGCTTCATTCGGATCTTTCACAACAACTCAGTAGGTAGGATAGAAGTAGTGGCAATTCTATTCTGTTTAGTATCTATGCATGCGTTCAGTACTTGAGGGGGCATTGGTCGAAGAGCTTTCTAAAAAAGGCGTGTAGGATTACTGTCAAATTTTCTGTAAAAATGCTAATCGTGTGTTTTTTTTCATCACTTAAAGAAGGAATTGGCATAAATAGTGACCAACGAGGGGGGGGGGGGTAACGAGAACGAAAGCGCGAAGAGAATCATGGTATAGTATAGGTTCGAGTTATATTCCTGCCGTCCAACTTTAAGGAAAGGAGACCTGAATGAAAAACCCTAGTAAAAAATGGGCCCTAAACGTAAAACTGAGGAGATTATACCATAATGTGGCCAAACTCAGAAGCAATCAAAATATATGACACCGGCCACCTCGAACAATGTAGTACGGAGTTCCAGCCCACAATAGAGTACAATATTAATAGAATTTCATAGCGAATAAGAAAGTCAGATATCAATTCGGTTGATATTAGTTTCTGTGAGAAGACGATGTTTGTGAAAATTACTGAAATTGGGGGAACAACAAAGTCCGTCTCCCGAATTAGCGAATGGAGAACTCGGAAGCCAGTGATTTGCTCAGGGAGGGTCGGTCAACGTTCGATTCATATATTGACTGATTTTCTGTGTCATAAGATAATTCGTATGCGTCAATTTTAAGGACATCTTCAACGCGGTGCGTTCCTAGAATGTGATAAGCATTATATAAGGACAATGGGCCGGATTCATCTCAGATGGAGCAATCGTGTTGACCTATGGGTTTGAAGGGTCATTCAACTGTAGGCTTATGTAAGTCTAATAGGTTTCCACTGTATTACAGCCATGCAAGGAAGATCGGCATAATTAAATTAGTGTATTTATATGCTTTTAAAGGAGAATGCTTAAAGACCCGATGGACCGTAATACGAAAGATTGGAGGCGGCGGATTTGGACAGATTTTCGAGGCCTGGGATAAGGACAAACGACAACGGGTTGCTATAAAGGTAGTTTAAATGTCTTGACGCTGTTGTTTCGGACTTCAGCTATTAAGCTCCATCAACCTTATATAATTACCAATATATTACTAGCAATAAAACTCAGTCAGATAGTTTCTTCGCACCAGAGCTGGTCGATCAGATGAAAGCGCTGAATGATAGCTGGTGAAGACGTAAAAAATTTCGAGACATGGGCCGGTTGGCTTAGGAAATAGCAAAATATATCGGGATTAGTTATACATTAATGTTTAAAACTGGCAGAATTTTTTGCTCGAGTGGTATCATTCAAAGAAATCAAGCGATTGAATTTAGATCACGAGCGAAGATCTAGCTGGTCCAGTTGGCCTCTTGCTTCTGAGAAAAGAGTAAAGATGTACTTCTGTCTTCGCAGAAAATTTTCTTATTCGAAATAATGAGCTCTTGATTCAGCATACAGACGCAAACATGTATAGTTATTTATGAAATCGAGAGAGACTTATCGCTGATTTCGAACGTATGTATCAGGGACGTGTCGTGTAACCTGCGTGTTTTCCCTGGAACTGATTTAAGAAAGGATTTAGAAAAGGAAAGATTTAAAAATAGTGTCGTAATTTAAAAAGAACCAAGGTTTTTGTTGTATTGAATGATTACTAGTCCACTTTAAATTATTAACTGCTAGTTAATTTCTACGGTATGTGATGGTTCTCAATTTATATATATAGGAGCTTGTTTATCATTTATTTACGCAAGTTTTTGATTTAATCACATTAACTTGTGTAGATTATGCAGACGATCTCTGTTCCACACCCCTCGTAATAGAACGGTGATTTGAGAAAGAAGTGTATTTAGGAACGTTCTCGCTCGAATATTAACCAATGGAAGGTAACAATCTTTTGTTTGTTATATGAGCAACTTATCGTAATTTTATTATCTGAAGGTGGAACGTCGTCAAGCGCCCAAGCCGGTGCTAAGAATGGAAGTAACTCTTCTGAAACGACTTCAAGGTTGCCCACACGCATGTACGTTTCTTGGATGTGGTCGAACTGAAAACATCAATTATATTGTCATGCAAATTCAGGTAATGGAAAATACGCGGTGCGGGCTTATTAAATTAGAGCTATATTTATGGCGTCCCAAATACGGTGGATAATCGTCGACTTACTTTGCCAACTGCAATAGTTAATTGCCCACATAAGCTGACGTCGTACACAGAACTTATTTGGTAAAAGGTCAGATCAAATCAACTATGTAAATAATTGAATTAAGTTCACCGAAATTCAAAATGGTTTAATAGTACGAACGCATATCGTACGAAGACATCGAATCAACGACGAAATGTCTATGATAGCTAATTGCATTGAGTTTTTTTCACCGTGCCTAATACTGTTTGAGTACCAAATTTGGAGATGCGTATAGGGATCACGTACAGGTAATTCTGCTTCGACGGACGCGGTTTGTTACTGTTGTATTGAGGTCCTCTTAGTATTTCTGAAGACGCCAATATAATGTTGTTACTTATTGGTTGATACGATTACCCCAGGGGCCAAATCTGTCTGAACTTCGACGCGCGCAGGGCGATCAGAAATTCAGTGCGTCGACAGCACTGCGTCTAGTGTACGAAGCTCTACAGTGCATCGAAGCCGTACATAGCGAAGGCTTTCTTCACAGAGACGTCAAGCCCTCCAACTTTGCTATTGGTTGCACAAAAGAAACCAGTAGAAAGGTTCTAGTCGTATCATTACACGGATTGGCTTTAAACTTATATTAGCGTTCACTCGTTTGGCTACCGCTGTGTAGAGTATACTACGTAACACACCATTATATTTAAGCTTCTACCATTCGATTCCATACATAGGTAATTTTGCACAGGTTTGCTTTCAGGTTGCAATACACCATGGCGTCCATAAGCCCCGGCGGATTATTAATTTATATTGAATGAAATTAATACTTTGTCCTCCGGGATGGGTAGAGCAGATTACAGATGTGAGGTTGAAATTTTGCGCCCAAGAATTGATCCTTTAATTAGGGTTGGCCAGTTTTCATATTAAGTATAGAGTTTCCTGTTTAGTATTGAAAACAGGCGCGTTCGTTTTTTCGTATTTTGCATTAATATAGGTGTACATCTTGGACTTTGGATTAGCGCGCCAGTATCTCGATGGGGACGATCATCTTCGGCCTGAGCGTTCCTTTGTTGGCTTTCGAGGGACAACAAGATATGCATCACTAAATGCACACCGAGGCAAAGAACTGGGACGGCACGACGACCTAGTATCACTGTTCTACATGACCGTCGAATTTCTCACTGGAAAGTTACCTTGGAGAAAGGTAAGTAGTTGGCGAACTGTTGTGTTCGGTGAAATGACAAGTAAGTGTAGCAAGAACTTTTCGACAAATTCGATATAATTTTGGATTACATTAATTCGAATGAGGTGTGATGGAGCCGCTAAACAGCAGTGTTCGGCTCCACCACATTCGAAGTTTCTAAAGAGTTTCTAAAAAACTCTAGTAATTGAACTGGTGAACTAAATTGAATACGCGCGAAATTTTGAATACTTGACAACTTAACTGTTCGATATGATCATAATCGATAGGTGAAAGAGAAGGATCGCGTGGCGCAGATGAAAAAGCAGTTTATCCCAAGCCGATTGCTGCAAGATGACTATGCTGAGCTGGAAAAAATTTTCTATTACTTGAACGGTTTGCGGTATCATCAGAAGCCTGATTACGATTTTGTCCGACGCATGCTATGTCGTTGTATTGTTAACAAAGGGGTCCACTTTGAAGATTCGTTTGATTGGGAAGACAGCACCAGTAAAGGGATTTCTTGCAGTTCCGAAGGAAGAGGCGAAAGTGTCAGAAAAATCCGAGGCTCTAAACATAAGAATCGTTTCGACGCAAATGCTCCTTACATAGGGTAGAGAGAAACACATTTTTTTCAACTTTTAATTCTAGTGAAAACAAGTACACCTGAGTTGGCTTGCACTAACTGATTATATGCGCAATTTATGTTGTAGTGAGAGGCTGCTAGGTGACACAATGCTATGTCAGAAATCGGGGATGTCTGAACAGAAGTTCGTGTACTCAGAGTAATTGGTGTAGCTTATATATATTAGGTTATTCTTTGTCCCAAATCCATTGAAATTGCTTTTCCTAAGCAGTAGTATTGCAGTACTTGCACAGGTAGGAGTAGATCAGCTCAAAAGTCAAAAGAACGCGATTTTCCTTTATTGGGATTGTTACACTTTAGTTACTGTTTAGTTATATCGTTTTCGCATTCCATGTTTCTAGGCTTCATCACGAGGGAGACGAAATTTCGAGTGAGGAATGGGCCCCAGTTTAACCGGACCGAATTTGTAGTTCGTGATTTTTCAAGGTATCTAAACAGAACGCGATAGCACTGGACGAAGAAGTAAAATATGTGACTGACTTTGAAAGTAGATATATATGAACTGTTAAAATACATATACCCGTACGTTACGATAGCTCATTTTATTAAAAGGTCTTGTGTGTGTTTTGCGTTCTATATACGCTGAACACATGTTAAGTTCGAACCTAGCTAGGAGAATCGTTTTCGCACTTCGGATGAAGCGTGTCCGATAGTATTCTGATCTGCAAGCAATATGGCCTACGTAATCGTTATGTGTTATATAATTTATCTTGATAAGGAGGTCACAATTATTATCCGAGTCGAAACCTATCGCAGTATTAAAATAAAAGAAAAAATAACCAACTCCGAGGATTTTGCACGCCTTAGTGGAAAAAATATGTGAATTTAAGTAATCGTTCGTTATATCAGGCCCAATTAAGTAATTTTCCCAGGTACAGTTATTTCAAAGCAGATATCGAAATTTGGATCGTATATTTTCAATGATACAGCTTTAAAATACATGTAGACCCTATTAGAAAGTGGTTTTAATTGGTAATCGGCAAGAAGGCTCTCGGTTTGCGACGTCAACAAGAAATTATCTTGTGTGCAATGCAGTGCATAGGGTCTTCAACTCGTAACAATTAATGGTGCCAAAAATCAACATTATCATTCAGTGTATACATTCCATTATATCGACCCCATCGAATCACGTCATCCGTAAGTAGGCTAGCTTTAAGCATCCACGTATGTGCGAGTGCGTTGTGGAACTGCTAATCTTACTATTATGACAGATATTGCATCATTTTGTGGCTATGATCTCAAACGGCCTCAATCTGCAGTAATGTCCGTTTGTTGTGCTATATGAGCATGGTCATGCTGGAGACGATTTATCTGAAAGCTAATCCGATTCGAGTAAACATCAATCAGGCCGATTCGGCAGCGTCCGCTAGCGGTGGCAGTGACAGCAGGCCTGGTCGGAAGAACCATTAAGTGGGCAAGTGGACGATATAAAGGATTTACTGAGAGGTTTCTGATTTGCAGTACACTGCTGCCTTCTCCTAGGAAAGAAGCTAACAAACTATAGCCTTACGGAACGACGTCGGAGGGACACAGCACTGGGAGGGTAACGGATTGTCTTGGGATCTACGAGAAGTTGTTTTCCCGGCCGGAAGAAGGGAAATCGGGGGTGTGTAGAGGGCGAATGGTGAGCGGTGTGGAAAAAATCCAAAAGTTTATAATCGGATCTGCCATTTGGATTTGGGGGGGAGCCAGGACTAGTCGGTGGGATTATCCCACCATCGGCAGGCTTCGCCGTGCGCAGAGCCCAGGGCGCGGTTTGAAGTCGAAGACGACGGTATAGAAGGACAAGATGTTGTCATCATAAAGAAAATGACAAGCTACACAGCAGCACATAGAGAAGCTAGTTGTCTTTACGGACACTGAACGGTGATAATACAAAAATAACTGTAATACAGTATGATTGTAAAAGCTTCAAAACGGCGGTGCTGTGTTACAGTTCTCGCGACATCTCGCGATGCTGAAGCCGTTATACAACAACAACGGAACAGGTATTGGTGAAATCGGCCATACAGTGCAGCACTACTACTCACCCTATGATGATGATACTACCATAAACTATTTGGACAAATGGTATATCAGCCATTTTAATGCAGATGCAAGACATTGTGCAATCCCGCCCAATTGTTATATGCGTATAATGTAGATGCAAATAATTAAGAGTATATGAGCACAGCAAATAAGCCATGGGTAAGCTACGTTCTACATGGAGAAAAGACCGAGACAAGCAATCTAATTCCGGCCATTTCGACGGGTCCCACGAGCAGGAACCGCTTGTAGTAGACGCCAGTTACGACATCCCTTATTATTATGTCTTGATGTACGTTCTGGCTGAGGTGGGTTGACAGCCCCGTGGCCTGGCAACCGGCCACAAGGCGGAAACGGAGCTATTCGTATAAGTTGAAACTATTTCACTTTTACTCGAGCTTTTGCTCCTCATAGATAGGCCCCTAGCTCGCTGACCCTCTTCCCAGCCTTTATAAAATCTGCTTGAAAACGCTGCACTTCATATCTTTTTCTCTCTATCAAACATCCATGCGATTTTACCTCAGTCGCCCCTGCGTCCCTGCCGGCTTGTTCACAGGGCAAACAGGCAGATGGCTCTGTTTCTTCCGCCTGCCGCCGCTACTTTGCGGTGCCGTCCAATTTGAATCGTTATCGTCGTCGGCGTTGTTGTTGTTGTTGTTCCCGCCTGACCAAATACGTCTTTCCGGCTCCTAAATGGGAGAGAAACGAAAAGGGCTTTTCTATACATCTACGCTGACAGTTGCCGACCCTAGTGCAGGTTGCAAATTGAATTTTGTAGCGCGTTCCAGCCCTGCTCTGTAGCACCGATTCTCTACTCACTCTTAACAGTTCTGTACTTCTGTCGCTTTCATAGTGTACGCGCCCCTCGTAGGCATACAGCGCCTAGTTTTTTGGGTTTCTGGATCGGTTAGGCAGTCAGAACACGCGACGGAGCTGTTCCCGCATGTTTTCTGCATCCCACATTTATCGTCATGCAGACGACTTTTCGGAGTTGCGGCAGCGGCATTACCACCAGCAGCTTGCTCTGTTGTCATTATCGTCCATAGCAACGGTAGGAGTTTCTGGTTCTTCTACTATTACAGCTGGTGAGTAGCCCACGAGTGCTGACGGTCTGCTTCTGCTCCTTCGTCCCGCACACACCCTGTCGATGTTCAGTTTCCTCGTTGATACCGACTCTCCGTCTAGCTCCTTGCTACTGATGACGTTGTCATATGTTCCCAGATGCTGGCACTACCGCACAGTCATTGCGTACGACTGACGATGATGATGACGACGACGAAGTAACCAAAAATGGTACGGAGTGGGACTGAACAATCCCGACGTGTTTTGCGGCGCATAGCTTCAAATATACAGAGGAGGTAATTGTAAGGTAGGGACAGTTGTGGATTGGGACGTTAGAAGAAAAAGAAGGATAGAAAAATACTGCGAGTGTAGATGCAGGTCTCTAGATCTGTGAAGCGGGCTGTGGTTGCGTACGTTTGAGCTCGTCCCTGGGGTTTTGGGAGTTAGGTAGATGTAACGTAGAGGTTTGGACTGCTGAGGGGGCTGGAACAATGCGACCGGAGTTTGGAAGTGTGGCGAATCGGAAATAAGAAGTTGAACTTCGCTATTGCTGCTGCTTTTCCTTCCTCCCACGTTTTAATTTTCATTTGAGTGAAACCAGTTATGCGAAACTTACTGTGCCATTTAGTATTACGGTGAGCGGCCTACTTGGATTCGTCGGTTTATGAGCGCCAGCCACCAGACTCTGTTTATGTAAGTGAATAGGAGACTTATATTCAGCATAGAAGAGCGAGGGTGAAAAAACCACAGAAAAACTTGCGGATCATTCCAGGGAACCTAGACAAGAGACTAACGGGTGTTACAGCTGAAGTGTCTGCCACCGTAATTACGAAGTTTCGCAAACGTGTATTGTCAAAATAATAAAAATCAATATACCCTGCAGCATTCTTTATGAGAATATAGTTTTTTATGATAATTAAAAACATCTAGTCGAAAATTTAACTCGTCGTTGAAGGCGGTAAATACCTCATCATAAAACCAATTACAGCTTTTATCTATAAAGGCATTTCTCTATCCGACAAGAACATAATGTTATCCAACTTTATCATGCACATCTAAACAAAAAAAAATCTCATGATACTTCACATGATTAGGCATGCATTGGCTTCCTTAATATTAGGTTTGCAGTTTAGCTACTGGAAACCACCGCCAAGTTCCCCTTTCTCTTTAAGGGGGCATAAGGGGTTATACTTTTGCCGCTGTTTAGTTCGCTCACCGATGCACCCACCCACCTACTTACTTGTATATACTGATCGGTTGATTAGTTAAGAATAGACAAAACGGACAGAGGCAATGCACTCAGCAATGTCGAGGCGGACAACAAGAACAGCGGCAGCCGTAGCAACGGTACAACAACAACAACAAACATAACAACAAGCAATTCAAGCAGCGCTCCACCAGGCGCTTTGCTTTCCGGTTGTCTGATCTATTTCGGCCGAGTTAATCTATTGAGCGATTCACGTGTGATGCGTAAGGAAACAAACCGTCATTGCTGAGTCACGCTGATAATGGGTCTGACTACGCAGCCACCAACTCGTCACGGTAATTACCTAGCCCTGACAACTCCAGCACGATCTAAGCGAGGTGACCGGCCGCTTTGACTCGAGTGAGGGAGCTCGTTTGGCGAAGTGGCGGAAAATATGCACGGAGTTCCAGCACCGGGAAATCGGCAAATTACTTGCGAGGAACAGTGAATGTCTAGTCATGATGAATATACAGCAGCAGATATATATGCTGTAGCAGCAGGCTAGTACAGGAATGAGATATTGCGATGAAGTAGCTTCTGGGAAGGTTTTCTATGGCACGCCTCACTCGTCGGATAGTGTATTATCTTATAGATGTATAGGTTAAGGCAGTATCAAGCACATGTCGTTTTCAGCAATAATGACAAGTTACACTGAAAAGGATTGATGTGATGATTTCCTAAGTGAACATCCTAAGTCACTGACATCAAACAATATTGAATTACCATTATTTGGCTCCTTATTTACGTCGACTATCTCAACACTTCTAGGTAACGCAATATCATCAATGTTCTTAAGTGTCACACAAATACGAAATTTATCAAGAACGGGGCGTTCCCACTTCGGTTCGAATTCTAATTTATGAAGGAAGAAGGCGTAAACCACTTTTAGCTAGGTAAGTGAATTACCTAAATATGGCAGGCACTGCAATGGTTTGCTGTCCCTCTAGAATAGAAAGTGTCACCCAAGAACATCCAGATGTATCTTGTTCACGAGAACTCTTATCGTCGTTCATCGTTCATGAATCTTTTTAGTAACCCCGGAGGAAGGGGACACCCAGTAGTCTTCTGCGTAATGCATCCCGTATAAATTCGGTTGACACGAATACCTAACATAAGGAAAAATTGTGCTATTTAGAAGGTGAAGTAAAACAGCAGTATAATGTATTCCGCCGCAATTCCCTTACCGGGTTGTCAATTTCAGTCATCGTTTACGACGAGGTCGATTAATCTGGCCGATTTTACGTACGCTATGAGCAGTAGGTATTGAGCAGACTCGTCATCTAAGTGAAGCGAATTTACATGGAGATCCCTTGTTGTTGTCGATCAAAGCTCTGTACTCCATCACCACGGTGCAGGCAGCCCGCTCTATTAGATTTGAATACCAACACACATGCACATGAATATACACGCCATTATATGCTATATGAATCGTTACATGATATAGAGCCATGTGGTGTTAGACGTCTAAATTTGACAGGATAAATCTCTAAACGCGTACTTCATCAAGCTCACTTATTGATGTATTGCAGGGTATTATAGAATGCTTGAACAAAGTATAGTTCTTCGTTTTCTAAAATTATGTTAGGAAAACCTCTCGGTTTTTCGAAAATAATTACAGCAAACTGATAACACACTAAACAATAAAACGCAAATGTTAAATGAACAAAAAAACTCAACATGAAATAATCAGCAATGTGATTAATAGGTATAAATGAGCCACATGGACAAATGAAAAATTATCGAATGGGTTTGTTATTAACGATATTTTGAGATACGAAGGTTCAAAAGGGCCATCATGTAGAACGTAGCCCTAATCGATTTTTCTGTTGGTTCATGCATTTGAAGCAGCCCATGGATAGTCTAGCTTAAGTACATTGTCTTTTATTAAGGCAGCAGTTATCTGAAGATAAAACAAGGGAACAAAACGTGCAGAGATATTTGAACATTGACCATAAATCAACCTTTGGTGTCCCAGCCGGTTCTGACTACGTGTCTCGTACGCATTTCGGCCGGAATTGTAACGCTGCACATTGCGTTTACGGTGGTAGGGACACTTGTAGGTGGTAGAAGATGCTGAGCAAGATTTCCGTGACCCGTATGGGAGTTCTCTCTCCATTTAGCCATCTTGCCTGGCGCTCTTGTGTGCTCAGTGTGTGCTATTGTTGTTGTTCACGAACGCACGAAAAGACTAGCGACCCGTGCATGGTCGGTGCAGTTCCACAGCCTTCCAATACAACGTCTTTCATACCGCTGCTTTACCTTTTGACAGAACTAGTGCTGGTGCTACTGCTGCTGCGGCGGACGATTTGAGTGCAACGAAAGCAAAACCAGGTTACGAAAAGGGTGCACGAACGAGTAGTGAGAAGAGAGAATATCTTATGTAAATGGATGTAGTGGCGATGTTAGCTCCGTGCGTCTCAGGCCAGAGGTGGAGAAACTGCAAGGGAGACAGAAAACGAATTACGATACTCCGTCAATGTCAGCAGTGATCATGAGTCGTTGGCCAGGAACAGTGGTTTGAGAAGCGCCAGTACCGTTTCCGGTGGCCGGCGGCCCAAAGTACCGGTGCCAAACCCAGCGCGTCGCCAAGTAGGTGACCAAGAGCGTTCAGCCCCCAGCCCCGTCCGTCAATTGCGCAGCCAAGGATGTGATGCGAAACGGGGCGGACTCTGAGGCCGCGCCGAATTAGAGGACTTTATTAAATTTCGTTAAGTGAGTGAGTGAGTGAGTGTGGGTAAAGAAGGAGGCCACGCTCGGGTTGTCAAGCCGCTACCACCACCGAGCTTCACAGCCAGTCATCTCGTTACGACGCGCTCCACTGGAGAATTTGGAAATCGACAACGAGCTAAATCGGGGAGGCTGTAAGGGGGTTAGGTGTACATTGGACCCGTCATACGTAATACTTCACCGCCATCTTCTCGTCTTCCGTCGTGTGAAGGTGCTATGCAGAAGCCTGCTGAGAAGCCCGGTATTGGCACCCGTGTTCCAACCCAACGCTCCCGGCCTGTCGTGTGGCTACTGATGGAAACTAACCCATTTGGAACGCGTGTAGAAAAAAGTGCTCGACGCAGCCTTCGGAGAAGGTAGGGACATAGTATATCGATAGTAGCTACTAAGGTCACAAGTGCACGACGAACGAGCTCTTCATGGTCCAGCTTTGTTACTGCTGGTAACGAAATGGAGCCACAAATTGATCTAAGCGAGGCAGAAATGACCCATTCATACTTATTAGTATAACTTGCTGTAACCGACATGTTTTTTAAGGTTTAAGGCTCGATTAGGAAAATTATTGTATTTTAGTTATTAGGGTTTATCGTAAGCAAAAAGATAGATCTTAGCCAAAGCCATATCAGTAAGTACAGCTAAAATACAAGTATTTAGATCCTTGAATACATTTTACGCACAACCTGAACCTGTGCCTAGTGATTCGAATTCTAATTTACAATAACCTAAAAAGCGAATAATTACGAAATACTTTAGGATGGTTGAACGAGTATGTAGCATTCATATAACAATACACGCCAGCTTGAGTTAACGTCAGCCAAAGCTATCGCAGATTGTTCTGCTGTTTACTGCTTCCACCTTAGCCTATCCACGGTTGAACCTAGAATTATCTATTGGAACCACGCCAAGACCAGGTCGATATTTTTACCTAAAAGAAGTATGTCGCGGCAATAACGGACAAAAACTATTTATTTATGTCAAAGATTTATGACCGTTCCTCACGAAGTCATATTTTTACTTTAGCAAAACTACATGAAAGATACTGTGGATAGAACATGCAAATCACTCAGCCTGAATGCGCTAGTTAACAAAAAAGACAAACAACTTACGAGCTAATGTTTCGCAAGGCTTTATTCATTTGAGCAGATATTCTCTATTTTTCCTCTTAGGACAGTCCTTCTAGTACGCTGGTGACATTTGGTGTACATACGTTAAAGTACAAAAGCAAACCGAGAGTACGTTACGATGCCTGTTACGCGATTCTTATGCTTTTTTCTGTCTTTTCTAATTAAATCTCAGCGACTCGTGAACTCATTGCTATTATTATAGCCACAACATTGTGTTGTCGTAAATGCTATGCAGCTGTAAAGCTTACTGCTATTACCATGGGACTGTGAAAATTCTACGTACGTATCTCTGAAATGAAGCTACAGAAACGTTTTGGTGGTTGAGGCCACTGACGAAAAAAGGGACCAGGGCAATCGCAGTCTTCTTATCGTCCCGCCACACGAACAGACTCTAAGGGTAGCAGCTTTGAAAAGAAGCGGCAGAAAGATGCAAAAAAAAAAAGAAGAACTGTGTGAGGGTTGGCGCCTCGTTCTCTTGTGCACAGTCTAAACAATCTGCTATTAGCGCTATGTGTCAGCTGCATGAATAAGTTATTGGAAGAATTGTAGATACGTAGGTAAAATAACTATGCAAATTAAAATTAAGCGTCTTCCAACACAGGAGGTCTTCGAGGAATAATAGTAACTACCTTTTAGGCATGGGGCGTAGCTCACAGAAATATAGCCCTATTAGCCAAAAGTTCCTCTATCAATATTTCTGTCCAGGATGACCAGGCGCCGTAAACGCTCAATTTACTAGATAGTTATTTATAGGTGTGTACAGCCCGATACAACTTGGTTTGTTATTGGTTATTATCTAGAAGGAGTTCGCTGAAGATGCTTTATAGTAATCCTATTTAACGCATGGTTATCGAACGGTACATACGGATCTTTCGGTTACTTGATGATGCAATATGGCCGACCTAACTTTTACCCCCAACTATCCCCTCTACTGGGTTATTTTTAAATTCGTACTTTTGTTGATATGTAATGCATTCTGGTGCCGTTCGTTTGCTCTCGATTATTCAGTCCATCGTAGACATTTTATATTTTCCATGTACTATTTTTTAACAATATAGATGCTCTGAATTCAACTTCATAAGAATGAAAGAATACTTAGCCATGGATTTGAAATGTGTTGAATGGAGGCACACATATATACATATATAAGGACAACATCTATTAAACGATATCTTTCCACAATAATACTTCAGTGAGTTGGCTAGGCAATTTGAAAGGTAAGCGATATTTTGCCGCTGACTACGTTGCCTTATAGCCGCATGGACGTTTACGGCAACGCAATACTGTATCGGCTTTACCTCAGTCCATAAGTGTTTGCAGGATTCCATCTTTAAATAGCCAAACGTTAATTATCCCTTCGAGTGCATTAAAGTTGCCTGTCCCAGATACCGTGACTGTAACTATTACCGACCCACGTTGCTCGATTAGAATTAACGGCCTTTGGAAACCACATTACGAAATGATTGGAAATAACACATCTTACGCTTTATAGAGATGCTTCCATCCTGTTTTCAATGGAATGTTGATATAGTTCTCGCTACAATGAAATAAGTTACTTGTACGTTTGGTACAAAATCCGTGTCATGACAACTCCGAAACAATCAGGCTCCAGTCCTTGTTTTTCCTATTATGATATTTGCAGCCATATTTCTTTCCTCTTAGCACTTCAAGCCGACGCATCACCTTGGGCTATTGGCTTTCTGCTTTGGACACATCCCACTGACTGAAAACGAGCTTATACTGCGTTTCGCAATCCCTTCAAAAAAAAACTTCTGTTAGACGAAGAAGTTTTGATTTTTTTTAGCTGACAGAATAGCTATTATTAAAATATTAAAAACGAAACAGTTTATGCTTGCCGGACGGTTATGACAAAAGGGTTACTATTTGGGTTCGGAAAGATATTTTCATAAATCTGCACATACAGATTTACGACGAAAGGTTTACGTTATATCTATGGCCTAACCATGACAGCATTCGCTTTATGGATCTTTTAGCTATCGATATGAGCGTTTGACGCCAATAACGGATAATGTGAAGTTTGTCCGTGCGATGCAGAAGAGAATGAGCTATTAAATGGCGTCTATTATTAAATAGAGTCAAAGAGCTTCTACTGCTGACCTGAACAGATAGCGTTCCAAACGGTTTACCTACGTTATGGGAGTCAATAATAGTTAGTCATACTTATACAGCGTATGCTTTTAGTCAGCTGGTTTTAGCTAACTGACCAGATGATGGAAACAAAGTGGAGTGAAAGAAGGTGGATGGTCGCTATGATAACGGCAATTGCCGTATAGCTGCTCATAAACTCACTCGTTTCCTATCACCTTGAACTCCTAGGGTAGGTGGTTAATGCAGACGGATTACCGACTTCCAGTGTCTTATCGTCTTATCGGTTCGCTTGCCTTTCGAGTTAAACCTGATGCGATTCGTGTGTTTTCTCCTTTGAAGACCCGCAAGGCTCGCAGACTGCCGAATGGCCGAGAATGGAGGAATCTTCCTTGTCCTGGAAGCCTTTTTCTGCGCAAGACGCAAATGTCAGAGGGCCACGAGCTACGCCGCCGATGAAAGCGTTACCAATGACCCTCCGCTATTCTAGTTCTCATATTTTTCGGTCCAGTCGTTGATAGTAGGAGCTGGGATGAAAGGAGGCCTCTTCCCCATTTCCTAATGACCGCAAGTCTTTCCAGCTGTCCGCGTCCATCGGAAGCTCCATTTTCGTGCGTTTTCGTTTTTTCCTTCTCAACCGCCCATTCTTGCTAGTTGCACGACTTTCGCCTTTGTCTCTTCGGCTCTCGACCTTTCGTCGGTTTCCCGCTTTGTAATAGCCTCCTCTGTCCTTTTCCTTACCGCCCATATGTGCCTTATAGAAAGTTTCCCTCAATGCCGCCCTGCCTCGCCGTCCCGCATTATACATCGCTGGCTCTCTGGAGGGCCAATCGCCACCAACGTCTTACGCTTGTACCAAACGATAAAAAAAAAACGAGAATTTTTTAATAATACTTTGTCGATATCTCCAAAAAACATTTCCCAGAAAAGTCCGAATAATATGCCCCAACCCAAAGTTGTGCTGAAATGTTTGTCAGCTGATTTGAGCGCTTGTTACCGATTTAAAATGGCACTTCTTAGCTAGGGTGAGGATGAAGTGCATTAAGCATGAGAGAGAGAAGCAGCTGAGATATGACAGCCAAAAAAAAAGATATTCTACGGAGTTTCAATGTGAGAGATACAATGTAAATATATCTTTAATAAAACATACCATATTATGGAAAGGTTATAGCGACAATACAACTATATAAAACGTCAGACCATTTTCTTAAAACTACATTAAAATTACTGAGATATCATCTGCCTTCTCGACCAGCAAGACCATTGAAGAAATATTGTTAACTAGTATGAAATCTCATCATATGATTGTTAAACAAATGGGTTAACATGATGTAAACATTTATATACTGTTCCAGTCGATGTTGAGGCAAAAACAAATGCCGATGCTTTGGTAAAAGACCGAGAACCAACTCTAAGTATGAATCGTCTAACCGCTTTGAGGTTGTTGCCAATTCAGTATAATCTGTTTTGGCCGATTGTGAGACAGCATCAACGGCAGGGGCATTCCTACTTTGACATCTGACAGAGTGTCCCGTTTGGCAAGAACAAATCCAACTGGAGACAATGAAGCACATTGATCTTAACAAAATCGACTATGCCAAGCCTATGGCGCTGTCCAGCCCTGATTCTAGCATGAACGAGAATTTTCAAATCCACCGTCCTGTCAGCAGGTGTGTTAACAGACGTGCTGTCGATAAGGTCATGATGCAGCTAATTGTAACACTATCTTTTTTTATTGCTAGCTGAAAATACAACAGCTGGCCTTAAAGGGGGGCGACGCTTCTTATTAGGTTTCTGTAGCTAAAGGCTAAGTAGCTCTAACATGAGCATTGAACATAGTGTACCGGCACAAAACTGTAGAAAGGCTCAAATGAATTGCTAGGTCAGACGTGGTATTTCATAAGTGCACATGCGGAAAGTTGGAATTTGCATATTTGTCGGATTAGTTCGGCATCTAGCCATGCCTAATAAGTTAGCTTCATGCTACTCTCGTAACACCCAGGCCAAGAGCATCTGCTGAGCAAGGAAAACGTTGCATTACCGATAATATGTCTTTGTAGAACAAGAATAAAAGGACTGTAGAATGTAAATCACGCAATACTAACGAGATCATTCATGATTTAAATAAAATATTTAAATCTTTCATTGAATATATTTATGCGCTAAGGAACAATTAACGGTAGCCCGTTTTTTTTCTCGTTATAGCTTATCTCTTCAATACTTCGCGAATTGCCTACGTTTGTTTAAATACAATTAATAATATAATAAATATAATATATAATAATAATCGTCGTATAATATCGTCAGTAAAAACCATAAGTAGAATTCATGTTTTGCGATCCACAATGTTATTCTATAATAATGTAAAGCCCAAATTTAGTATATTCTTCAAATTTTATGTGTTATACATAGTAGACACGACGTTGAATGACCAATTATTGCTGAAAATTAGGATCGCAACACTCTTACTATACCTAAAAGGCAGTACTGGAGAAATATTGCTTTGGAGGGGGCTATTTATGAAAAATACACGACCGCTACGGTCTGACCTCTCATCAGATCTATGGCTCTTTACCGTAAGTCGGCACCACCAAAATTCAGGGTGTGTAAATAACACCAATCGAAACAAGATAATAGCCAAATAATGTTTTTCAACAGTGTTTTTTCCAGCCATTTTAAAGGACTTGATCAAATCGCCACCGTGTCATGTAACATACATGTCTTATTTTAGGTACTGTATTGCTAATCAGAATCAAATTAAGATTTGCAGAAACGCATCCACAGCAGCTACTTAAATGTCCGGAAAAAAACTCAAGATATTTAGAGAAAACTATCATTTCGTTGAAGAACTGGGTATTTAGGACACGTAAACTTGCTTATGTGCGTTTTGTACACCGTATGTTTACAACGATACTAGGCCGACCCGAGTAGGCTCGTTAGGATTGCTACACCTAAATCTATTCATCTGTCTAAAGACTGCCTGGACCCTGTATCTCGTGGAGTGTAGCATGTCCTGTTTCTACCTGCGTGAATACGTACGAGTATATCGACAAGAAAGCAGGCGATACACGGTGGCTCTGAGGACCACATGGGGGATTAAGATGGACACACGTCAACGCCAGGAGGTTTCCAGCTGCTCACAAACTGCTGGCCTGGCCGAGGTCCTTCTCTCGAGCTGGTTCTGCTAGCGATCCAGGAAGAGCACATTTTCGGGTCGGCATAAACGCACGTTTCAGCTTGGTAGCTAGGGATATACACAGAAGAAGCTGACGTTCGCATGGCCGAGACAAAGGACACCGCTGCGCAACTCTGGCACATACTCGTTCACATGGACACATCCGCGTACGAACGACGCACTCATTAGCCTTACTACGAGTAAAAGGAAAAACAAGCGCAGGCGCAAGAAGGAGAAAGACGCTGTCATCATCATTTTTACCATTCCGCAATAGGAAGATGATTAGCAAGCAAACTGATGTGGCCTCTCTGTTGAAGACCTGCCCCATACTGTTAAGGCAACTATAACTTATCGATATTAGACCAATAGGAGGAGCCACCATTTGCCCAGCTAGCATCGTTAGGTCTGTGGAGAAGTTAGGAATGCTAATGATTAACATAGAATAATGGGTGTGAGTGTAACTGCAGAGTCTTTACCTACTTGGTCTAGAAATACGTGAGGTAGTTTAGGTTCGAAATCGGACGCATACACATGTCGTTCAGTTCTGGAAGGAGGCCACTAGCCATTTGAGGTAGTACCTGTCATAGAACTTGGAAACATCCAGGGTGGTCGGACAGTTGCGTCTTGGGTCGAGAGACCCCTATTGGCGTAATATTGCGCTTAGATTAGTCACCTGCATTTGAAGCGATCCCGAACGCTAACAATCGTGTGTTGTCTGCTTTTCGTATTATGACATTTACCACATACATAAACCTCTTTCCTAGGCCTTTGCAATGTCACCTATTTAACTATTATAGTAGCACGATGGCGGCAGTCCAAATAGACAAGGTATTAGAGACAGAAGCAGGCGTAGTATAATGTGGCTTTCGAAAAACAGTGGTAGACATGTTGATGAACGGACAAAGCTAAGGAGAATCGGTGTGCCTGAAGCCGAGGATAGGTGTTACTGAGCGCCAACGCGTTGCGATTCTAATGTGTGACAACAATGGACGTCGGACAATAATCGTACATCGCGACATTGCCTTACGGTACTGTTGTGTATGATTCTATAGGTCGCATCGTAAAATTATCTAGGTCGCCTTTCTACAGAAGCCTATGCTACTTCATACGATATTACAAATCTCGCCGTTTGTGCAGTAATATGCACCACTGTATGTCCTTCTACGAAAGACTGGTTGTCAATTTTAAATATGAAGTGTCGGATAGAGTTGTTGTGTTGAATGAGATTTCTCCGCCTAATTTTGTTTTCTCATATTTGAAAACGTATTTACGTGTTCAAATTTTGCTTCCGCGTCTCTATTCAACACACATATATATACAGATGTATTTAAACTGCCGCCTCATTATATTAGTGGACCCAAGCTTTACTCACAAATCTTTATTGCTATGTTCGAGTCGCAACAATTTCTCTACCCGGTTATTACCACGAACAAAGAAAATCGTCCACGTCACAACGAACTGGCTTCTCTTCGGGCAAAATCTAACAGTAGTTAGACATTGTGCACCAATTGTTTTCATTATTTTTTTTTGTCGTTAAAATTAAATTACACTTCAAAGACATTTCGCTGCCCTACGGCGACGCTAAAGCAGTTTTGAAGTCTTGTCTCTTATCGCTTGCGATAATTTCGCCTGCGGCCGTAAAATCCGAAATGTGCACGTGAGGTCCTTCGCTACTGTCATCATCGATGCGGCATTATCGAACTCATTACAATAATTGGGTGCGGAGAATATTGTGACCAATGATCGGTTTGCGAAAAACTCATAGCCTTCAGCTACCACCTGGTGCGCGCGACACACGAGGTCCAAATTGTTATCATCCAGGAACTTCTGCAACTGCACCGGTAGCATCCTGTTAGACATAGCATGGCCTAACAGATTCATGTTTCGTACGCCAAGGCATGACACAAGTCTTCCTAGAAGTGGTCAGGGCCAAAGTGAATTGTAAACTTTATTCATGTGCTCAATGAGGACAAATTAACAATGTGCTCAGCTGACTGTTGAAATGGTTATTCAAAGTGCTAGATCATTGCCGCGGTTCGAGTGTAAGGCAGCTGTTGCGCACGCAAGCGTCGTTTACAGATAATAATCAATATCAGTTAACATAAAGCGCCGTCACGATCCGATCTGAGCAACCGTGTGTTTTGATTAACTAACACAGTATTGATCTAGATGTAAACCTACGGGCGCTAAATTGCTCAGCTGGAAGAACTTAGAAACACTTCACGTTCATAGTGGTTTATTCCCGTTTGACTAAACTAGAGTAGGATCGTGTGTAACTTCTACGAAGCGTTATGCATGATGTGAGATCAATAATATATTCATAGTAAAAGAAAAATAAATAATTCACTATCCTGCCATTTATGATTCAATTTCAAAGCGCTCTATTGACGTGAGCTGCGCCAACAACCATCTGTTTGCCACTGAATTTCTTTGTTGAGGCCCGGTAAGGAGAGAATTAAATCGTTAAGGCTCCCGGCCACTATGGCGTACGTACCGCATCTGCTCCGAATACATACGACACTCCTCGATCGTTTTGGGCGAAACCTTTACCCGGGTAAGGATCTGCCCATAACAAATCGCAGGCCAGACCCCAATCGGGAATATCTCTGAGCGGTCGACGAATTTCCCGAATGTCGTCGACAGATTTCATCTCGGGTGAGATGCCCCCATGACAGCAAAAGATCTTGTCGCCCACCACTGCGGCCAGCGGAAGCCAGGCAAACAACTCGTTGAATTTGTGGTACACCTCAAGCGAATACCTACATTCATGGTGTTGGTAAATGTGAATGCTGGCGGTTACAACGCGAAGGTAACTTGAAAAAATACATAGGCAAATACATAGTCATACTCGCCTTCTATATTACAAGGGACGGAAAATTTTCGTTGTGATAGAACTGTTTGTTTTTGTTGTTGCTGCCGCTGCCACTGAACTCTAGAATCAAACGATAGTCAGTCGGCTAGTAGCGGATTTTCACAAGAAATTCATGTTTCGGTGTTCACAAACTGAATCTCTAGCTATGCCAATATTTTATCGACTTCCTTAACTACCTTAATCTGCATTCGGACAGAAAACCGTAGATGGCGTTGATGCGGAGCGTTTCGTGATTGCCTCGCAGCAAGAATACGTTTCCTGGAAAGCGAATCTTGTAAATCAGGAGCAAACAGAGAACTTCGACTGAGTTGCGGCCTCGGTCGACGTAATCGCCGAGAAACAAATAGTTAGCCTTTGGAGGGTGCTTGCCCTGCTGTAGAATACGTAACAAGTCATGGTACTGACCGTGCACATCACCGCAGATATTTAGTGGAGGATTGAGTTCTATAAGTATTGGCTGTTGCTCCAATATGGGTAGGGCCTCTTGGATTAAGTAGAGAATCTCATTTCTGCTCATATGAACGTGTGGATCTTTCGATCGGCGTACCTCAAGTAGTCGCCGAAGCATCGCGTCCATGTCAACCGGCATCCTGCCGGTGCTGTTGGAACACAACCGCGAGAACCGGCTACTTTTTAGGCGTGCCGTGTTTTTAATTTCTCTATTTGCTTTCTGGTCCAATAGATAGGAACCGTACGGTTGACTTATATTTGGCTTCGTTATTGTCCTGGCTTCGCCGGTGCGGCCATTCCCAGCGGTCCTCTGTGGAGCACATGACTCGAGTGAGAGTTTGAGTCTGTCGACCACGCAAAACAGTGTCCGCGTTGCGCGTCACTTGCGCCCCCTAGTGATACAGTTTCACTTCCGGCCGATAGAATGTCGTAGGCTAGCTAATTAATTGATTGCAGCACAGCCTCTACTCTACTAAAAATGTGAGTTAAATCAGTTGCAAACGAACCAAACACAGGGTATTATACAAAGCCAACATAGTGAACTGGGCGTCGACCTTCTGCGAGGTGTCATAGAATTTCGCAAACTGGCCTCTTTCGATCATTTTCTTTTTTTTATGAACTCCTTTCTTCCATGGCTGAGCCAGCTTTGACAGCGCGTTTTGCAAACTACACTCCTCAGAGATTAACCATGGAAACAGATTAGATTCCGGGAACCCTTATAACAGGCGGCAAAGACTGGGCTTTCCCAGCCTTTTGTCTTTAGTCTGTGTCTAGATTTTTGTTCGATGACTATGGCCATTCTTTTCGGTTCAATCGCATATATACACATACATTTCTTTCCTCCTTTTTCGCTCTGTTCCCTTTGCGTCCACTCACCGCACTGGCTCTTGGGCTCCAGGATTCTTAAAGTCCGCCCCCATTCTCGTTGTCCGATGTGTTCCTCAATAAAGAGAAAGCCAAGTTGGAGTCCTCGGAGTAGGAGAACGGGAGGTTAGCAACGAATGAGCTGAGAGGCTAAGATGGCCGTCACCGGCAGACACCGAGTAATGGGCGGCAGTGGGGACTACAATCTGGGTTATGGAAAGCGCTCTTAACCATCTCGAGAGTACAATGTGCGCCACTGCTACGCCAATGCAGGCCTGGGAAAGGTGGGTCGCTGGAAAGTTCGCCGTCTCACATGGTATATTGATGGCCACGGTGGCCACATTCGTTGCAAACATTCTCCACCAAGCCCCCGGACCACATCCGGTCATCCTGTGGCGCTTTTGTTTTAAAGCTCCATTCTTTCATTCGCCGCGTTCAGTTCAGCCGAGCCCAACCAAACGCGCGGGTTCATGCAGTGGCTGCCCGCCCAACGTGTGCTTGCCATCGTCGTCCATACACAACGGGCGCTTCGTTGTCGCCTTCGCCATTGCCGTCCCGCGCTGCTTGACTCTACGCGAGCGAGTAGCCGTCCATGCTGCCAGCCACCGGCTGGCGGGGGCTCGGTAACTGACGCGTCGACGTTGACGGTTCGACCAATGGTAGAATTTATGGGAAGGACGCTACTGCTCCCCACTTCTTTCCCGTTCCATAGTGGTCCCTAAGAACACCATCTCCCCGACTCCATGAAGCAGACTCGTTACTCCCTACTCTCGCAAGCTGCTACTGTCGCTGTCGTATAGCCGCTCCTTCGACTCCTGCAACTACTACCTACGCTTAGTATTTTGCTTTGGCACAGTGCCTCTCTATCTCTTGTTTCGTTTCTGCCGCGATGAGTTATGAGTCTAGCGCGCTTTTCTGATAAGGAAGAGAACGAAGACGACGATACACGGCCAACAGGGGAGCAGAAGTGCAACCAGGGTTGGAGGAGTAGTCAGACGGTAGCGAAGTGTTCGTAGATGGCCACGGTGGTGTGCGGCTGATGGAGGAACAGAACGGAGAGGCGCACGGCGACATTTCGCTGATGAAAGCTATTGTGTACAGCTCTAGCGTCGAAAGCCAGCGCTTCACCAAAGCAGCAGAACAGCTCTGCCGCTTTGAGGTATCTGCATCTGGCTAAAGATCGAAAAGATGGAAAGGGAAAAGATCGAAGGTGCGTGAGAGTATGTGAGCGAGGGAAGGCTGTCTAGGTGCGAAAGCAAGCACGCGAGAAAAACAGGAGTTAAAGTTCATGTGCACCCGCCGTTGCATCAAAATATCACAAGAGCAAACGAATTTATAGACGGCCTTGTTGAAGGGGAAGGCGCAACCGAGTTGTTGACTAAAGGGACCATCCACGCCGGCCGGTTGGCTCACCCAGGAGGGTCCCCGCAAAGGTCTGCAAGCAGGGACCGGCAACAAGAAGACGGCAAAAAAAGAGGAACAGGAATCGAAGAAACGCCACTGAAGTCGTACTCTTCTCGAATGTCGCATCAGAATAAATTCTCGTTTGTGACGCTCGCGGTGCCAGCCGACTATCCGTTGAATTCGCATCCGCTTTATTTTGTCTTAGACAGCAAAAAAACGTTGAGCAAGCCAAAGACGCGGACGCTTGCTTAGTGTAGACTTAGATGAGCCGCTATTTATGAGATCGACTCCACATAGCTTCCGCAATGGAGGTGTAGCGCATATTTGCAATAGTAAACATTTGGTAGAAAGCTGGACATACCTGTTATGGAGCTGATGAATGGCGGCTTGGAAGTTTCTTTCTAGGTACTACAAAGTAATGAACCCACTCGATCTTCTGAATATAAATTAATTAATTAATTATATTAATATTATATATTAATTAATTAATTGATTAATGATCTAAATCGTTCCTAGATAGATAACTTTTTTGGAAGATTGTTTTTAATAGAAATGAGAGCCGGTCTTTTAGATACTGCCATGCATTTTTAGCAATCGGTAGCTGATGATAAGGCGATATGTGTATATGAAGGTGTAGAAAATTCAATTGTTTCAGGGTTCAGTCTGAATTGCATACCCAATCATGGGATATTCATAGCTCAAATGTAGTACGGTTTACAGGTGTGATATCGACAATGTCTGGTCTGCTTTTGTCAGCTTTGATAGGCCAATTTCCTCACTGTTTACGCACTGGCTGAACCAAGTTTATGATATTCCTTATGGGGTCCTATGCCGATCACTTTTTTGAAACCGCATTCGCTGCTTCCATCCGTTTTCGGATTTTTTTAAAGTTAAAAATCGATGCGGGCATCGTATTTTGTATGAGCGTGTGTCTGTGTCAGGGAAGGAGGATAAGTAATATATTATAATATAACTTCATTTAAACCATGAAGTCCCTTTATGGCTTCGACAAAAATATACTCATGCGCTGAATCCTTCGCAATCGATTTCGGATGCATTTTTTTTTGTTTTTAGTCCCACTTATTAGTTACTCACCTATTGGATCATTATTCAGCTTTATTATTATTATTATTGAAATACTATCATAGTGCAAATAAGGCAAACCCTCTGGTACTAGTAATAGAATAATAGGAGAACCGATAACCACAGTTCGTTCTCATAGATTCTTTAGGTCTACCTCAGCTGGCCAAACTATCGAGTATTATCAGAAGGAGCGCTTTTTCCACATATTTCTATTCTTCAGTAAGCGTTTTCACTTGTTGACGGGTTTTTAAGATGTGCCGCTTCGTGTGTCTACTAAAGTATATGCGCATGTGTATGTGAAGAATGGGTTACACCTGTACCCTCGACCTCTCTCCATACCTATTGAAATAAGCGTGACTGATTACGGTTTTTTTGTTACGTTTATTGTTGTAGTCGCTATGGTCATTGTTTGTTGGGGTTGAGGGATTGCTGGGAAGAAGGCAAAAAATTCCTGGTGCCCCCCATCGCGTCACTGCTACTGTTCAACTGCATTTTGAATGTGGCAACCGCCTGTATTTTCGGGTGGCAACTCGGTAGCCGGCGCTGCCGCGCATCGTCTCTGCGTCTCCGAGCTCTTTTAGAGCTTCCTCCCTCTACTTTGGCAACCCCGTTACCCGTCCGACCCGTCATCTCCTTTTCCTTCTCCCTGGTAGTTGAAACGACGCAAGGGTAGAAGAGGTCCGCGACTGTCTTGACGATGCCTGCCGACTATGTGAGTGAGGGGACTTTGGAACGGCGATGGTACCGGACAAAAGCTAAGGATGAGAGAGGTCCCCTGAGTAGGAAAAAATAGGGAGGTGGCAGAGCCTACGATCAAAGACGGAGTAGGAGCGTGAAGAGCGATGCGATGTCAGCAAAACAAAGTGGTGATAAATTGAAAAAGAAAAACGAGAGGGGAGGGCGACCACAGGCCCCAAGAACAGGGGCAGGCAAAAAGAAAACAGTGCAAACCACCTCGACAGACCAACGTCGGGGTTCAGCGGGCCGGCCCGCATCGCCCCACCGAAGTCCACACAATTGCAGCCTCTTCTAACCCCGCTTCTGTTATGCTGTTATTGTCTGCTGCACTGGTCTCTCTAGTGTCGAAAGACAGACGAAATGTTATGTGAAAGAACATTTTGGAGCGCGTCTACCTACAAATGTCTAGCTAGACGAGAAGCTATCGCCATAAGGCATGAAGCCTCCTAACAGATTAGATTTGAAAGAAGGACAGGACGTCTACTTGCGTACATAGGTATAACAGCCGTCATAAACACTTTCATTGTTTTGACCTTTTCAATGTTTTTCACCTATTATAATGATTGTTTATTGATATATAGTAACAGGCAATCTGCAGTATAGATGAAAGCAGACGGATACGTGATAACTCGGCTGGTGAGCATTAGTCAATAGAAAGCAAGTGCTGTAATGAAAATTACAGTTTATAACAGAAATAGAAAGACACATGGCTAAGAATAATGATGTAAAAATTAGTTGTATGAGAGTAACCAGCTTTTGTTCGGTAGATGGCGTCCGTCGCAATTAGCGGTTACTTTATATCACCTATGTGTCACTTATGTAAAATGCTACGAAAAGAGAGACGTTATGATATCTTACGAGTTAGATACTTGAACGGTCATCCACAACAATATCCAGAGCATTCGCTAGGACTACTGAGAAGGTCCAAATGAATAGTGACTTCTCAATTGTTGATCGCTTGTCTCATTCTCGTCAAGATGCTCATTAAATGACCTATGCCTTAATTGTAGAGGACAAAAATGTACCGTTGTAGACGATGGAGGGTCACCAGCACGATCAAATAATATTATAAAGCTTTTTTTGCTATTTTTAGCTCCTGGTTTACTAAACGCTTAAAATGTCAGCCTAATTTTACTTGTGTCCGCAGACTTCATCAAGCTTTAATGGGGTAATCTAAACCTCCATTTCGTACTTACCTTTATTCCAACGAGCTCGGAAGTTTACTCGTATCTTTCAACAGTCATCTGCTGAT